ATTCGGCCTCCTCCTCGGCCTCCTCCTCGGCCTCGGTCCATCCCGCGGACAACGCCGTGCGCGTATCTGGCACTACGACAAACGGCGAGGCGGGTTGTTAATTAATTCGCGAGGCGGCAAAGCGGCGCGGGGTGCGTCTGGTGCGTCTGGTGCGTCGGCGCGGATAGCGCCGAAGGCTTCGACGAGGGCCGCCGCGTCGCACCGAGTCACCCCGAGACAGGTGCGCGTCGACCGGGGCACCGCGGGGCCGCCCCGCCGGATGCGCGCCAAGGGACCCAGCGGCCCGGTCGGCCCAGTCCCCCGCGACTTGGCCGAGACCGTGGCGCCACGCCACCGCAGCGTGCGGGTCACTGCCAAGGAGGGCGCCCCGCCGTGCCCCGCCCCCTTCGCGCCGTGCTGGCAGGCACAGGCAGGACTTGGCGAATCGCTATGCGCCCCGGCGTCGACGGCACGCGTACGCATCCTCGCGAAAAAGAATGAATGGCATGGATACAAATGGTGCACCGGGTGGCGCTCGCGGCGCGCGGCCGAACCGCGGGCCGAACCGATTCCCGATCCGGTTGAGTGCGCCCCGCCGGCCGGCACGCCTGACTCGGCTTATCGGCAACGCGGAGGCCGCGGCCGCGTGATGCAATCGGCGGCCCAACCGAGTCGCCGCCAACACGCCCCGCCCCGCCCCGCACCGCCGCGTCGGCGCGCCGCCTAGGTAAGGGTCAGCGGACTGCACGACGGCACGCCGTCCGCCACGCACGTGCCCGTCGACGACCCGGTGGGCGTCACGACGCGGCATGAATGGCGGCACGCCGTCCGCCACGCACGTGCCCGTCGACGACCCGGTGGGCGTCACGACGCGGCATGAATGGCGGCACGCCGTCCGCCACGCACGTGCCCGTCGACGACCCGGTGGGCGTCACGACGCGGCATGAATGGCGGCACGCCGTCCGCCACGCACGTGCCCGTCGACGACCCGGTGGGCGTCACGACGCGGCATCAATGGCGGCACGCCGGTCCACTCGGCATGACGCAAGGGCCGGCCTAGTGCGCGAAGCGCGAAGCGCGAAGCCTCGACGGCCGCCGCCGTTCGCGCAAACCGCTTGGCAGGGAGTCGAACCCGCGGCGGGCGCGTGATGACAATGACACACCCTGTTCACTACCCTCCCCCTCGCGGCTCGTCGCGGCGCGTGGTCGGGACGATGACGCATGAGTTGCGCGAAGCCGGGGCCCACCTGGGGCTGCCGGGGCCACCCCGCGCTCCGCGCCACCCCCTCTGGGTCCCACTGTCTCCCGCTCTCCCTCGACACCCGATACACGTCCGAGTGGACACATGTACGAGTAGGGTGGCCCAGCGGAGCGAGTACTGAGCATTCGACGGCGACGTCCAGTCCGGCGTGGACAGAGACAGACACCCCCACGTGGCCATCGCCGTCCGCGCAGTGGCAGGGTAGACCCAGGGTAGGCGGGGCCGGCTGGCAGGTGAACGAACGGCACAACGAATGAAATCGATGGCAGTGTGGCGGGCGAACGGGCTGACGGGGCAGTGCGCGCGCAGTGCGTGGCGTGCAGGGTTTTCCCGCGGGTCTTCCCTCCGAAACAGCGCGGCCGGAAGCGTGGCCAGCGCACACAAACATGCCCTGCTTGGTGACGGCCAGGCGGAAGCAGTTCCATCGGGACAGGGTTGGGGGTGGGGGCGCCGACGGGGCTCTGGGGGGCACACAAGGACGCCGTCGACCGGCCGGGGCTAAAACGGGGATGAAATTCACACATCGGTGGACTCGAGGCCGCGGGCGGACGACGGCAGAGGTCGCACCCTTCAGCCTTCGCCTCCCCAGCTATGGGCTGACTAGGCTGCCAGGCCGAATATCGATACGGTATCCACGCGGCCGTCCTGCAGACAGGCCCGCGCGAACAGGGAGGCACCCAAACCGGATGCATCCGGTCCATGAGGCCCATGGGCTGCACCGATCGCACCGCTCGCTCACATGGCTGGCGCTGCTGGCCCCTTCTCCGTGGCCGGCCGTGCGGAACGCCCCGTCGCGCGCCCCGCCCCGCCCCGCCCCGCCCCGCCCCGCCCTGCCCCGCCCCGCCCCGCCAGGGCCCGCCACGCCCCGGCCATGTGACGAAGGGCGTGCTGTAGAGCTCTACAAGCGTGATGCCCCAAGGCCGGCCGAGCCAATACAATCGATGGCTTTCCAAGCCAATGACCGCTGCCGGGTCTCGTACCCCATCCCCTTTGGATTTATTCCCCCCCCCCCTCCTCCGCGTTCAATCAAACCCGGCCAAGTCCGAGTCCGTCCCCAGGGCCGCGCGGCCACCACGGCGATCCACCGGCCGCGTGCTTGCCATTGGCTGGCCAGGAACTTGATGACGTCCGCGTCGTGCGGCTTGCCAAACGCGGCGCCAGACAGCTCGTCTCCAGAATCTGAATTTCACCGCCACTCGCATAAGGCCGAAGCGATCACAAGTTTATTTGTTCCGTGCCAGTCGCTGGCTGGCGGGCGGGCGGGCGGGCGGTGCGCGCGCTTCTAGCATTCGGATAAGAGATGCAGAGGACGATGCGGGCCGCTTGTCGGTGTCCGGTAGTGTGTGTGTGTGTGCGTGTGTGTTCGGGCATCACAATCACAGTGTAGGTGGACGCGGAAAAGCGCCGCCAGCATCAGTGGCGAGACTGGGTGATCGACAAACTAATCGACGATAGGGGTGGCGTGGCCGCTGCGGCTCGACAGACACAGCCCGATGACGCAACCCGCCGGCCGCCTCAGCCTGAGAGGGGTGGTGCGGTCGAAGCGACACGTCAAGGCACGGACACGCCGATTCAGAGCAGAAGTAGAGTCTGTGACCGACTGGGCGGCGGAGCGGCGGACGTGTGGCTCAGAGTCGAGCACGGAGTCCTCGAGGAGGGAAGGGTCAAAGAAGTCGTACAAAACCGCAGGCCGGCCGCCTGTTGCGTCGTGCACCGCGAGGCACCGCGAGGCACCGCGAGGCACGCGGAGCCACGGCGAGCAGGCTAAATCTGAACGGCGCTTCGCTTTCGTCGCCGTGCATGCTGTGCATCATCATCATATCGACGGACGCGCCAGAGGCAGTTATTATTGTGATTCCTAGGTGAAGGCCGCGGCCTTGGGCCCTTGCCAGAGAGACAGTAGTGGAGCAACGCGTCTAGATTCTAGGATTATCGGCGAGAGGCACTCCAATGAAGTGTGCGAGAGAGAGACCCGCCGAGTGCACGTGCCTTGCCGCGAGTTCGCAGTGTCATGACGAGGACCGATCGATGACAGGACGGCGACAGCGCGATCCGGTCCCGATCGGTAATCCACAGAGAACCGGTTCCAAAGGGGCAGGGCGCGATAAACGCGTGCGAGGCGTGCGAAGCGAAGGTCCTGCACACTGATTCCGAGAGTCGCGTTCGTCGCTCTGTCTCTCTCGCACTCATGGGGCGCCCCGTATAGGTGCGAGGGACCTCTCATAATCAGCCTCAGCCTCCTGGCCGGCCGGCCGTCCTGTCCTCCGCCAACCGCCACCGCAGCGTCAGCTGCGCGTCGCAATGCAGGCCGGTATCTAATCACGTCACTGATACGGTCCAATGGGATCCAGCAATGCCATCTGCGGCCCAGCGGCAAGCCAACCATGTGTACAGTGCGCCCTCTCCTGGGCGAGCAGGGCGAGCGGAGCGAGGACGCTACGCGCGGACGTTCAGGCGAATTTCCTCGTGAACGTCGGCGAAGCGCGGGGACGTCTTTTAGAAAGATTTCTAGGCGGAATATCTAGAACGGTTTCCAGCAACGGTGTTGTATTTTGGAGTATCCTCTCCGGCTCTACAGTCACCCCTCTGGGGGAACTCCGTCGACCCTACGCCCACTCCCCGGCAGTGGGGCTGCACAAGACAATGGGACGACAAACAAGTAAGTACCGAACTTGCGCGAGAGAGGTGTTTGTTTGCACAGCTCCGGCCCCCCCGCCACGCCCCTCGCTGGCGCCGCCGTGGCTGGGGCCGACCGGGCCTAGCGGGCCGGCCAAGACGAGGCCGGCATCGGGACAGGTGAGCAGGGGACTGATCATCCGGGCCCCGCGTGTCACGCCGAGCGGCGCGCGCTCCTCGGCCTGCCCCGACCCGGCCCGGCCCCACTGCCCCACGGGACGGGCCGCACACGGCGACACCGAGATGACAACGCGGCGAGCTGGGTCCCGCGCTGCGTTTCGACTTCCTGGACTCTTCGGCGCCCTCGCCCTGCAGACTGATTCAGCACAGTGTTTCGTCGCTCTGTCTCTCTCGCACCCATAATGAGAGCGAGAGAGAAGTTCGGAAACCCTCTGCTGAACGCCTTCAAGGAAAGCGAGTCCATTCCGGATTGCTGGCACGGCCTGGGTACTCGGAGTGCGTACCCGAATGCAAATGCACTCGTTTCAAGAACCGATTTGGTGTCGGCAGCCGCAAAAGGCCGCCGTCGAAGCCGCCGTCGCAGAAGCGCCATCAGAGGCCGCCATCAGAGGCCGCCGTCGATGCCGCCGTCAATGGCCGCGGCCGCCGTCAAAGGGTGCCATCTAAGGTGGCCGTCAACGGCGCCGTCAAAGGCCGTCGCCCATATCCTCCTGCTCCTGAACGGCGCCCCAGGACTCCAAGGACTCTGCAACGCTGCACCGGGGCCTGGACAGGAGGACGGGTCTCGCCCGTGTCGCCGAAGGGTCATCTGTACACTACACTGTGTACTGTGGTTGCACCTCTGGCGGTGGACACGCGGGGAAGTTCGCCAAACTCAGTGACCGGCCGGCCGCGGCGTGGGCCAAGCCAAGGTCAAGCAGTGCCTGGCAGAGGCGCCCTCTCCGCGACAGCCTAGCCTCGGAAGCATCGACGCGGGGCGTGGGGCTGCCGCGGAGGCTGACGCCATCCCCGCGAGTCTCGCGTCAGGGGCGGTTCGGCGGTTCGGTTGTGGCGCCACCCCACTGGCTTCCCTCCCCCGAGCAAGCCCACGCCCCTCAAGCCCAACACTCGAACGAACACTCACCCTGTCCGTCGGGGTCCTCGGTCCTTGATCCTCGTCCTGTCAGCCGATGCGGAGGCACCGATGCGGCGTCGTCGCGGCGCCCCACGACCGCAGCATCCAGGATGGCGACGACACGCTCTCGGAAGCCTCCCTTTCTCTTCCGGAAGTCTCCCTTCTCTCTGAAGTTCGCAGCCCGCACGCAGGAAAACGCAACCGGCGTAAGTCGTTGCAACGAAAACGCGTCGCCGTGCTTCGCCGCTGTGCCCCTTCCACGCCTTCCACGCCACGCTGCGGCCACGCTCACTCGCGGACTGAGTAGAGTGGTCGAGACACGGCGCGGCACGGCGCTGTCTGCCAGCTCCGCCAGCCCCGCCAGCCCCGCCAGCACCACGCCGGCTGGGCCCCGCGCCGCCGGGCCGCCTTCCCCCTCCCCCGCGCTTGTAATGGCCGGGGGGCTTCCTAGGCCAGTCGATCAGCTGTTCGCGGCCCGGCTAGGCCCCGCCGGTAGGCCCCGCCGGTAGGCCCCGGCACACCTCCTGCCATGCGGCCTGCCCGCTGCTTCCCGCGAGTCGCGTCCCGAACCTCTGTTGCAAACACTTGTGCAAACATCTCTAAATCCAAGTAGACGGTAATGCATCTCTACTGCCGTTTACCTCCAAACTAAACACATCGGAGTATCTATGGTGAGGCGCCGTCGCGGTCCTCCGCGCGTCCACGGCATCCCCTTGACTCGATTCACTGACGCTCATTGAGGCAGGGTAAAGTAGACGCCCGCCCCTCCCTGCTCGGCAACCCTTCCGCCGCCAGGTCGTCGCGAATACGCCTCCGCCGCCGTCGCTGCACGCCGCACGCCACTCTGGGTGTCGTCATGGCTTTTTCCTGCGCCCCGGTTCCGGCTAAAGACGGTTCAGCCTGCCTTGCCTCCCCGCCCCGGCCAGGACGATCAATCGCCGCGCCGAAAGATGAAAGGATCGCCTCCATCGACGGTCCGCAACGCGTCCGCAAAGCGTCCGCAGGGCGATCATTCAGCTGGGCGCCCCACAGTGGGCCAGAAGACCGGTGGAGGCGGACAAAACTCTAGACGCGTTTGGAGCTCCAGAGTCGCTGAACGGGACTCGAACCGAACGTGTGACCCCACCAATGGATTCCTCGTTCGGAGAGCAATCCATTGGTGGGGTCACACGTCCGGTTCGAGTCCCATTTAGCGACTCTGGAGCTCAAAACGCGTCTAGAGTTTTGGCCGCCTGCACCGGTCTTCTGACCCACTGTGCGCCCGCCCCTCCGTCTCTCTCGCGCTCGAGGGGCGTCGCGTGGGAGCGAGAGAGAGAGAGAGAGAGAGAGACGGCGCTGGGCGGAATCGGTCCGCAGGGTGTGGCCGGCCGACCCGCCCGATGCCATCACACAGCGCAGCAATCGCCCCGGAGAAGCCAACTGGAGAACTGGAGAAGGAGAGTGAGGCCATCCGTCAGCGCGGCGCTGCGGCTGTCCTGCTGTCACGCTGACGTCAATGTGACGTCACGCCGCCGCGGGGCACCGAGGCACTGCGCCGAGTGCACTGAGATGCATCCATACACGCCGCCGGCCGCGGAATCCTCCTTTGTCCCGCCGAAGTGCAGCAAGTAGCACTGCTTCCTCGAGACTGACTCATCCCCGTCGACCTGCCCTCGCGTCTGCGTTGCGTTACTTATGCGTCTGCCAGCAGCAGCCTGATTCCGAGAGTCGTTTTCGTAGCCCTGTCTCTCGCAATCATGCGGCGTCCCGTCTCGGAATCAGTCTGCCTGGCTGCTGGACGCAGCCAATCGGGCAGCAGACGGCGACTCAGTTGTACGGCGTGTTCAGCATCGCGCACTTGAGACTTTTCCGCCAACCCTGCCGCAAATCGCAAATCGGCCCGGCCTCACTTCGTCGCTGCAAGTTTCAAGTAAGGGGTCCCACAGCCTTTGGGCTGCAGCCGGGGCTCGGTCTGACCGTTAGTGGCCGGTGTTAGTCAAATGACCCTGCACTTTTTCCGCATGCAATGCCGCTTTGCACATCGATAGTTAAGGCCAAAAGAAACGTTTTGACCCGCAGACGCATTTTTTTTATCCCTTAGGAAAAAAGTTATTAAGGGTTAAATTTAACATGGCGCCTTACGGGAATTTCGGGTAGGCAACCCGCAGCGCACGGCGGTGGTTTCCACGTCGCGGCCGCGAGTTTTGGCCCAAAAGTGGGACTTCCAGTTGGAATTTCCGAACCAAATTTTCAGGGTTCCTTAAGAAGGGTTCAAAGATAACGTTGCCGTCGAGCACTTGCCAAAATTGTGACTGAGGCCGATTCTGCGAGGCCTCAAAGTCCAAATTTCGGGAAATTTAACAAGGTGGTGTTCAAAGCCGTCCAAATCCTTAACGGTGCGCAGAACAAGTTGCGTCTTCGGCGGGATCAATAAAGTGGAGTGTCCTGAACACGCTCCAGGTGGTCGATTTTTCAAATTTGACCTGGAGTTTGAGATAATCGAATTTTTTGGGGACATTGCAGCTCGGCCGGCGAGCCGCCGCGGTACCAGATTAGCACGCACAGGGGTTTTTGACGATACATGTTGCCAAAATGAAGCGCGCTAGACTCTTTTCACGCAGTGCTCCGCAAACTATGCCACAATCACAACCAAATGCCAAATTTTGAACCAGATAGGGGCCGGGGAACGTCCCTAAATGAGGACGGGAAAACGGCTCCGGACGCCGAAATGACAGACTTATGCCGCAGTGCTCGGCGAGCGGGGCGTAAGGGCACGTTTTTGGAGAATAATTGTGCGCTATAGAAGCAAGGTAGACTCTTTCCGCGCAGTACTCCGTAAACTATGCCACATTTACAAGCAAATGTCAAATTTTGAGCCCGGCAGGGGCCGGGGAACGTCCATAAATGTGGGCAGGAAAACGAGTCAGGACGCCGAAATGCGAAACTTTTGCCGCAACGCTCGGCGCGGCATGCGGGCACCTTTGTTGGCGAATGGTTTTGCGTTACCGAAGCAGGCTAGACTCTTTCCGCCCAGTACGCGGTAAACTAGTATGCCACACTCAAAACCAATTTTCAAATTTTGAGCACAGCAGGGGCCGGGGAACGTCCCTAAATGAGGGCAGGAAAAAAGCGGGTGGCGGTGGCGCGCCTGTCCAAGTTCATTTGCCCACCATCCCACCTCACCGCCGAACAACAACATCGAGTTTGAAAAACAAAACACGTTTGAAAAGCGCCTTTAAAATGCTTCAGCAGCTGTTTTCCACCCCCCCATTTGGGGATGTTCCCCCGGGCTGGCTCAAAATTTGACATTTGGGCATTGCGGCATTTGAGCATTGCGGCAAAAGCGAGGGGGTATGCACTCGCGTAATAGTCGGTTCACTCTATCAGTAATAGCACGCGTAATAATACGCGTAATAGTCGCGTATTAGTCGCGTAATAGCCGAACTTGTCAAAATTTTATCAATTTTGGTGTGTTTTAGGCCGTTTTTAGCTAAATTCCGATTAATTTGTGGCGTAATAGAGCGTAATAGCGTAATAGTCGGTACACAGGTTCAGAGAGCGCATACCCCCTCGGGCAAAAGTTTGTCATTTCGGCGTCCCGAGTCGTTTTCCCGCCCACATTTAGAGACGTTCCCCGGCCCCTGCCGGGCTCAAAATTTGACATTTGCTTGTAATTGTGGCATAGTTTACGGAGTACTGCGCGGAAAGAGTCTACCTTGCTTCCATAACGCACAATTATTCTCCAAAAACGTGCCCTTACGCCCCGCTCGCCGAGCACTGCGGCATAAGTCTGTCATTTCGGCGTCCGGAGCCGTTTTCCCGTCCTCATTTAGGGACGTTCCCCGGCCCCTATCTGGTTCAAAATTTGGCATTTGGTTGTGATTGTGGCATAGTTTGCGGAGCACTGCGTGAAAAGAGTCTAGCGCGCTTCATTTTGGCAACATGTATCGTCAAAAACCCCTGTGCGTGCTAATCTGGTACCGCGGCGGCTCGCCGGCCGAGCTGCAATGTCCCCAAAAAATTCGATTATCTCAAACTCCAGGTCAAATTTGAAAAATCGACCACCTGGAGCGTGTTCAGGACACTCCACTTTATTGATCCCGCCGAAGACGCAACTTGTTCTGCGCACCGTTAAGGATTTGGACGGCTTTGAACACCACCTTGTTAAATTTCCCGAAATTTGGACTTTGAGGCCTCGCAGAATCGGCCTCAGTCACAATTTTGGCAAGTGCTCGACGGCAACGTTATCTTTGAACCCTTCTTAAGCAACCCTGAAAATTTGGTTCGGAAATTCCAACTGGAAGTCCCACTTTTGGGCCAAAACTCGCGGCCGCGACGTGGAAACCACCGCCGTGCGCTGCGGGTTGCCTACCCGAAATTCCCGTAAGGCGCCATGTTAAATTTAACCCTTAATAACTTTTTTCCTAAGGGATAAAAAAAATGCGTCTGCGGGTCAAAACGTTTCTTTTGGCCTTAACTATCGATGTGCAAAGCGGCATTGCATGCGGAAAAAGTGCAGGGTCCGGCCTTTTTGTTGGACTAACACCGGCCACTACGTGGTGTGACCGGCCAGGGCCGAGGCGTAAGGTGTTTGAAGAGTGGGTGGAGTGGGGGGGGGACCCTGCCGCGCCGCGTCGGCGCACCCCGAGGGGCCTCCACTGCATCCTGGTCACCTCCCCGACGGGGCACGCGTTCCTGCCCATGCATCATTCATCCGGACGCCCTCCGCGCCTTTGTGACGCGACGCCACAGACCACTCGGTGTGTGCGTGCCTTTTTGTGCGTGTGTTTGTTTCGGTAGCGCGCCGCGGCTCCCGCGATGCAGACAAAACCGCACTGGATTAATCCGGAATACCGCACCGCTGCTGCTGTTCGCCAAGAAAGGCACATGGCCGATGAAGAACCCCGATGCAGCCAGCCAGCACCTCGGTCGGTCACCCGGTCGGGGAAATTGGAGCGCGCATCAACAAATCCAAGGTCCGAAGCGGAGGCGGCAGAGACAGAGCGACGAAAACGACTCTCGGAATCAGTGTGCAGAATGGAGCTAAAGCTGAAGCTGGGCGGGGCGCGGGGAGGGCAGGACGTCGTGGATGAAGCCGGGCCGTGGCGATACGGCGCGTCAACATGACACTTTCACGCGAGGGACAGTGTGTTGACGGACCTTCGAATATCGGCCCGGCGTGGCGTCGGCCGAGCGTCGGGGTGCCGAGATAGCGCGATGGCGCCCCGGGGTGGTGATAGCGCCGATAACGGCAACGATAGCCGCAGCAGCCCGGCCCACCACACCGGAACCGGACAACCGGACTCGCTGCCGCCGCCAGCCTCCACGCCGTGGGAACGAGCGGAAGGGTGGCGGTGACCGTCGCGGTCCATGGGAATGGAAATGGAAAGGGACGGGATGGGAAGCGAAGAGAGTCGACAGAGCCGCTTCCCTCGAGTAGAGAGCACGATCGTGCTTGCACTAGATTTCCCTCGAAATTTTATCCGCCGCGGCGCTGAGTGGATTTTTCACCGTCTTGCCATCCAAGCTGGCGCTGGCTGGCCAGCGAGGCCAGCGAATTTTCTACACTCTCGCGTGGGAGGCCCCGTAAGCGCCACCCGAAAGCTGAGTGCCTCCTTTCTCCCTCTCAGTGTCCCTGAAGTAAGGTGAAAAATCAATTGTGGGTCACATTTCTGAAAATTCCAAATTAAGGCCTTTAATTCTGACCTGGTGACAAAAGTGCATGTGCGGCCTTTAACTATAGTCCTTGGCCTAAGTTTTGCAGCATAGTAGCCCTGTCTATCATCCTTATTTACTAAGCTGTGGCTGTTTTAAAAATAGTCTGTTTTGGCCCACAATTGATTTTTGGAACCAGTTGTGGGTCAGCATTGTAGGAAGCTCAAATTTGGATATGATTTGCTTAAATACGAGAGAAATTCACTTCTGAATTTATTTTTCGGAATCGTGAAAACTGCAGGATCTGTAGCACAATGAATCAATTGTGGGTCATATCAATTGTGGGCCATTTCGTCTTTTTGCTTGTAAATTGACCACTTTTGCAAGATATTTTCTTATCTTCATTTATTAAAGGTCCCTGGTTCTCAATAAACCAAGCAGACACGTTTTTCACTCAAAAAGGAAAAATACATAAACAGGCTAATTTCACTGTGAGACAGATGTGAGTTAAACGTCCTGGATTAGACACGAAACTTTTATAGTGCGTATTGTAGGGCCGCCGGTGTGGTAGACAATCCAACACCACACCCTGTCATCATGAGGTATTGCTACAGTTTATTATCTATTTCAGTCAGAATATATAGTCTGTAGGGATTGATTTGACTCATAACAGGGCCGGACTGGCCTCGGGTGCCTAGCCCGCAGTTGGAGAGCGGTTCCCTTCCGGGAGCTATGTAAGCCCCGAAATGCGCCCCCACCCCCTCCCCAACAAAAAAGCCTGATGGCAGACTGGAAGTGTAAGCTAGTGTTGTCATTCGGGGCTTTAGCTTAACATAACCTTCGTATCGTAATACTAAATGTGACAGAGCAGAAAAATGGAATTTACTGGGATACATCAGTCATTCAGAAGCGCAAAAAAACAAAAAAAAATAGCAGAAAAACTACCGGAAAATTCGTTTACAATAATGGTTCTGACATGGAAGCGAACGCTACTTTGCCATCACCCGCGCACCATGGCATCGAATGATTTCGGCTGTACTATGGTAAAATTATGTTCCCTGACCTACTATGAACCAAAATCAGCAAGGGCGTCCCGTTTTATCTCGTAATAGCTTCACGGTGGCAATTTGAAAAACATACGATTTTTCGCCTCGTTGGATGGGCGCTATTTTCACGACATTTTGAAGGGCCTTCCTTTGAAGCCTGATAGGAGCCGTTACAGTCGTCGCTCGGACATACACGCTATTTGGGGAGACAAAGAAAGGTTGGAGGAAGGTCTACCGCGAAATTCAAATCGATTCAATCTCCGTCGGGTCTGCGGTGACCCGTCGAAAAAAATGACCCACAATTGATTCGTGACCCACAATTGATTTTTTACCTTATCGCCAGATCTACACACATGCCGCGTTCACAAAATGATCATGGAATTGGATGATAAAACAAACTTACCGGCGGCGCCTCGCGGTGGTTCAAGACCCGCCGTCACGGCCGCGGTGGACTCTGAGCGGCTGACGACGGCCGAGTCCTCGACGCAATCCTCGGCACGGTAACTGCGTATTGGTACGCGACGCGACGCGACGCGACGCTACGCCATCAAGCAGCACCGATAATCTTCGGAACCTGCCACTGGCAGTGCTCCGCCTGGCCCGAGGTCTGGCCGGGCGGGCCGCACGGGACGGGGACGGGGCCTTGGCCATGACGCCGCCTCTAGCCGCCTCCTCCGCCGTGAGGCCCTCTGTCACCACGACCACGACCGCGCCGGGGGCAGGGCCGGCAGGGCCGGGCAGGGCTGTTGTGTGGACGTCTACACGTGCTTCAACCTGTTTATCAAGTCGCGTCGCGATGACCCGCCTCCGTTTTGATGACCCCTCCCCCTCTCCCTCCCCCCTCCCCCTTCCCCGCCGCGCTTTTATTATTTTCTCGGCCCGTTTATACGCGAGCGGCATGGACGGGAAAACGTGGAGGCGAAATAAGAAGAAAGCTAGAAAAACAGCAACAACGCCAAGTCGAGAGGAGAGGAAAAAGCTAGCGACACCAACACAGACGCAGCCGGAGCACAGCAGCGTCACTCGTGGCTATCGGGGCGGGGGCACGCCTTTTCGTCGTGGCCGCCATCCTGAATATGCATCATGCATCACGTGCGTCGGCCGGCTCCGTCTCTCTCGCACCAGCACGGAGCGCCGCTTGAGTGCGAGAGAGGCAGAGCGACGACGACCAACAGCGATGTGCGGGATCGCAGCCTACCGGCTTGTCCGCGAGCTCAGCCCGAGTTGGGAGGCCCGGCCGGCGCGGCCACGGCTCCGTGCTTGGGCTATTTCGGGCAGCCTTTAGCCTTTCGGGTTTCATTTTGAATAGGAATCATCGCGGGATATGTGGGGCCGCATTGGCGATTCCGCCGAGGTAGCCGCGGCCCGGCCGCGAGCCCGAGCGAGCTCCCGGCACCGCGCGGCAAAGGCCAAAGGCCTCGACGACGACCCAGCCCGTAGAAAGTCACGTCACCCGAAAGCACCATCGCCATCCTCGCGGCCTGCCGGCTGGGCGCGGAGCGCGACCTCGTACAAAGTGATGACAGCCAACAACTTGTCCCCTGCATTATCGAGTAGTCCTGGCGATCAATGCACTGACGTCACCGGCCACGCGCCGCCACGCCGCCACGCCGCCGTCGATACCCGTGTCGTTCACGTGCGCGGCGCGCGCCACCGCACGCGCCGGCCGACGGCCAGCGATACCCCGCGTCCCCGGGGACACGCAGGGCGGCGTCGATACCCCGCGCCGCGCCGCCCGGGCGACGTGCCGGAGGCGTCCTCAATCAATACACCCGTTGCCGCCCAGTCATAGGCAATGGATGCGCTTCGCGGTGGAGGTGGAGCGAGCGGGGCATTTCCCCAAATTGATCTCGTGTCTGCCACGAAGGCGCGGTTGGTTCGGTTCGCGCGACTCAGGGTCACCCGAGGGACGGTCTTTCGGCGTGGCGGCGCCTCGCTTCGTTAGAGACGTGGAGTTAATCTTGGCTGGGCAGCTTGCAGTCGCAGTCGCTCGCGGATCCGTTTTCAAGGGGAGCCGTGTGGGAAAAATAATCTGTGTACTAGTGTGCTATCTGCCAAAAAATGCACTTAGTGGGCCCAAAGCGAACAGGCATGCTCGTGTGTTGTGATTTCTCCCACCAGTCCTCGAATTTGGTCTGGCAGGTGCTTTATGGAAAGCAACAGGACCAAACATAAAATTGGACCTCATTATAAAATAAAACCATTTATTGTTTATTCACACTTTCGTAAGTTTGCATCCGATGACAGGTTTAGCGGTAGCACAGCATATGCCACCAGCAGAAACTCACGTTAAAACATGAACGATGTAACGCACAAAATATACATTCGCCTTATCAAATATATATCACAATCTTATAAAGGAGAAATTGCATGTGCCTCGCGATCCGCGTGTGCACACCGGAAGCGGAGGCACGCACCACTGACTGGTGATGACTCCAGGTTTTCATTGAGAAGCACCGGGAAAGTTTGCTCGCGAGTTATACGTGAAATAATGAATGGTCCCATGACTACAGAAGAAATTAGCAATATACAAAATAGCATCAACAACACGATCCATCAATTAGTACTATGAAGAATGTTTTGTGCACACGCACACACAGGGCTGCGACAGGGCTTTAGATAGCGGATCGTTTTGAAGACGAAGAGAAACGCACACAGAGAATCATAACAAAAGGGAGCGCTGCCGTGGCGCCGCAGACGTTCGCGCCCCGCACAGTGGGCCAGAAGACCGGTGGAGGCGGCCAAAACTCTAGACGCGTTTTGAGCTCCAGAGTCGCTAAATGGGACTCGAACCGAACGTGTGACCCCCCAATGGATTCCTCGTTCGAAGAGCAATCCATAGATGGGGTGACACGTTCGGTTCGAGTCCCATTTAGCGACTCTGGAGCTCAAACCGCGTCTAGAGTTTTGGCCGCCTCCACCGGTCTTCTGGCCCACTGTGCCCCGTGCGGCGCAGCGCTAGCAGGCCATCGCCGGTGACGAGTAATCAGTCCGCTTAGCGCGGACTCGCGAGCGCCGCGGCAGGGTGGCACCTCATGGTGGCACTCGCGGCGCGTGCTGGCTGCCGCAGAGCCACGCCAAACACTCGCTCCGTCTCTCTCGCACCCCCGCGGGACGCCCACTGGGCGCGAGAGAGACGGAGCGACGAAAGCGGTGTTCGGAACGAAACTGCTCACTGGCGCCCCGCGGCGGCGCTCCTTGCATCACCGCGGTCATGACCCACACCTCCGCGGTGCGCCCGTTACAATTTCTTTTTCGCGGTCGCCGGGGATCGAACATGGAACGGCACTGTGTGCTCGAACTGTCCCAAGTAATCCGCCCGCGGCGTATCATTGAAGCGCGCATTAGCGCCAGCATGGCGGGGCTCGCGTCGGATCGCGTGCCGCCGCGGGGTGGGGCGGGGTGGGCGGGGCGGGGCGGGGCGGGGTGGGGCGGGGTGGGGCGGGGTGGGGCGGGCTGTACACTGTGGCGTGGCGTCCGTCGTGCGTCCGGCCCGCTATTCGCCGGTTTGCGCCGCACCCCGTCGGCGTGGCGCTGGCTGGCCTCGACCGCCTACAAGACCGCAGCACGGCCGCGATGTCCATTTCTGCCACCAGTTCGGCGCCCTTCTCAAAACGCTGGCGGCAGCCTCGTGAGCCTCGTGGGGCCGTCTGGCGGCCCGGCCGCCGCGGGTCAGATGAGCTCGAAGGTGTGGAGGTCCCCGGCCGCCGTCTTGCGCTTGCGGTCCACGACGGGGAGGGCCTCCAGGCGCGCGGGTTTGCGCATCGCCATGTCGGGCGACCCTGGAACAGTCACAGCCAGTCACAGTTACAGTCGCGGTGACGTGAGAGAGAGATGCGCCTTTCTCCGTCTGAGGCGCCGGCCGGCGCGGCGAATGGGTTGCCTACCCGCGGCCGCCCCGGCGCACAGTGGGCCAGAAGACCGGTGGAGGCGGCCGAAATTCTAGACGCATTTTGTGCCCGAGCGTCGCTAAACAAGACTCGAACCGAACTCTGACCCCACCATTGGATTGCTCTCCTAACGAGGAGTCCAATGGTGGGGTCACACGTTCGGTTCGAGTCCTGTTTAACGACTCTAGAGATCAAAACGCGTCTAGAGCAGCGGTTCCCAACCTTTTGCGGTTCGCGACCCCAAATTTGTAGCCAAAACTTTCCGCGACCCCCAGGAAAAATTTCGCGACCCCACGCGACCCCTCCTTTAGCATGCCTTTGTTATGGAGTGCGATTATCTGCCTTAGTTTGGGAGCAGTATTGCCGCAAAGTTGATCAAAACGGTCACAAATGTCTTAAAAAATCGTGTTTTGGGCCGACTTTAAGCATCTACTGCGTCTGATCCGAGGCGGTAAATCGTCCTCCCTCAACGGGCAATTGGTCTTTGGACCTTCCTTTTGCATGCCTTTGTTACGGAGTGCGATTATCTGCCTTAGTTTGGGAGCAGTTTTGCCACAAAGTTGATCAAAACACGATTTTTCAGACATTTGTGACCGTTTTGATCAACTTTGCGGCAAAACTGTTCCCAAACTAAGGCACATAATCGCACTCCGTAACAAAGGCATGCTAAGGTAAGGTCTAAAGACCAATTGCCCGTTCGACACCCCCTCGGAACAAACGGCTATCTCCAAAGTGAGTGCAGACAAACGGCTATCTGTGAAAGTGCTGCAGACAAACGGCTATCTTTTTGACCCCCTGCAGACAAACGGCTAACTGTTTTCTCCACTTCCCGAGTTTGGATACTTATATATTTACAATCAATTGAGCCTGTCAAATTTGACCTTATCCAACAGATGTCAAAAGTTTGTCAGAGCAGATTGACACATAACATGAGTCTGTCACGTGCGTCTAACCTGAAAAAAACTCAAGGAACCCGGCCAACCCTAACCTCTCCCGAAAAGTCAGTTAGCCGTTTGTCTGCAGGGGGTCAAAAAGATAGCCGTTTGTCTGCAGCTCCTTCACAGATAGCCGTTTGTCTGCACTCCCTTTGGAGATAGCCGCTTGTTCCGACGAGGTGTCGCGTTGACGTAGGACGATTTACCGCCTCGGATCAGACGCAGTGGATGCTTAAAGTCGGCCCAAAACACGATTTTTTTACAGACATTTGTGACCGTTTAGACCAACTTTGCGGCAGTACTGCTTCCAAACTAAGGCAGATAATCACACTCCGTAACAAAGGCATGCAAAAGGAAGGTCCAAAGACCAATTGCCCGTTGAGGGAGGACGATTTACCGCCTCGGATCAGACGCAGTGGATGCTTAAAGTCGGCCCAAAACACGATCTTTTACAGACATTTGTGACCGTTTTGATCAACTTTGCGGCATTTAAGCAGCCAGTGCTCGGCGTGTGGGCCAGCCGGGAAAACACCGCGACCCCAGGCGACCCCAGCCACCTCGCCGCGACCCCTCGAAATTTTTTCGCGACCCCATTTGGGGTCGCGACCCCAAGGTTGGGAACCGCTGGTCTAGAGTTTCGGCCGCCTCCACCGATCTTCTGGCCCACTGTGCGGCGCACTCACTGCACTCCACTCACCGACCCAGCCGCCGCTCGCCGTCTGCCCCGAGCCCCAGCTGGAGTTGAGCTGCAGGGGGAGCACGGTGCCGCCGCCGCCACCGCCAGCGGCCCCGTTGGACGCGGCCACCCCCGCGGGCAGGCTGGTGTTGAGGGCGCCCATGGAGCTGTGCAGGTCCATGCCGTTGAGCCGGCTCTCCCTCACCACCCCTGCGGACCAGGGACAAAACAATTGACTTTTCTGACGCTCGCAGTCGTCGATATCTCTACGACATTGCCGCGTAAAGTGGTGCAAACTCGTTCAAACTCCGATTGCCTTGCCAGTCACTCTTCTCAGGCGTGCGGGTGGTTGTCACACCTGCCTCTTTTAGGCTCTGCCTCTGGTGTGATTTTCAACACTCGGTTGTGAGCCTTGGCGGCGAAAAGTTGGTCAAGATGATACGCGGATGTACTTACTAGTGCATGCCATGTACACGCTTCCTGATGCAGGCAACTCCCTATCCCTTATGCTTCAGTTAGCATGTACATGGCATGTATGCACTAAGTGCATGCTTGGCAGGCATGCTCCAGTTAGAGCATACAATGTACGCTCTTCGATTTGTAGAGTACGCGGGGGTGGTCTTTGGTCATTTGCCATGCCATGCTCGCCGTGTGGCGCTACTCGTCCATGCAAGTCCATGCGCTACCGAGGCGCCCCACAGTGGGCCAGAAACCGGCGGAGGCGGCCAAAAGTCTAGACGCGTTTTGAGCTCCGGAGTCGCTAAATGGGACTCGAACCGACCGTGTGACCCCACCAATGGATTGCTCTCCGGACGAGGAATCCATTGGTGGGGGTCACACGTTCGGTTCGAGTCCTGTTTAGCGACTCTGGAGCTCAAAACGCGTCTAGAATTTTGGCCGCCTCCGCCGGTTTCTGGCCCACTGTGCGCCCCGATGCGGGCCGTCGGGTCGGGCCATCCCCAGGGGGATGGGGTGCCGTTCCGTGGTTCCGTACCCCTCCACCTACTGATAACGCGCGCCGCGTCCCGCTGCGCCCGCGCCCGCGACAGCAGCTCGTTGGCGCGCCGCGGCTTGAAGTAGTTGCCGGCGATGTCCTCCGCCTCGCTGCGCGCCAGCCGCTGCGGAAGGGAGAAGGCGACACGTCAACCACGCAGCGCCACCAACGCACAGTGCCTCAGGTGGCGGTGGCCAAAACTCTCGACGCGTTTTGAGCTTCAGAGTCGCTAAGCAGGACTCGAACCGAACGGGTGACCCCACCATTCGATTCCTCGTTCGGAGAGCAATCCATTGGTGGGGTCACACGATCGGTTCGAGTCCTGTTTAGCGACTCTGGAGCTTAAAACGCGTCCGGGGTTTTGGCTGCCTCCACCGGTCTTCTGGCCCACTGTGAGACTCGGCGCTCACCTGCAGGATGATGGCGCTGCCCTCGTCCGAGCCGGGCGACGACGCGCGGTCCGAGTTGTCCGGGCTCACCTCCAGGCTGGCCGAGCCGTTGGCGCTGCTCTTGCTGGAGCCGCTGCTGGAGGCCGCCGCCGTGGCCGTCGCCCCGTTGGTCATGGCGTCCAGCGCGTGGCGCACGAACGCGTTGTCCAGCGGGACTGCGGCGCCATGCGTCATACGGCCGGTCAATACGCAACCCATCTATCTGCGCGTGTGTACAGTGTCGCGGACGAGTGCACTCACTGGCGGGCGGAAGTTTGGTGCGGGGGATGACCAGGTCGGGCAGGCGCCACCGCTCCGTGTCCTCGCTCCAGGTCGCCTCCTGCTTGATGCGCTCGATGTTGCTGCAAAGAGCAGAGGGTCAAGCGCGAATCCTTCAGATGGCACAAGGACTTTGGCATGCAGATAGCCGCCTGAAAGGTAGCCAAAAAGCCACACTCTGCCCCTGTAAGTAGGCAAAAGTGCTACTTTGTCCTGCACTCAGACGCTTAATCCGCCACTGCATGGGGTTGATATGGGCGTGGGTGGGCCTTACATGTAGTTGCACTCCTTCCTCAGCGTTGGCACGATCTTCTCCAGGATCTGGTTGACCAGCAGGAGCTGCCGCTGCTGCCGCCGTATCGTCTCCAGGTAGTCGGTCCTCTCGTTCTCGAATTCGCTCTGCAGGTCGGAGATCTCTCGGTCCAGCGCGCGCACCTGAAACCGGAGGCCACACTGTAAAGTACGCAGGCGCAGATGTAAAGGGGGAGGCGGTGGGGGCGCGGGCGTCGTTCTCCCCTGAAGGAGGTGAAGTCGCTTGGTCTCTCATCCCCCCGGACCCGGAGCTGTCTCTGGATCCACCCTTGAACGGCAAGCTCCCCCGTCCACGACGGCGAGGGTAGGGTGGGTGCCCCGCCACCCTCACCTTCTGGCGGTTCTTCCGCAGGGCCTCCGTCTTGACGCGCAGCTCCTCCTGGATGTCGTCGTACACCTTGAGCACCATGCCGTCCTCGTCCTCCACCTTGGCCAGCACCTCGGACAGCATCTGCAGGCGCTGCTGCGCGGCGCGGCGCCGCCGCATCCGCCGCTCCTTGAGGGCCGAGTCGTCGGCGCGCTCGCCGCCCACCATGGCCTGCTCCAGCTTCTGCAGCCTGGAACGGGGAGAGCAAACTCAGTCTGACTGCAGGAAACCGCGGAGAACTTCACCCAACTCGGAACCCAGAGCGCTGGTTACCTTTTCAGGACCTTCTCCCTGGCGTTGGTTTTCGAAGTCGCCTCGCTGGAAACGTAATTCCACACAAATGAAGTAAATAACAAAACGTTTGCTGTTTGGGAAGAGTGCGGTTCACTCACCTGTTGGCGTTGCTCTTCTGCTTCTGGGCCTCCACCTGCGCCATCTGCCCCTCGAACTGCGTGCGGAGGCGAGCCAGGTCCTCCTGCAGCTGGGCCTTGCTGTCCTGCTCGGCCTGGTACTGCGCGCGCAGCCGCACCATCTCCTGCTCGTACTCGCGCCGAATTTTCTCCGCGTCTGGGACAGGAAAGACTGGAAATGAAGCGCTTCCTTTCCTCTGGCCAGAAAACAAAGACCTCTGAGTTCTGGCGGTTCCGCCTTAGCTACTACCGCCATCGACCGCGAGGACTCAGAGGTCTCGTTTTTCCTGTCAGAGTGTAGGTCGACGCCCGCGGACGGCGGGGTAGGCAACCCAACCTACTCCTGCCCGGCCGACTACCATTACCATTAAGGGCTAGACCACACATGATCGTATGCCGTTTCGGGCCCGACACAGGCCCGCCTGCACTGCAAAACGAGACATGGCCGTCCTTACTCCGCGCGCCCTACCCAAGTCAACCTCCTCGCCGGCGGGGGCGGCGCCCAGCGAGGCCGCCAGTGCGCCCGCCGCCGTCCCCGAGGCCAGCAGCTCCTTCAGCTTGCGGATCTCGTCCTGGTACTCGCGCAGCATCGTGTCCTTGGGGTCCTCGTTGATGTGCGGCCGGTTGCTGATGTTCTTGGCGCGGTTGGCGTACCGCAGCGTGGACAGCGTCTCGTCGTAGTTGTTGTCGGCGGGGGACAGGCACGCCACCATCAGCGTCTTGGTGTTGCCGCCCAGCGAATCCTGCAAGTTTGGAGAGCCACATTGGATACCTCACAATAACACGAGACGTAGTTAGTTGGAACTAGCCGCCAGTACGAAGTTGACGGCCCGAAAAGATGAACAGTTTGATCAATTCTTCGTTGATTTTGCGGCAGCGGCGTGGACGCGCTCGCTCCATGTACATTGGCCGGGCAAACAGAAATTACAGCCGTAAAACGGGGGATTTCTGTTTACCTCCACTTGTTGTCCCTGCGGACTTGTCACCACCGCCTCGCACGCCACGCCCTGCAGGGTCGAAGGGCAGGGCGTGGCAGGGCGTGGCAGGGCGTGGCAGGGCGTGGCAAGGCGTGGCAGGGCTGCATCGACCCGTAGGGCCGTAGGGCCAGTAGGGCCATTCGGCCATCCGCGGCCCTTGGCTTGGTGACTACGCCACGCCATCCCTGAATGCCCCGGCAGGCGGCCGGGCTGCCGGGGTGCCGGGCCGAGACGCGTGTTGACCCTGCCCTCATCGGCACTCGCTCCCCTGCCGCCCCGCAGGCCGCAGGCTGCCCCTCGCGAGCCATCGATTGTGTCGGTATATCGAGTGGCAATGCCCCGCCCGGAGTCCGCGCGAGTCCGCGTCGTCCCTCCCCGCCGTGCCGCGTGCCGCCGACTTCACGGCCAGCGCGTGCCACTGCCCCTACACTGCCCGGACCGATTCCGAGAGTCGTTTTGGTCGCTCTGTCTCTCTCGCACCTGTGCGGGACGCCTTATGAGTGCGGGAGAGACAGAGCGACGAAAGCGACTCTCGGAACCAGTCCGCTGCTGGCCGGGCCTCTTGCCGTCTTGTCAATCCCGTGTGGAACAGATAGGCTGAATGCAAGCTGAACCGCGTCTGAATTTTCAGTCCGTTTTCAGACGCCAGTCAGGCCTCAGTCAGACCGCGTTAAGACGAGATTCAGGCCGTTCGCGACACGAGCAAGGTATGAATGCCGTCTGACGAGCGTCTGACTGGTGTCTGCAAGTGGACTGAACGCGGTCTGAAAAGCGGCTTAGTTTCAGACCGCGTTCAGTCCGTTTTCATTCCGTATTCAGTCCGTATTCAGGCCCACGCCTGGCCGCCCGAAAAAAACGTCGACAGCGTCCAAAACGAAGACCTGCCGGCCGAGGCCTCGTGTTGAACTCGGGACAAGGCGCATGGAATACCGGTGCGTGAATCCGCTTGGCCAGAGCGACTTCTGTGGAGAGATGTGGGACGCTGCGATCCCATTCTGCTGACCAAAGCTTGCTGATACGGTTGAGACATGTGATGTGTGAGTTAAACCTTTTCCAAGTGGGGTAGAAACGGGTTTGCCTCTGTCTGGTGTTGTAGTGGAGAACAATCTTACTCTTTTCCGTGGCTATGATTTTTAGGGTTGTGCCATTTTAAAACGTAAAGAGCCTTTCTTCCAAGTAGTTCTCTCCGCAGCGTAATACGTATCAGCAAGCTTTGGCCAGCAGAATGGGATCGCAGCGTCCCCATCCCTCCACAGAAGTCGCTCTGGCCAAGCGGATTCACGCACCGGTATTCCATGCGCCTTGTCCGGAGTTCAACACCAGGCCTCGGCCGGCAGGTCTTCGTTTTGGACGCTGTCGACGTTTTTTTCGGGCGGCCAGGCGTGGGCCTGAATACGGACTGAATACGGAATGAAAACGGACTGAACGCGGTCTGAAACTAAGCCGCTTTTCAGACCGCGTTCAGTCCACTTGCAGACACCAGTCAGACGCTCGTCAGACGGCATTCATACCTTGCTCGTGTCGCGAACGGCCTGAATCTCGTCTTAACGCGGTCTGACTGAGGCCTGACTGGCGTCTGAAAACGGACTGAAAATTCAGACGCGGTTCAGCTTGCATTCAGCCTATCTGTTCCACACGGGATGTTTAAACTCCGGCACGGAGGAGCAAGGACCGCACGCGCCGCGTGGCGGTTGTTGCCCCTCCAGAAGGATTGGCCTGGCCTGGCCATGCAGGCCGCCGACTGGTTCCGAAGATCAGCGAAGGGGGTATGCCGGTCGCTAGCGGAAGGTATGAAGGTCTCTGATTGGTCGAGTCCTCCCACTCTGGCCAGAAAACGAAGACCTCGAGCTAGTCGAGCTCTCGCGGTTGGGGGCCTTTTCAGTAGCGGCAAGGCGAGAATTCAGTCTTTGGTTTCTTGTCAAAGTGAAGTGGTCGAAACCTCCCTCCAGCGATCTTTGGAACCAGTCGGCTGGCCAACTGCGCGGTACGCGGCCAACCCCGTCATGCTCCCGGTCGATGAAGCCCGACGGACGACGCCCGATTGTATACCTGCAGCAGTCGGGTGAGCTTCGAGTCCCGGTACGGGATGTGCTTGCTCTTGCCGTCCACCAGCGCCGAGATGACGTTGCCGAGCGCCGACAGCGACAGGTTGATCTTCATGGCCTCCTTCAGCCTCTCCCCGGTGGCACCTGTTGGCAATCGCAGTTCATCGGTACCGGAGCGGCGGCGTGCTCGAAGCCGCACCCCCACCGCAAGAACCGCTCTGCCGTGCGATTCTGAAGGAAAGCCCCGTCGCTCTCTCTCTCTCTCTCTCTCTCTATCTCTCTCTCTCTCTCTCTCTCTCTCTGTCTCTGTCTCTCTCTCTCTCTCTCTCTCTCTGTCTCTCTCTCTGTCTCTCTGTCTCTCTCTGTCTCTCTGTCTCTTCCCTCTCTCTCTCTCTCTCTCTCTCTCTCTCTCTCTCTCTCTCTCTCTCTCTCTCTCTCTCTCTCTCTCTCTCTCTCTCTCTCTCTCTCTCTCTCGTGTCCCTGCGCTGCGGGGTGCCCCAAGTGCGACAGAGACGTACCGGTCTTGGACTGGCGCTCACTGCCGGCCAGGTCCACGAGGTTCAGCTTGCCGCGGCGGATGCGGCCCGACGAGAGGCACGACGTGAGCTCCTTGTCGCTCAGCCTGTCGGCGCGCGCCGACGCGGGCGCCTTGAAGCCGTCCTCCAGGGCCATGGTCTCCAGCGAGATGCTGAAGATGGAGTGGGACCTGCGGGCACACTGTCGGTCACGACGCCGTCCTCGTGTGGGACACTGATACAGTGGCCATGTTTCCGAACCTGGAGGACTCAGAGTTCATGAGCGTGGCGCCCACGGATCTGTTGCGCCAGCCCTTGTCCATGAGGCGCTCGCAGTCCGCCACGCTCTGCACCGGGTGCGAGGAGAGGTCTGTGAAGCAGAGGGTGGTCAGTCTCCCGGACACGGTGGACACCGCGCAGCACCGCGCAGTGCCCAGTGGGCCAGAAGGCCGGTGGAGGCGGTCGAAATCCCAGACGCGTTTTGTCCTCATACTAGTCGCTAAATGGGATACTCGAACCGAAGGTGTGACCCCACCAATGGATTGCTCTCCGAACGAGGAAGCCATTGCAGAGGTCACACTCTCGGTTCGAGTCCTGTTTAGCGACTCTGGGGCTCAAAACGCGTCTAGAGTTTTGGCCGCCGACGCTGGTCTCTGGTCTTGGCCCACAGTGCAGGCTCCAGGTCGAGGCCCGGGACTCACCGTGGACGTAGACGCCCCTCTCCGCATTCTCGCGCAGCTCCAGGCCGCGTCGAGGGTCGCTGCCCAGCAGGTCCCGGATCTCCTCGTTGTAGATCTCGAGGTAGGAGGCCAGGACCAGGAAGCGGTGCTTGGCGTCCACGGACACGGCCTCGAACACGTGCTCGAAGGCGCGGGGGATGATGCCGCGCTGGTTGGCCGGCTCGCGGACGCCCTGCATGGTGAAGCTCTTGCCGCATCCCGTCTGGCCGTACGCGAAGACGGTGCTGTTGTAGCCCTCCAGCACGCCCTGTCGAGAGAGACAACATTTAGCATCGTCGGACTGGTGGACAATCCAGTGAACCACTGCGACCTGCACTGGTAAAACTAAAGCGCAGTACTGAGCTTCGTTGAAGCATGCAACGCGGAGTGCACTGCAGGCTTGGTCGGTGCGGGTCAGGTCACACGCTGCGCGCGGAAGGGGTTGACTCGCAGCCCACAGTGTCACAATAACTCGAAAGTTGCAAAAAATAGATAAATGTTGACGTAGATTTGGACTAGGAAGGCCCCGACGCCCTTCTTGAAGCGCACGACAACGTTTCATGATAATAGCCCCCATGCATTTAGATAGGAGGAATGGAGCCTTCAAAGGAGCGCGTGAGCTCTGGTGCGCTTGAAGAAGGCCGTGCGGACTGTACTCTTCACGGAAGGCGCTATCTTACGCCAGAGTTTTACCAGTGTGAGTTGAAATCTACGTCAATGTTCTTGTTTTTCTCTTTTTTTTTGCACGTTTTGTGTCCTGGTGACACTGTGGGCTGCTAGGCGACCCCTTCCGCACGCAGCGTGTGACCTTGCACCGCACTGCACTCCGCGTTGCATGTTCCCGCCTCGCCGTTGCGCTCTTGATTGACGTGCAACTCGAATGCGCGCGCGTTCCGCCACGGTTCCGCCGGACTGCCGGACTGGAGCGATTACCGCCTAATTGTCGACCTCACGGCACTGCGCAGCGCTTTCACCCCGCTCTGTCTCTCTCGCACTCACGGTTCGCCCCGGCGGGCACGAGGGAGACAGAGCGATGAAGCGCGCAAGGTCACGGCGACGACGCGCCGGGCTCACCTCGACCAGCGGGTAGGCGATCTCGTTGTAGAGGTTCTCGGTGTTGGAGCCCGTCGGGTACACGCCGTCGAAGGTGAACGTCTTGGGCGGCGCCGACGGGTCGCCCGGGTTCTGGATGCTGCAGGTGCATCGCTGGAGGTCCATGGCCACCACACACTGCGGCCAGACAGAGAAGTCGCTTGGAAACATCCCCAAAATGATTTTCGTAGTGTGAGTGGATGTGCGCGCGTGGCGGCATGTAGACTCGTGCGGCCACGGGCGTGCTTGTTGAGGGGGTTCATGTTGTTGCAGTCGTGTTGCTGCTGGCTGGCGGCCTGTTATGTGGGTCACGTCACATCAAGCCATCGATTCCACCCACGCCGACATGCCGCCGTGCCGCGCCGCTCCGGCCGTGCGGAGTGCGACGTGGACGTCGGCCGGGAGTCACCGCGACGTCATTCCGACACCACGCCGACGTCACCCTCCCCCGGGGCCCGGCAAATCCCGCCGTAATTCAAGCAGCTTTAAACCGCGGCCCTCCCCCGAGTGCCCCGATCCATCACCCCGAAGGAGGGCCGCCCCGCCGCACCCCGCCGCACCCCACCCCGCCCCGCCCCGCGTTCAGCCCTGCGGCCCCCGCGGGGTACCGTCGCGGCGCTGGACGCAGACGGCCCGACCTACTAACGCCCCCACGGGGGCGTCGCCGGGAGGGGAGGGGGGGGGAACAGTCGAAAAGGCATCAGGGTGCACGAACACGGAGTAGGCGGCGGCGGGGCGGCGGGGCGGCGGGTGTCTGGCTGGAGGGGTCAGCGGGGGCCGCGCCGGGGAAGGTAATGGTCAGCACGCAGCGGCGTAGTGCTGCAGACTGATTCCGAGAGTCGTTTTCGTCGCTCTGTCTCTCTCTCACGCATGGGACGTCCAGCAAGTGCGAGAGAGACACAGCGACGGGGACGACTCTCGGAATTAGCCTGTAGGAAATCAGTGGCGGAGCGGGGAGCCGTTGGGGTGGACAGGTAATTGAAAGCGCCCCGAAGGGCCACGCGCCGACGCCGCGCCGCCGAGAGCCCCTCCCTCCCCCCGCCCTACGCCACTGGTGCCGCCCGGCCCGGCACACCGGCCCGCCCCTACGCCGCTTGCAAATCCGTCACTGCCACCCACAACCCACACACCGCGGGCGCCGCGTGCACGGCGTGGGCGCGAAGGCCCAAAGGCCCGCCCATTCACACGTGCTTCGATCCGAGTGTCCCGGGTCCCTGAGTGCCCTAAAGGCGCCACCAGTATCGCCCCGCGCCCTGCACCGCCAGTGTGGTGGACGCGGGGCGGTGCGGCCCGTGTGGCCGAGTGACGGTTGGGGTAGGCCGCCGGCTGGCGTTGCTCAGCGTTGCTCCGCGGGTTGCCTGTACGGCCGAACCGGGAAGGGCTCTAAGTCCTCGCGGTCGAGAGCCACTGCAGTGGTGACCAAGGCGCCAGTGGCCCTTAGAGCTCGGGGAGTTACCTCTACCAAGTGAGCACCAGAAAATTAATGAGTAGCGCGCGCTGCCGCCGTCGTTCACGCTTCGTTTCCAGTGGTGCGGCGCCGAGCGCGGCCAGACCAGACCGGACCAGGCCAAACCAACGATCCACCGAACATCGAACCAGATCCGAACAAGCGATGTGTACCGCACTCCGCCGGGCTGCCACAGGGCTGCCCTCTCGCCGTGCGTGTCCCGCGCCGCTACCCTGTTTCGCAATCCAACAACAATAAGAGCGGAACAATCGGTTGTTCAGCTGTTATTGTTGTTTTTTTAGGGGGGGATTGATCGCGCGTATTAACAAGTGGTTTTCCGAAAAAAAGAAGAAACAGTTGGTTTGCAGTGTACTACCCTTGGCGTCACCTCGTGAAGGTCGCCGTCTGGCACGCTAATGCGACGACAACACCTGTAATTTGGTGTCATCCTTTTTCCGTCCTGCCCGGCCCAGTCAGACCTACCCTGGGCCTTACCCTGGGCCCTACCCCACTCCGACATGGCATTGGCAATGAGAGAAACCGTGATTAATTTAACACGCAGGTCGGTCGACGAGCAACATACCACTGGCAGCACCCCCTCCACCCCGAACTACGCCTTGACGGGCCCCACCGGGCTGTCCGATGGGCGGACATGAGTTGTCCCGAAGTCGCTTTGTCATACCCCCACCACTTCCCCCGTCACGAACACACCACGTGGGGGTTTGGCTTCTCACAGATTAACCTGTGGGAACTGTCGGCCGTTTAATTGTCTTTCATCCCTCTCGTGTGTGCGGTGTGCTGGCATGTCATGGCCGACGCCCGCCACCCGCCCAAGGCCAATGCGGCCGGCTCGATCCACGCAAACAGTTAGTTAAGCACATAATACCGTTTATTAATTTTTGCCGGCTTTGTTATGGACCGACAAAGTGTTCCCATAACAATCGACATTCGACCACCTCCGACCTTCTCCGTGACACGAAGCTACGTATCCCTATCTCCGGACAATCCCACACATGCGAAGCGGAAGGAAAGGTTAGGGTCAAACGCGCAATTTTTTCCCCTGCCATGAAGATTGTTACGATAAAACATAAACTTTTGTAAAAAAAAAATCAGCGTCGCTTTTTCAGCTGTAGCTTACCTTGCACTTCATCTCCTTCTCTCGCGTGTTCATCGGGCGGCAGCGCACCACCACCTTGACGTTCTCCGACCCCATGGTGGCTGCTGCAACACAACACGAGAAGCAAGTCAGTGCCTCGGGCGAGGGTAGCCACCCCACAGAGACATTCACAGGCGGCGTTCTGATACCGTGGCATTGCCCACTGAAAGAGGAGTCCACTGGCACCATCGTGGTCTTGATTCTTCCTTTTAAACGATTATCTAACTCAAATTGAGACCGGGACTAAACTCCAGTCCCCATCACAGAGATTGCACAGTGTAGGTCACCTGTCCATAGACCTGTTTACAAACAGGTCGCCTACACTGTGCAACCTCTGAGTCATGCGGATGACCGCGCCCGCGCCTGAACAGAAAAAAAAACACTAGGAAAGGTGGGGGAGGAAGTCGCGAATGGGACTGGAAACGAGAAAAACGAGGAAATTGGCAAGAAACAGGTGATTTGCATTGAGTGTGCGGGTGCGCCTCGGGTTTCCCTCGGGTTCGGGTTCCCCGAAGCGAAGCGCGGCCTCGCGGTGGGTCTCGGTCGCGTGGGCAGCGCCTGTTAGCCCCGTCCGGCCAATGCGTTACTGCCCTGCCGCGCCGCGCTTTCTGACCTGCCTACATTGCCTATGTTCTCCGGCAGAACTCATCAGGCCCGCCCGGAGCTCCGCAGGTGACCGGGTCGCCGCCAGGCCGCCATGAGTCACAGCCTTGGGTAGGGAATTCCGGCCAGCGGTCAGCACTGCAAATCCAGAGGGAAGTTTCCTTGCCGCAAAACTGACACGTTTGCTTGCCAGACACCGGGATGCCCTATCGGAATGCCTAATTTTGGCATTCCGATCGGCTAGAGCAGCGGTTCCCAACCTTGGGGTCGCGACCCCAAATGGGGTCGCGAAAAAATTTTGAGGGGTCGCGGCGAGGTGGCTGGGGTCGCCTGGGGTCGCGGTGGTTTCCCGGCTGGTCCACACGCCGAGCACTGGCTGCTTAAATGCCGCAAAGTTGATCAAAACGGTCACAAATGTGTGTAAAAGATCGTGTTTTGGGTCGACTTTAAGCATCCACTGCTTCTGATCCGAGGCGGTAAATCGCCCTCCCTCAACGGGCAATTGGTCTTTGGACCTTCCTTTTGCATGCCTTTGTTACGGAGTGCAATTATCTGCCTCAGTTTGGAAGCAGTACTGCCGCAAAGTTGGTCTAAACAGTCACAAATGTCTGTGAAAAATCGTGTTTTGAGCCGACTTTAAGCATCCACTGCGTCTGATCCGAGGCGGTAAATCGCCCTCCCTCAACGGTCAATTGGTCTTTAGACCTTCCTTTAGCATGCCTTTGTTACGGAGTGCGATTATCTGCCTTAGTTTGGGAGCAGTTTTGCCACAAAGTTGATCAAAACACGATTTTTCAGACATTTGTGACCGTTTTGATCAACTTTGCGGCAAAACTGCTCCCAAACTAAGGCAGATAATCGCACTCCGTAACAAAGGCATGCTAAAGGAAGGTCTAAAGACCAATTGACCGTTGAGGGAGGGCGATTTACCGCCTCGGATCAGACGCAGTGGATGCTTAAAGTCGGCTCAAAACACGATTTTTCACAGACATTTGTGACTGTTTAGACCAACTTTGCGGCAGTACTGCTTCCAAACTGAGGCAGATAATTGCACTCCGTAACAAAGGCATGCAAAAGGAAGGTCCAAAGACCAATTGCCCGTTGAGGGAGGGTGATTTACCGCCTCGGATCAGAAGCACTGGATGCTTAAAGTCGACCCAAAACACGATCTTTTACACACATTTGTGACCGTTTTGATCAACTTTGCGGCATTTAAGCAGCCAGTGCTCGGCGTGTGGGCCAGCCGGGAAACCACCGCGACCCCAGGCGACCCCAGCCACCTCGCCGCGACCCCTCAAAATTTTTTCGCGACCCCATTTGGGGTCGCGACCCCAAGGTTGGGAACCGCTGGGCTAGAGTGCCGAAATTTGGCAGTTATTGTGGAATGCCAAAAATCGGGGTTCAAACGAATGCCATTCTCTGGCTAGGTTAGACCTAAATTCGGCATTCCGATTGAGATTCCGGTGCAGAGAATGCAAATTTTCGGCATTCTAGTGCGCCAAGTTCTGGCAAGCAACGAAACCTGCCGCTTGAATGGCAGTGAGTTTTTAGCACTCGACGCCGATTGTGATCTGGCAAGCGGTGCAACAGCGCGCTCGCTGGTCGTGGGGGCGGGCATGGCGGGCATGTCGTGCCGGCTCGCAGAGATGGGGTGCGGATACTCGCTTTGCGTTATCTGCTGGAGACTGGCGGGGGTGGGGCGGGGCGGGGCGGGGCGCGGCGGGGCGGCCGGTGGACGGCGGCGGCAGCATGGCGCCCGCGAATGCCCGGGTAGGCAACTGGGCGGCACGCGCGCTCGGCGGGCTGGCCTACCCGCCGCTTGGCAGGCGCTCGGCTCCAGCGAGGGCCGCCAGGGCTCCGGTCGCCCCACCTACAGTGGGTCAGAAGACCAGTGGAGGCGATCAAAATGCCGGACGCTTTTTGAGCTTCAGAGTCGCTAAGTGGGACTCGAACGGAACGTGTTACCCCATCAATGGATTGCTCCCCGAACGAGGATCAATCTGTGGTGGGGTGCGAGTCCTGTTTAGCGACTCTGGAGCTCAAAAAGCGTCTTGAGTTTTGGCCGCCTCCACCGGTCTTCTGGCCCACTGTGCGCCTTCGCCTCGCTGCAGCCGCTACAGCCACAACTAACGCCACAGTCCCAGTCGCTCGTGCACATCGCGTTACGTTGCTCGGAAATGGACATGTCAACACGGCGGCCGCCACACTCGGAGGACCTGCACGCGAAAGCGGAAACCCTCTTCGCGGCCTGGCGGGCGGAAACGCGAAAGCCACACGATGACTTCCGGTGAGTCGACCAACGACCTGCCGCTGTCTTTGAAGAGACCGCGGCGTCACGGCCGGGAACCCGAAAACCCCTGCCTTCCAGGTGAGAGGGGGCGGGGGCGGGGGGCTGACAGGTGAAAAATGAACCCTTGGCCCTTCGGGTCAATGAAACCGCGCACCGCGCCTCACCGACAGGCCGGCAGGGCAGGGCGGCGAAATCCCGCCGCGTTTTCTCCTGCGCCGCCCAAGTGGTGCAACTCGGGCTTCGCGGCTTCGCGGCTTCGCGGCTTCGCGGTCACGACCGTGACGTCGGCGAGGTCCGCGGCGGACGCGCGGCTTTCGAGGGCCTTCGTGTCGCTCCGTGTCGGCGCGCCGGGGCCTCGGCCGGGGCTTTCGGAGGCGATCCAATCATTGCAGCAATCTGCGTAATTGTGTATCGACTCGGCCGGAGGACAGAAACTGATCATCGTGACGTCAGAGGCGCGACCACGATGTCCTTTCAATGTTGCCTCTTTCGGCTTGTCGCTTTTCGGGCCTCGGCCCGGCCCCTCAAACAGCCTACATGATGCCGATGCCCTTCCCCCGAGGGGGCCGAGAACGAGGCTCTGTTTGGACTGCAATTATTGATCGACCAGGCAAGCCGGCCAGCGAAATGGAACACACCCAGGTACCTCGGCCGGCCCTAATGTTTAACTTTGCAGATGGATTCCCCCGTGCTGGCCGTGCTGGCCGTGCTGCGGGACCCTCGCCCGCCATCCGGCAATCTGGCACAAGGTCAGCCCGGGGGGCTGCCAGCCTGGCCTAGTGGGCCTGGCCGGGCGCGCTTGGCGTGACCAGCACGGGGCGTCGGCCCGGTCGACCCCCCGCCGACTCGGCGGACTCGGCCTCCGCGGCGGACTCGCCGTGCTCGCCGTGCTGGGCGTGTTTACAGCGGCGCGGCTTGCACGGCCGCGGGGCCCTCGGCCTTCGGGCCCTTGGCACAATTAGCAGTGCACTCACGGAGCACCGCGCGGCGCGTAAACAAACGGAAAGTGGTTCCCCCACGCCCGGCACGCTAAAATGATTTCTAATTTATCCACCGGTCTACTACGTGCCTGACAACCACATCAAGTCCGACAGGCGCGTATCTAAACTCAAATTAAAGGGGGGGGGAGAATGTCGCACCTTTTGCCTACTTACTGGTGGATTGTATCACAAATTGCCTACAGGCGTTTTATTAAGGGTGAAAGTAGGGGGCTGACCACGAGCTGGATACGCGTCTATTCCTTCTATTTATATCTTCCAATTTCTTTTATATGATTATTTGTGGCACCCGCGGGTTTACCGTTTGTCTGACGTCGTGGTCCCGGGTGACCCTGGTGACAGGGGAGGCTCGTCAGGGGCGCAGGGCCGGCACATGGTCGGCGGGGCGCTCAGCAGCTCGGCGGAACTCCGCGGCGGGCGCGGGGCGGGGCGCGGGGCGGGGCGCGGGGCGCGGCGCGGCCAGTCCGGACGGCGGACGGCACCGACGGCGACGACGCGACCACCGCGTCCAGCACGAGCATGGCCGCGAGGGAGCTGCGCTTCGCGTCGCGAGTGGGCGGGCTGGTGACCAGCTCGGCGTCAGCGCTGTCCCGGCCGAACTGGCCACGGCCACGCCGGCGCGGCCTGGCTGGGCCCGGCCTGCCCTCCGCCGCGGCCCCGCCACCCCCTCCGGGGCACACGGGGCGCGAGGGGCGCGACCCCCACCACCGCGAGCCGGCACTCGGGCGCCGAAAAGCGTGCCGCCGCGGCGGTCAGTTGGCCCGCCGACCCGCCACCGCATTCCCGAAGCTTGGCTTGTTTGTTTACCAGTGGAAGTTGCCGTTGCCCTGCTGCGTCAAGCTTCTGCACACAATGTAAGGGTGCACTTCCTCGTAAAGAGGAGTCCGCCGCTGCATGCCCAGCTTCGCTGAAGAGTAATTCGTGAATTTCTGTTTGTTTGCTTTGTTCAGCTGAACGAACAATGTCGTTCGTGATGACGCATCGTTTCTGCCAGAGCACGGCGCGAAACGGCGCGGGAGCTTGTGTGCGGAGGCTCTGGCGGCTTTGGGTCATGATAAGGACCGAGAAGCGCACGACCCGCGCGCCCGGTCCTCGTGGAAACCCGTGGCACAACAATAACAACAAAATTACACCCAGTTTGTAGCAGTTTCTTTAGGCATTGCATCCGTTTTTACTCGCAGACGGCCGCGCGGGCGCCGTTGATGGCGGTTCTGTCCAGCTTGGAGAACTGGTTGAGCACGGCTATGTCCGCGCGGGCTGGACTCCGGGTGGTGTTCTGATACGTGTTCACCTTGCAGGACTGTCCGAAATAGGCTTGGCAGGTGGCTGCCTGAGCCGCTGTGTCGATAAGTTCCAGGAAGCCCCCCTGAGCACTCGGGAGTACCACCTGTTAGATAACACACAGCCCAGAGGTGCAATTGTGGCATAGGTTTGTTCGGGTACTTGACAGCAGTAACCCATCACCAAAAGTGAGATTTTCGTCGAAAAACTTACATTTCTGTAATTGATGAACTTATTCCCCTCGGCGAGAATATACGATCCTCTCCTCGGCTCCATACCGTTGTGCTTGTTTGTGTCAAACTCGTTACCCACCAGATGAACCACAGATTTCTGAAACAGAACGCTCGTTATATTCAAAATTCGTGAGCTAATATTTATCACGACACAATAAAAGATAGTAAAACATACCGCTGTAGACGTTCCAGACGCGTGAGGGATCCTGCCCGCCACGTTGTAGACACGGTTGTTGAAAAGCGTGATCTGGTCGTTGGTGCCCCAGAAGAGCCACAGCCAGTAGTGCTGGCCGTCGCAGTACACGGAGTACGGCGTGGTGCCGTCGAACTGGCAGGAGGAGACGGTGATGCCGGTGTTGGCGTACGTCCACGTCACCAGGTGCATGCGGCCGATGCGCTGAACAAACCAAGTGCACCGTCAGAGAGCTCTGCACAGTGGGCCAACTCCGGTGGAGGTGGCCAAACTTCTAGACGCGTTTTGAGCTCCAGATTCACTAAACGGGACACGAACCGTACGTGTGACCCCACCAATGGATTGATCTTCGAACGAGGAATCCATTGATGGGGTCACTCGCTCGGTTCGAGTCCCATTAGCGCAGTGGTTCTCAACCTTAGGGTCGCGACCCCAAGTGGGGTCGCGAAAAAATTTTAAGGGGTCGCGGCGAGGTAGCTGGGGTCGTGTTTTGGGCCGATTTTAAGCAGCCACTGCGTCTGATCCGAGGCGGGCATTTTGCTCCCTCAACCGGCAATTGGTCTTTGAACCTTCCTTTAGCATGCCTTTGTTACGGAGTGTGATTATCAGTCTTAGTTTGGGAGCAGTATTGTCTCAAAGTTGGCCGAAACGGTCAGCAGTGTCTTTGAAAAATCGTGTTTTGGGCCGATTTTAAGCAGCCACTGCGTCTGATCCGAGGTGGGCATTTTGCTCCCTCAACGGGCAGTTGGTCTTTGGACCTTCCTTTAGCATGCCTTTGTTACGGAGTGCAATTATCAGTCTTAGTTTGAGAGCAGTATTGTCTCAAAGTTGGCCGAAACGCTCAGAAATGTCTATGAAAAATCGTGTTTTGGGCCGATTTTAAGCAGCCACTGCGTCTGATCCGAGGCGGGCATTTTGCTCCCTCAACGGGCAATTGGTCTTTGGACCTTCCTTTAGCATGCCTTTGTTACGGAGTGCGATTATCAGTCTTAGTTTGGGAGCAGTATTGTCTCAAAGTTTACCAAAACGGTCAGAAATGTCTTTGAAAAATCGTGTTTTGGGCCTATTTTAAGCAGCCACTGCGTCTGACCCGAGGCGGTATTTCGTCCTCCTTCAACGGGCAATTGGTCTTTGGACCTTCCTTTAGCATGCCTTTGTTACGGAGTGTGATTATCAGTCTTAGTTTGGGAGCAGTATTGTCTCAAAGTTGGCCGAAACGCTCAGAAATGTCTTTGAAAAATCGTTGTGCCTGTTTTGGTCAACTTTGAGACAATACTGCTCCCAAACTAAGACTGATAATCGCATTCCGTAACAGAGACATGCTAAAGGAAGGTCCAAAGAACAATTGCCCGTTGAGGGAGCAAAATGCCCGCCTCGGATCAGACGCAGTGGCTGCTTAAAATCGACCGAAAACATGATTTTTTAAGACATTTCTGAGCGTTTTGGCCAACTTTGAGACAATACTGCTCCCAAACTAAGACTGATAATCGCACTCCGTAACAGAGGCATGCTAAAGGAAGGTCCAAAGATCAATTGCCCGTTGAGGGAGCAAAATGCCCGCCTCGGATCAGACGCAGTGGCATGCTAAAGGAGGGGTCCCGTGGGGTCGCGAAACTTTTCCTGGGGGTCGCGGAAATTTTTGGCTACAAATTTGGGGTCGCGAGCCGAGAAAGGTTGAGAACCGCTGCATTAGCGAATCTGGACCTCAAAACGCGTCTAGAACTGGTCTTCTTGCCCACTGTGCCCTGGAGTTCGCGTCCGATATGAGTCCCGGCCCACCCGACACGCACCCTAAACGTGCAGTTGTGGATCCACACGTTGGACACTCGGTCGAAGATTATGGCGTCGCCTCCCCAGATGACTTGCGGGTTGATGTCCTGGAAGGTGATGTCGCGGACGATGACGTTGTTGGCAAGGCTGATGCGGAGACCCTTGCCCACGAGGACGCCCTTCCCGTTGGTGCTCCGGATGGTCTTGTTCGAGGACACGATCAGCCCAGTCGTGCCGGCCTTGTAGTAGGAAACCTGAGACCAAGGCAAAGTGGAGGCTTAGAGGGAGGAATCCAGACACCCTCGCTGCCCGTGGATCTTTACCCTTCCTTTCGCCTCTCACGTACGGTCGTGCTATTCCGGTTGGCGCAAGAAGTCGAATCATGGATGAGGGACTTTTGGCCGTTGCCGCCACAGTTGTTGTAGAAGCACCCTTTGTCGTTGGCCGTGCCCTCCGACTTGGTGAAGTCGAACGTCGTCTGCAGGTCAATGATTAGCCTCTCTGTGCTCTTGAGGAAGTCCGTCAGCTGGCTGAGGCTGGTGGGTACGACGGTCCTGCCTGCGACGGAAACCACAGGCAGCTATGGTACAATGCTGCTTTACATTTATAAATAAATTGTTTTCAAAAATTAGTCAAGCTGCTAATGCTCGTCCAACAATAGGAGAGAGCAGACGAAATGCGAACAGACAAAAGGGCCTTTACACACCTCCCGAGCCACCGGTGGTGTTGCGACCAAAGCCGACCGGGGTGGAAATGCATTTCGGATTCCAGGCCGGCACGAGGATGGGGAGCACCAACAAGACGACGATGCCGACCTTCATGTTGGAGAGGCTCCGCATGTACTGACACCCACGAGGTAGGTGTGTGGTGCGAATATAGCCACGCGCGTCACGACTGTCGCGGACGTTGTGAACCACGAAAACTTTATTAACGACAGGAACAGATGGAAAGTTCACAATATTGCTTCATCGTTCACACTGCATACTACAAAGACAAACAAAAATAAATTTCAACACAAACACTGTTATTCAACGAATGTGACGTCATATTCGTTAGAATGTGAATAATGTCACGTTTGTTTAAATATAATGTCACATTCATTTGAATGTTGATCCATGTTCAAACGATTGTGACACCCTAATTAAAGAGCCGTGTCACGTCCAAACAAATTTGACATCGTATGGAAAAGAACGTGACAAAATTCACATTCTAACAAATATGACGTCGTTGAATTACAGGGAAGAGCAATCGACTTGTTTGTTTGGGAGTTGTTTATTGGGCTGAGTGTCACGGTTGGTCACGATTGATTTGTGTGACGTCATCCTGAGACCGTGACGTCAAACTAGCGCCCTATCACCTTTCACTATGACACGATTACGATTTAACTCGGTGAAATATAGAGTATGAATCGATGCAAAAGTTAGAAACTAACACGGATCGAGGCACTTTCTCAGAAATATCCCCAGTAGTTATCAGCGTTAGCATGGACGGGACGGGCTGTGCGACGGAGAGCGTCGTTTGTCTAATGCTCCTCGTCTGGATTAAGGAGTAGCGAGAACCTCAGTGCCAGGGGAGATGTTCACACTAGGTCACGGGCAGGCTGAAGCAGTCTGCAGATAGGGCCTACCGAAGATGGCACGGCAAGCGCTGCTGCTCCTAGCAGTCGCTGGCATAACGGTAAGTTTCTCGTAAAAGTAGTTTCGGAGTTGTCGAACAACTTTTGGCTGGATAGCGAAGGGTCCTGACCAATTAGCATTAATCCAATCATTTCTATTTGTTTATTCCTGTGAAAGTGTCGCAAATTGGTCATGGAGTGTTCCTTTTTATGAAAAAAGATTTGTGTTTCTTATTACGATTCTAAACAAGCTGACGTCCAAAAGAAACTCACAAAACTTTTTACTACACACTGTTTTTAATAAGACTTCGACTGTATCCACGGGACAAAAATTATTAGGAAAGGCATAACTTTGATGTCACTTGGCCAGGGCGACAAACAAAAAGTTCCAAACTTATGCGCACACGTCGCTCATGTTCTACTTTTGTTTTATCTCCTGGTAGCAAACCATAGCCGTGCCGCTTGACGCAGACTGTGGTGGCCAGCTAACATTCTGTTATGACTGTTCGACTCTTTTGACGTAAGTACTTAATATTAACAATTTGTTTGTTGATCGTCTTTAAACTGAAATATCTGCTTTGTTAGCTGCCGAAAATTAGGCAACTTCTACCGGCCCCTCTCGCAAACCACCTGCCCTTCGAGCACTCCTTACTGCCAGAATGGGGCCTGCGTGGCCCAAGGTGGCTCGTGCCTCAGCCCAGCAACCGCGGCTCCAGGTGCCACCACGGCCACGCCATCAAGTGGGGGATTCGCCTGCACCTCCGACGGCTACTTCCCGGACCCCAGCAACTGCCGCCGCTACTACTTGTGCGCTGAAGGAACCGCGTACGCCTACGAATGTACCAACAGGCGCACACTGTATGGCCACGACAAGGCCATGTGCGTTTTCGAGTAAGTGTCTAGGCCATGTCTCCAGAGTAAAAAAACAGCCATTTGTGTAAATAAGAAGTTACTTGTTTGTAAAAATATCAAGAAGTGATACTCGCTAAAAAAATGTTATATTCCAGTCTTCATGAAACTAAACTATGTGTTGATAGTGCCTTACCACTATTACAATGTAAGACATTGTATTACATAATTTTAAAACGTGTGTTTATTTTGACAGCACTGAGGCTAGATGCACTACAACCTCGTGCACAGCAAATCAAGTGGGCACATACCAACTCTACCAGCAAGACCCAACTGTGTACATTGTCTGCACAAATACTAGGCCAGAAGACGCGCAGGTATTTTATATTATAATATATCCAAAACAGAAAACAAGTCCATCCTCTTAAAGCTTCTTGTATTTCCTACGTACAGGTAGGGAGATGCCCAGCCAATTACACAATTACACAAACAGGGCAATGCGAGCCCTCGTGCACGGCTGATGGACGGTACGCACCAGTATCAGGTTAGGTTTTAATTTAAAAATTACACCTGGAACCACGCCATGGAAATCAATAATTCAAGTCAGTCTTTTTTTCAACAGGTGGTGAGGCTAACACATACCTGGAATGTATAAAGACGAGTTCAACAACGTTTGCTGGCCCGACCATACAAAGATGCCCAGGGTCATGGATCTATGAGCCCACAACCCAAAGGTGTGTACCCGCTCCACCAGCAACTACAACGCCAGCAACAACAACGACGAGTACGACGCAGACCCCACCAACAACTACAACAAGGGCGACAACAACCACTCTAACAACCACATCTGCACCGTCATCTGTTCTTACGAGCATAGCTGCACCCGCGTCCGTACCAACTGCAGAAGGTACATCCACATCGGGTGCCGCGCTTGTAACAACCGAAGCTGCCTCCACACCTGCACAAGCAACCTCATCTGCTTCTCCATCTGCACCAACAACCGAAGCAGTTTCTTCACCTGGACCGACAACCAATGCCGCTTTCCCGGCTACCGCTACAACCGAAGCTGCTTCCTCCATTGCAGCAACAACCGAAGATGCTTTCTCCGTTGCCGCAACAACCGAAGATGTTTCGTCATCAGATGCCACTTCAGGGCTGACAACCGATGCTCCGGAAGTATCATCAACTGACACAGCCTCATCAGATGCCCAGTCCAACCCAACAACAGGGGCTGCTTCATCACCAGATACACCATCTGTTCTACCAACAGAAAGTGCTTCCTCTTCTCCACAAACAACAGACGCTGATTCTCCATCTGTGCCAACAACCGAAGCTGTTTCATCACCAGACACCTCATTAATATCAACAACCGAAGGTGCGACCTCATCAGATGTCCCGCCTTTGCAAACAACAGAAGCTGCTTCTTCAGATCTCCCATTTATACCAACAGCTGGAGCTGGATCATCAGATGCCCCATCTGCACAACCAACGGATAATGCTTCCTCATCTCCAACAACCGAAGCTACATCATCAGACGCTCCAGTAGTATCAACAACTGAAGCTGCCACATCATCAGGGGCTCCAGTCCCAACCGCGCAACCAACGGATAGTGTTTCATCCTCTGCACAAACAACGGACGCTGATTCTCCATCTGTACCAACAACTGAAGCTGTTTCATCAACAGACACCCCATTCGTATCAACAACCGAAGGTGCGACCTCATCAGATGTCCCGCCTTTGCAAACAACAGAAGCTGCTTCTTCAGATCTCCCATTTATACCAACAGCCGGAGCTGGATCATCAGATGCCCCATCTGCACAACCAACGGATAATGCTTCCTCACCTCCAACAACCGAAGCAACATCATCAGACGCTCCAGTAGTAGCAACAACTGAAGCTGCCACATCATCAGGGGCTCCAGTCCCAACCGCGCAACCAACGGATAGTGTTTCATCCTCTGCACAAACAACGGACGCTGATTCTCCATCTGTGGCAACAACTGAAGCACCAGACGCCCCATTAGAATCAACAACCGAAGGCACGGCCTCATCAGATGTCCCGCCTTTGCAAACAACAGAAGCGGCTTCTTCAGATCTCACATCCATACCAACAGCCGGAGCTGGATCATCAGCTGCCCCATCTGCTCAGCCAACGGATAGTTCTTCCTCATCTCCATCACCAACAGAAGTTTCATCTGCATCTGTACCAACAACCGAAGCTCCTTCTTCATCGGATCTCCCATCTGTACCAACAGCCGAACCTGCATCACCTTCTGCTGCCCCATCTGCACAACCAACGGATGGTGCTTCCTCATCTCCGCTGACTACAGAAGCCACTTCATCTGTAGCAACAACCGAAGCTGCATCATCAGATGCCCCATCTGCACAACCAACGGATAATGCTTCATCGCCAGCTACTTCTGAAGCTTCTTCTCCAACTGTGCCAACAACCGAGGCTCCATCTTCATCGGATTTCCCCTCTGTACCAACAGCCGAAGCTGCATCATCTTCAGCTGATCCATCTACACAACCAACGGATACTACTCCCTCATCTGCGGCTACAGAAGCCACTTCATCTGTAGCAACAACCGACGCCGCATCATCAGATACCCCACCTGCACAAACAACGGATAATGCTTCAACACCAGCGACTACCGAGGCGGCTTCTTCATCGGATATCCCATCTGTACCAACAGCCGAAGCTGCATCACCTTCTGCTGCCCCATCTGCACAGCCAACGGATAATGCTTCCTCATCTCCAGCGACTACAGAAGCCACTTCATCTGTAGCAACAACCGATGCTGCATCATCAGATGCCCCATCTGCACAAACAACGGATAATGCTTCAACACCAGCGACTACCGAAGCGACTTCTTCATCGGATATCCCATCTGTACCAACAGCCGAAGCTGCATCATCTTCAGCTGCCCCATCCGCACAACCAACGGATAATGCTTCCTCATCTCCGGCGACTACAGAAGCAGCTTCTCCATCTGTGCCCACAACCGATACTTCTTCCTCATCTGATAGCCCTTCAATAGCAACAGCCGATACTTCATTGCCAGATGTCGTCTCAACGACCGTGAGTGCCGTTTCAACGGACACTTCCACGTCAGATGCCCAGCCTGCACCAACAACTGAAGCTTTGACATCGGGCACAGATGCCTCGACTGTGGTTCCAACTGAGCAGGACACAACCACCCCTTCGAGTGGGCAAACGGGTAAGACGCAGATCGCGACAGATACTTAAGTTATTTTTATCCTGTTTTTTTCGTCGCACTATTACTTTGCAACACTGCGACCAACCACAAGCTAAGGCATGTATCTCCAGTGGGACAACTACTTAAATTTGTTTTGCTTGTTTTCAGAGCAATCGGAAGACTACTACGGAATTGACCCAAATGTAGACGAGAATCTGTATAATCTTCCTGCATCTTTTCTCCTTGGGGCATCTTCGTCAGCTTATCAAATCGAGGGGGCATGGAACTCTGATGGCAAGTCTCGTCACTTCAGAATCCCTCACCCTATTTTCAAAATATTCTTATTTCAAATTTCTTCTTTCAGGGAAAGCGCCGAGCATCCAAGACGATTATTATCACTCGATAGGAACCGCTAACGGCGACATTGCCTGCGACTCATACAACCAAATCCAAAATGACATCAGTTTACTTCAAAATCTAGGCGTAAGTCCCACTTGATTTTGGCGCAACGTATCTTCTAAAACACTTTTTCAAAAAGAATATGCAGGCAATCTGAAAGTATGCAAAACAGGGATATTAAGCAGGGCGGTTTTTTTTCACTGTTGCAGTTCCAAACGTATCATTTTTCCATATCGTGGTCTAGGCTGTTGCCCACTGGAAGCAGTCTGGCAGCAGACGACACTGCAATCGACTTTTACGATAATCTCATACAATCTTTGACATCCAGCGGAATACAGCCTGTTGTAAGTACCGTCGATAATGATTTGTTTTATGGCTGGCGTTTCCAAAACAACTTTCCCTCACAACCTTGTCCGTCCTCAAGGTCACTTTGCACCACTGGGACACCCCGTCCGTCATTCAGAACGGGTGGCTGAATGCCAGCATCGCTGACTACTTCGTGGACTACGCGACCTTCGCCTTTAGCATGTTCGGCAACAGGGTAAGGACAACTGGCGTACAGAAGTGGGAAAGACCAGGAAAGACCGGCGCAGGCGGCCAAAACTCAAGTTGTGTTTTGAGCTCTAGAGTCACTCAACAGGGTTCGAACCAAATGTGAGACCGCACCAATGGATTCTGTGTTCGGAGAGCAATTTATTGGTGGAGATCACACGTTCGGTTCGAGTCCCATTTAGCGACTCTAGGGCTCAAAACGCGTCTAGAGTTTTGGCCACCTTCGCCCGTCCTCAAGACGACTTTGTGACGGTTGTTTTGTTTCTCTAGGAAACGATTTAACGCGTTGATCCTCCAACAGGTGAGAAACTGGATCCTGCTGCACGACCCCGTCAGCCAGTGCGTGAACGGCTACGAGCAGGGCCTCGCGGCGCCGGGCGGCTCGCAGGCAGCGCAGGGCACGGCGGCCTACCAGTGCGTGCACAACGCCATCCTGGCCCACGCCCGCGCCTACCGCGCCTACCAACAGAACTTTGCGAACCAGGGAGGTGCGTACATGAGGACGGGGCGGCGTGGCACTCTAGTGCGTTCGGTTTGGCTTTCCTTCTCGAAAGTCGTTTACGTCGCTGTTTCTCTCGAACTCATGGCGCGTCCCTCATAGGCGCGAGGTAAACAGAGCGACGTAAACGACTCTCGGAGTCAGTCTGCTGCACCTACCGACACTGGCGCTATTCCAGGCCGCGTCGGGTCCACGCTGCTGCTGGAGCTGGGCCAGCCTCTGCGGCCCGGCAACGCGGCGGACGAGGCGGCGGCGCAGCGCTACATGGAGAGCACGTTCGCGTGGCTGGCGGACCCCTTGACCAGCGGACAGTACCCGGCGTCGCTGGTGCAGGCGGCCGGCGACAGGCTGCCGCAGTTCACCGCGGCCGAGAGGACCGTCATCACGGGTGCGTCCTGCTTGGAGAGCGTCTGCTAGAAGGTGCCACCAATCGCAGTGTTCAATAATGTCACTCGATTCCAGGCGCGTCGGACTTCTTCGGGCTGAAGCACTCGGGCGCCAGGCTGTGTACGGACGGCGCCACTGTAGGGGCCTCGTACGCCGCGGACGTGAACGTCGTGACGAGCCTCGACGTGGCCTGGAACCTGACGGGCTCCGGCCGCGACCCGGTAAGCACCCCCTCCGGCGCAACCGATCCGATGTCGCCGTCACAAAGCTTGCGTAAAATGCGTGTTGTCCCGGCAGATTACTCCCTGGAGCATCCGCGGCGCGCTGAACTGGATCCAGCAGCGCTACGGCGCCGTCGGCGTCCTGGTGACGGACAACGGGTACGCCGCGGCGCAGGACGAGGCCACGTACGACTCGGCGCGCAGTGGCTTCTTCAGCGTAAGCTCCAACCTTTCACCAAGAGTGGATCCAGGGGCGGGTTCAGGAGGGGGTGACGACGCAAAAGTTGCCCACTTACAGGGGCAAAGAACGACCTTTTGCCTGCCTTTCAGGCGGCCTCGACCCCTTCAGGGAGGGCAATGCCGGGCAGTGCCCCCATCGGCACCCCCTGGGTTCGCGCCTTGTGTCGGCTCGCCCTCGAGTACTCGGTGCACTTGGTTTCGGCCTGACGCTCTACTCTTTCTTTCTCTCTGGCAGGGCTACCTGCGCGGTGTGATGCGCGCCATCGCCGACGGCTGCAACGTGCTGGGCTACGCGGCGAGGAGCCTCATGGACAGCTTCGAGTGGGAGGACGGCTACAGGTGAGCCATGGCGCTGCAGTGTTTTTGTCGCTCCGTCTCCCTCGCACGCATTGCTTGGCTCATAGAGGTGCGAGAGAGAGTGACAAAACGCTGTCCGGGAGCGGTCTGCAGAGGGTAGTGCAAGGGTCGTGAAAGGGTTGGGAGGGGCCTGCGTTGAATTTTGTGGTGCTGTTGCAGCCTCAAGTATGGCATCGCCAAGGTGGACTTCGACTCGGCGGCGCGCACCAGGACCCTGAAGACGTCGTCGGCCGCGTTCTTCCAAAACGTTCTGACCACCAGGAGAGTGGACTATGTCCCCATAAGCCCCTCGTAGCGCCGCGTCGCGCCGCCTCATCTCTTCCATCATTTTCTGCATCTTGCCGGCTGTCGATTGTGCGCTTGTAGCAAAACAGTAAATAAATGTTTTCCTATCCATTCGGCAGTGTCTATTTTTATTTCACAGTTCGCGAGACTATTGCGACGGCCTGGTGACGTCGCGGGTCAAAGATCCGAGCCTGCAGAGGCATACACACGCCCACACGCCACCTGCAGATAAGAAATGTCATTCAAACACACCGCAAGGGCAAATAAAAATGGAGTCGGAAAATAGAGCTAGAGGAATAAACAGAGTGGGGAGAAAACGAATCTTTAAATCGAGGAGCTGACGAGGTGCATTGCCGCTGCGGTGGGTGTGTGGTCGTCTTGGACGGTCTTGGACTTGTCCAGGGCCGCCTACCGCTGGCCTTGTGGACTTGTAATACAAAGCGTGAGACATAGAGTGCTCGTCTTGGTTCTGCCCCAGCACGGACCTTCTCCGGGTCACCCCGCGCCTCACCTAGATGTCGTCTGAAAGAGGAAAAATGATTTTTCTTTTACCGTACATTTCATTTACAGAACAATTGCCGCAAGTGGGAGTAACTGTCCTCGGCGCCGAGGTGGCGCTGTAAAGTTGCTTCAGCCGGGCGCCTGGTATACGATCAGTTGTGGTCTAGCCCGTAATGGTAATGGTAATGGTAATGGTGGATAGCCCAGCGGTTCCCAACCTTTTTCGGTTCGCGACCCCAAATTTGTAGCCAAAACTTTCCGCGACCCCCAGGAAAAATTTCGCGACCCCACGCGACCCCTCCTTTAGCATGCCTTTGTTACGGAGTGCGATTATCTGCCTTAGTTTGGGAGCAGTATTGCCGCAAAGTTGATCAAAACGGTCACAAATGTCTGAAAAATCGTGTTTTGGGCCGACTTTAAGCATTTACTGCGTCTGATCCGAGGCGGTAAATCGTCCTCCGTCAACGGGCAATTGGTCTTTAGACCTTCCTTTAGCATGCCTTTGTTACGGAGTGCGATTATCTGCCTTAGTTTGGGAGCAGTTTTGCCACAAAGTTGATCAAAACACGATTTTTCATACATTTGTGACCGTTTTGATCAACTTTGCGGCAAAACTGCTCCCAAACTAAGGCAGATAATCGCACTCCGTAACAAAGGCATGCTAAAGGAAGGTCTAAAGACCAATAACCCGTTGAGGGATGACGATTTACCGCTTCGGATCAGACGCAGTGGATGCTTAAAGTCGGCCCAAAACACGATTTTTGACAGACATTTGTGACTGTTTAGACCAACTTTGCGGCAGTACTGCTTCCAAACTGAGTCAGATAATTGCACTCCGTAACAAAGGCATGCAAAAGGAAGGTCCAAAGACCAATTGCCCGTTGAGGGAGGGTGATTTACCACCTCGGATCAGAAGCACTGGATGCTTAAAGTCGACCCAAAACACGATCTTTTACACACATTTGTGACCGTTTTGATCAACTTTGCGGCATTTAAGCAGCCAGTGCTCGGCGTGTGGGCCAGCCGGGAAACCACCGCGACCCCAGGCGACCCCATCCACCTCGCCGCGACCCCTCAAAATTTTTTCGCGACCCCATTTGGGGTCGCGACCCCAAGGTTGGGAACCGCTGGGATAGCCTGTCCCGCCGACTTGCCGTGTCTTGCGGGCCGGCCTGCTCGCCAGGCGGCAGTCTCCTCAGGTCGAAGTCCCAGGCGTAACTTGACGTCGCGCAGCCGACTGATTCCGAACACTGCTTCGTCACTCTGCCTTTCTCGCACCTCTGCGGACCGCCCCATAAGTGCGAGAGAGACAGAGCGACGAAAGCAGTGCTCGGAATCAGACGGCAGCTCGCGGCAGGCGTTGCACAGTGGGCCAGGAAACGGCGGAGGCGGCCAAAATTCTAGACGCGTTTTGAGCTCCAGAGTCGCTAAACAGGACTCGAACCGAACGTGTGACCCCACCAATGGAATTCTCGTCCGGAGAGCAATCCATTGGTGGGGTCACACGGTCGGTTCGAGTCCCATTTAGCGACTCTGGAGCTCAAAACGCGTCTAGAATTCTGGCCGCCTCCGCCGGATTCTGGCCCACTGTGCGTTGAGGGCGGCGTAGTTGCGGAGCAGTTTCCCCGAGTTTCCCCGCCAACTCGGGAAGTTCCCTCCTTCAGGCGGGATACCCACGTCGCGGGAGACGTCCTGCTCGTCCTGGACGACGGCCAGGAAGAAGGCGTGAAGCTCCCACCGAGAAAAAGGAGCAACGGCCGCCGCAGAGACTCCGGCACGATGGGTTGCCTGCTGCCAGGCGCCTGTCTGCGCAGTCTCCGCATCGTGCGTTCAGTTCTCTTCGACTCTGGCCGAATCATTATCCACCAACCAGTCTATTTTCGGGGCTCCGTTCCAAAACGCCGTCGCGCTGTCTAGCTGGGCAAATTGGAGAAAGACAGAAAAGAAAGCGAGGACTTGAACCAATCGTATCAGCATGAGGTCGACATTCTCCCCTCCCCTCCTGCGCTTCTCCAGACGCTCGGTTTTTCCCGCATACTGGATAATAACCAGCGGCCGCGCCGCCTTCCCCTCCCCTCCCCTCCCCTCCCGCCGCGTTCTTGATTAACGGCTTGCGTCCGCGCGCCGGCAAAACCTGTGACGTCGCCATCGCCGGCGATCCGCGGACCGCAGCCAAGCCTGGCCCCATGGCCTGGCCGCGCATACCGGTCCCGGAGCGCGAGGCGTCCGCACGTCCGCGTCGTCCGCCACCGAGGCCACCGAGGCCACCATGGTCGCCGCCGCGCGCTGCCTCGTCCTGCTCGCCGCCCTGCACGTCGTGGTCGCGGTGCGGTCCCGCGGCGCCGGTGAGTCTACCAGTGAGGCGCGCACTGCGCGCACAGCACACTGCAAGCTGCACACTGCACTCCGCCTTTTGCCGCTTTGCTTCAACGCTTGACTGAAACTTGCCCGTCTGCGGGAGCCTTTTCGCGCCTTGCCACTACACTGCACTGTGAGCGCACGCTGTGATAACGTACATTGTGAGCAAATTGTGAGCCTGCCTTTCCGTGAGTCGTGCGTGACTGCTGACGTAGATCGGCCCAGGGTCTGTGCCTACCTCAATTTGTGCCTATCGTCCAGTTAAAGCTTCGTCGGAAACAACGCTCCTCGCTCCATCCTCAAAGAAAATCTGTTTATGAGGCCCCAAGGCCGACCGGTTCCAGCCGGCTGCATAGAGTAGCGTAGGATATGAGTGTGGATGGGCGAATTCAAGTGTTGCCGAGCGGAAAACAGTGTGCGCCGGGCTACGCCGAGCCTCTTTTCCTTACCAATGTCCGTTGTCTGCCAACAGAAGGGTCCTGCGGCGATGACCAGTTCCAGTGCAGGGACGGCGGCGGCTGCCTCCATCACAACGAGAAGTGCGACGGCAGGGACAACTGCAAGGACAAGTCCGACGAGGACAGGGCCATGTGCGACGCAGGTCAGTGCCGCCAGTTTTTGTACAAATTTTGTACGAGACGTCACAGGTGAACTTTGTGTTCTAATTAGGGCACAATTTCGCGCAAAAATGGGAGAAAATGTGCAGTTTTTGATGAGAAAATCGTGTGAAAAGTGCAGCTGCGCCAAGAACGGTGACGTCTTGTACAAAATTGTGCGCAACATTTAGTGAGCGCCACCCCGCGCGTGCTATTCGCTCCCTCCCTGATGCCCAACCTCCCCGCTCGTGTTTACCTTCCCCGCAGCCCCGTCCGTGGCCCTGAGCGTGGGCGACACGGTGACGGTCAAGGCGCAGTACCAGGCCAAGCACAAGGCCGTGCGGTTCAACCTGTGCGACGACAACTCCTGCAACATGATGTGGGTGCACGGCGTGCTGCCCGACGGCACGCTCAAGTTCGGCGCCTGGACCGAGTGCAACTCGCGCGGCTGGTGGTGCAAGCCGTACTTCAAGGAGGTGAGTGGGCACCGAGCGTCCTCCTCCAGCGCACAGTGGGCCAGAGGACCGGCGCAGGCGGCCAAAGACGCGTTTTGAGCTCCAGAGTCGCTAAATGGGACTTGAACCGACCGTGTGACCCCACCAATGGATTCCTCGTTCGGAGAGCAATCCATTGGTGGGGTCACACGTTTGGTTCGAGTCCTGTTTAGCGACTCTGGAGCTCAGAACGTGTCCAGAGTTTTGGCCGCCCGCGCCGGTCTTCTGGCCCACCGTGAAGCGCGGCTCGGTACGCTCTGCGACGCTCTGCGACGCGCTGCGTGCTGCGCGTGACCTCCGGGCCCACCTTGACGCTGTCCGCTTGATTTGCGACCCGCCAGACCTGGCCCGACGGCAAGGACGAGTTCCCAGCCGGCGAACTCGTGTTCGAGGTGAAGCGGCACGCCTCCGCCATGGAAGTGTGGCTGTCCGGCCACCCCGAGCACAAGCTGACGGTGCCCGCCACCGCCAACTACAAGCGCCTCAAGGTCCTGCCCTTCAACTGGAAGTACGACATGCCGGTCCAGTTCACCAGTGAGTCGCCGGGGCGGGGCCAAGCTGGAGGTGTGAGGGACGGGGGGGGGGGGGGGGGGGGGGGGCAACTTTCCACATTCGTTGTACAAAATTTGAACACATTCCACATTCAGGTGGCAAAAGCGTCTGTAAGTAGGTGACATGTGTGGCAAATACGCCAGAAATCTTGCACATTCCAGCACATTCCCACAGTCATTGTACTACACAAAATTTTACAGTGGCTTACCCCGCGTGGGGGTGGCTGACCGGATGACGATCGGAGCAGTGGCGGATCCAGAGCCGCCCTGCTTTTTGCCCACCTTTCAGGCGGCCATCTAGGGGTCAGGGGCGGGGCCATTGTCTCCCCCTCCCCCTCCCCCTGGATCCGCGCTTGGATCGGATGGCTTGCTTCACTGATTCGGAAATGTGCTTCGTCGCTCTTTCTCTCTCGCACTTATACGAGAGGCAAGTGTGAGAGAGAGAGAGAGAGAGAGAGAGAGAGAGAGAGAGAGAGAGAGAGAGAGAGAGAGAGAGAGAGAGAGAGAGAGAGAGAGAGTGAGAGAGAGAGAGAGAGAGAGACGAAGCGGCGTTCAGAATCATCCTGCCGGCGATGACGTTTGCCGTACCCTCCCAGACTTGTGCGGCGACAGCGAGTTCCGGTGCACCAGCGGCGAGTGCCGCGGCGTGCGCGAAAAGTGCGACGGCAGGCTCGACAACTGCCGCGACCTGTCCGACGAGGACCCGTCCATGTGCGATTCGGGTGAGCGATCCACCGTCACCGTTTCTGAGGGTTCGATGGCGCTTCGGCTCGGCGTATTCATTCTGCTTTGTTTTTCCCCCTATTCCGCTGCAGCCCCGACGACCAGCATCAAAGTGGGCCAGACCACGGTCGTCAAGGTGCAGTTCAAGCCGACGCCGCACAAGGCGGTGAGGTTCAACCTCTGCGACGACAGCTCCTGCAACTTGGTGTGGATCCACCACCTGCTCGGCGACGGCGCCTTCAAGTACTCCACGTGGAGCGACTGCAACGCCCGGGGCTGGCACTGCAAGCCCATCAAGGAGGTGAGTGTGGCTACACTGTCAGGTCACCCTTAGTTTCACAGTGTGGGCGCCTTGAAGGCGGACGGAGTACCCTGAGACGGTGGTTCCCGGTTTTTACCTCGGTTCTTTTCTTGCCTGCCGCAGGTCTGGCCCAACGACAAGGACAAACTGCCGGCCGGGGAGCTGGTGTTCGAAGTGAAGCGGACCTCGGCCTCCATGGAGGTCTGGATCTCGGGCCACCCCGAGCACAAGTTCAGCGTGCCGGCCAAGCCCACCTACAGCCGGCTGAAGGTCCTGCCCTTCCACTGGAAGGAGGACATGCCGGTCAAGTTCATTGGTACGTTTGGTACGCATACCCCCCCCCCCCGGGGCACACTAAAAGCAGTGGTAGCGCGTAATGGCTCTGGCTCACAATGTACGTTATCCGAGGCACAAGTTGGCATGCTTCTCTGTTCGCACTGTCCGCGCTGCAACGGTTCATCTTCGCGGCGGTGGTGATTTCCGCTTGGCTTTCGTTGTTTTTTTTGTTTCTGACGCTTCTCCCCGCCGTTTAGCCAAGAGCATCGAGCCCGAGTGCGGCAAGGCCAGGCCCGGCCCCACGGAGCTGGTGAAGGGCGGCGACCCCGCCAGCATCGAGTCGGTGCCCTGGCACGCCGCGCTGTACCTGGACCGGGCCGGCAAGATCGAGTTCGTCTGCGGGGGCAGCCTCGTGTCGCGCTGCTTCGTGGTCACTGGTAAGGCCGAGGCCCCGAGCGGGGCGGGCGAGGGGGTAACGACTGGGAAATTTCGTGTCAGCCGCGGATTGCCTCCGCGTTAAATGAAAAAGTATCCAGGATATGGACTAAGCCGGATGTCGCCGAATTAAATTTAAAAAAAAATATCCACGATTACCCTTGGACTAAACCGGATTACCGCGGATTAATTCAAAAAAATTTCTAGAATTATCCTTGGACTACGCCGGATTGACCCGGATTACCTTCAAATTTCTACCCTTGGACTGAGCCTAGTTACCCCGGATTAAATAAAAAATTTCCAGGATTACCCTTGGACTAAACCAGATTACCTCGGATTAAATTTAAAAAAAAACACCAGGGTTCCCTTTGGCCCACGCCGGATTACCCTGGATTACCTCTAAATTTCTGGTAATCCGGATTACGATTTGCTGCTGTCATCCGGATTACCCACGTCAATAGTCGTTACCCCCTCGGGGACGGGGCGCACCTCAGTGTCGTTCGAACGGCACAGTACACCTCGTTCTTCCATAACGTTCCAGCTGCTCATTGCCTCCCGAAAAACGAGAAAGTGTACGTGGCGCTCGGAAAGTACATCAGCGGGTGGGATTCCGAAAACGAGGAACCTAAAGTTTTGAAGACTGAGGTGAGCGTTTTGGTCATTCCCTTATTTTACTCGCCTCTTTCGCACGGCAGCAGCTCAGTCGTTTGTGTCGTCTTGCAGGCGAAGGCCGTGCACAGGCACCCGTACTACAAGGGGGCGGCCACGAAGCAGGGCTACGACATCGCCGTCATCGAGCTCAACACCTGCGTCGACTTCAGCGACAAGGCGGCCCCCATCTGCATCGACGCCAACGACAAGCCCCAGGCTTCCAACGACATCAAGGTACCTACCTCGACTTCACTGAAAAGCCAAACGTGGTCTAGACCACACCACTGGTGTGGTCAAATGGGTGCCATTTTGACCGCATCAGTTGCTGCATGTGTGGTTTTTCAGTGTTACCTGCACAGCAGACCGATTCCGAGAGTCGTTTTCGTCGCTCTGTGTCTCTCGCACTCATGCGGCGCACCGTATAGGTGCGAAAGAGACACAGTGACGAAAACGACACTCGAAATCAGTCTGCAGTACGCCAGAAAAACAGCATTATGGCATGTCTCTAACCGTGCCGTTTTGCACATAGGTGGCTGGGTGGGGCAACGATTCGACGTCCCTATCAGAGCTGGAGTCCGTGCTGCTGTCCCAGCTCACCTTCGAGGAGTGTTTCCAGCTGATGAGCTCCAACACGCCGCACCTCGCCTACATAACGCACGACAAGTTCTGCGCCAGGCGACGACAAGGTTCGATTCGTTATTTTTCTCTTTCATCGTGTCAACAAGCTGGCCAAAGAGGAGGCCTTGATGAGGTCCAAAGATATGACATACTTTGGCATCAGTTTGACTTTCATTTGGACTTCGTTTTTGACTTGCTGCTCTCCCTGTCAACTGATTCCGAGAGTCGTTTTCGTCGCTCTGTCTCTCTCACACTCATCGGGCGTGCCCTGTAGGTGCGAGAGAGACAGAGCGACGAAAAGGACTCTCGGAATCAGTCTGCAGGGAAGTACCAAACCACCCAACGTGCAGACGAACTGAGGCTGAGATGGCTGTGTGTGTGTGTCTCTGGCAGGCGACTCCAAGTCCGGCCTGCTCCGCGGCGACAGTGGCGGCGGCGCCATCGTCAAGCGGCACGGCCAGTGGCACCTGGGCGGCGTCGTGTCGCTGCGGCTGCAGAACGGCGAGGCCGAGGAGGTGTACGCGCTGACCGACGTGTCGCAGTACGTCGACTGGATAATGCGACTGGCCAAGTACTGAAGGGAAGAGGAGGAGAAGAAGAGGGCATCCTACTTGCCCCGCGGCCAAGAGTGGGTCGGAAATGCCCCGCTCCCCCCCGCGGCGGCTCTTGATCAAGGGCGGATCCAGACACGGGTTCAGGGGGAGGGGACGATGTCGCAAAAGTTGGCTACCTACCTACAGGGGCTAAGTGCAACTAGTAGCCTATCTTCCAGAGATCCTTTAGCACGTGCTTTTTCTAAAGGATCTCTCAGTATGGTTCGAAGCATTGACTCCGCCTCTCTCGCCTCTACACGCACTGTCATATAGGCTGAGGGCGTTCAGGGGTTGATCCCTGCTCTTTTCGGATCCCAGCGTATTTAAATTTTTCAACATGCTTTCTCGATGAGATTCATGCAAACTCTGACGCACACCCCAGCCCAACGTAGAGGCCGGAAAGCATCTGTCGACCGCGACCCACTTAAGTAAAGCAGATATGGCCTTCCCTGCTCTGTGGGGATGTGGGTATAGAGCCTTATTTTGCCATATTTTTTATTGGGTGGATTAAATTGAGGTAGATCAAATGTGCCAATATTTTGAAAGTTATTGTTGTGTTCATGTGCCAATATAAGAAAACCAAGGGAGTTGTAAGATTCTTCCTATAGCAAGAGACCAGAACATCAAAGAGTATCATGATTCCTTGGCTTAGTTTTGTTAGGTCAGGTGAATCGGTAGAAAGATCTTTTCTGTTTCACAGAGACTCAAGACAAGGAAATTCTTTCCTGTTTTATATTTATGTATAAGAGTTTGGGAAGTTTGAGAAGAAAAACTGTGCAAAACTTCTTAATATACACAGTAGTAGGCTTGTGAATAAAAAAATAAAACACCACTTTTTTTGAACATTTGACTTTATTTTGTTAATAATTACATATCAAATTCTTTATAAACTTTTGCATTAAAATTATCAATTTATAAATTAGTTATTTCATCATAATGCTAATACACACTCAGTTAAATACCAGACACAATTAAATGCGGTATACTTGAAGCAAAGCTTCAGTTTTAAAACGCAAGTACCTATTCGCAAGTCAATATCAATATGTACAATCTATGAACGGTAATGAATATAAAACCTGATATGAGAACTGTCCAAAATATTGCCTTACACTCAGCAACCATACAGCAAGGTACCCAAGCAAACTAATGCTGATAAATAGAAACTGCCTTCCATGCTAAATCATTACTGGGGTACACTCCAGCCAAACAGACTTTCCACAACTAAATATGGCAACATTCAGACACACCAGCTCCAATCCAAATCAAACCCCTCAGTGGCACTACCAAAAGAGAGGCCTCAATCATCATTTGCTAGTAATGGAAAAATAGCCAATCCCTGCATTCCAAAACTTAATTGTTAATAACTACCATATCTGTCATTAAATAATTACTACATTCAAATACAATAAATTTGCCACAAGGCTCTGTAAGCCAACTAGCATCAAATTACACACCACTCAGCCCATTAAAAAAGGGCACAGCGAGATAGTCGAGTTCAAACCTTGGTATACAAGACTTTCAGTCAACAATCTCGCTGGCCAACCAAAAAGTCTTTAACAGAATACACTAAGATGGCAGAAAAGGAAGCTTTTTGAATCACGTAACAAATTGAAATGCAGAAAAATTCCTCCTCGTAGGATCCAGATTCTTTTTTTTTCTTTTAGTCTTATTTAAAAAATAAATAGCCTTCAGTTTTAACGAATTCCTATTCACAGTCACATCTTGAAAGGAACCTTGACATAAGTGAAACGAAAAAAATCATCTCAGTCAGTCAAGCAGTCACATTGCTGTTTGTGCTCAGCGCTCCCTTTAAGGATGCTGGAAATAACGGAACAGAGGCGGCAAGGAGGGACAAGGATATTAAACATACAAAAATTTTAGAAAATTTGGACAGCAGAACATAAAATATATAATGCTCATCTTCATTTCAAATTGTTAGTTAAACAAAGGTTGAGAGACTGTCTCACAATACATAATAATTCTCAGAAACAAAATTTGTGGCGATTTAGTATTAAAAAGTGTACAAAAATGTATCCCTCCTTCAACATTCCTCTATAAATACCAACGTACTGCTTTGCATAAATTGCAAGTTATGTAGATCTGATTAGATTATGGAGATTTTGTGGTCTCCAATGCCCACAATACTTTTGCAAAGGGTTAAATTTAATTGGTTGACCCAAAATACGACATCTACTAATAATAAAATACAAAATTATTTTGATGCGGGGGAATAAGGGGGGATGGGAATTGGGGATGGATGACAAAGTAGGCATTAACCTCAAAGTGAGCATGGCCCATTGGTACAGTCACCAAAAGTTACCAGCCTACAATAACACACACTTTCTCTTTTTTTCAAGTTCTGGAGGCTCCAAAGCAGCAAGAATTGCTTCATCAAAGACATTCTTCAACCCTTTCTGCAATCAAACAAGAAATCAAACTGAAGTTTTCAGTTGATAATGATAAAGAAGAAACTTGCACAGCGATTTTCAGCAAAGATCTTACCTGAGTTAGTGCTGAACACTCAACGTATTTCACAGCCTTTAATTCTTTTGCCAATTTTTCACCCTGTTCGAAAGAAATGGGCTTTTGCTTGTTTTTTGCCAGTTTTTCTGTTGTGGCAACATCATCTCTCAAATCTATCTGGGTACCAACTAGCAAAAATGGTGTTTTTTGACAGTGATGAGTAATTTCTGGAACCCACTGAAAAATAAAACAAGAATTTAATTTAAAAATTTGCTTTAGGATTACTATAGATTCAAGAGAAACAAGACTAACGAGGTCATCATACCTTTTCTTTAACATTTTCAAAAGATGAAGGTGAAACTACAGAGAAACATACAAGAAATACATCTGTCTGTGGATAACTGAGAGGCCTCAGCCTATCGTAATCTTCCTGACCTGTAAATTAGAAACATAGATAATACATAAAATGTTATCAACATCAATATTTTTAAATTGCAAAATTCAAATAGAGAGAGATATTACATACCAGCAGTATCAAAAAGCCCTAAAGTGTAAGGTTCTCCACCAATCATAACTGTCACAGCATAGTTATCAAAAACCTATAGCAAAGAAAATGCATACATTAAAATTGAAACAAAGCCAATGAGTGAAAGGTATGTAAGGTCTTCAAAACAAAGAAAAATTACTTACTGTGGGGACATACTCTGAGGGAAACTTGTTAGTTGTGTATGAGATGAGGAGGCATGTTTTACCCACGGCTCCGTCTCCCACCACAACACACTTGATCGTCTGCATGATGGCTGATCCAATGCACACACCTGGAAAAATCGTAAACAGAAAAGTAAAATTACATCACGCAATATTAACTCCATCAAATGATTGGGGTTTGCCGTAGCACAAAATGCATCTTTTATTCAGCTATCTTTCCTCTCCAAAATGACCTATTCAGCATAATTGTACTGCTTAATAGAGTTCTTCCAACTAACAACAACATCCCAGAACAGACTCAATGTACCAATAAAGTCCTGTCATGTGACAGTTAGTCATCTGATAATACCATGTCTGAGGGTTATTGAGGAGGGGGAGGGGAAGGGGGAGGGGTCACCAAAAAGTAAACCGATGGCACGGCGATCGCAGATTCCAGAGATACACGGGACACTCGCTGCTGCCCGAGAGCAGAAGCACTAGGGCGTCTCGAGGGAGGAGTCACGTCCGAGAGGGCCAGCCGTGCTGCGCACTGTGCCGGATGACACACTCGACTCCGTGCCACTCCGTGCTCCGCGGAGTGCATCAGCGGCCCGACCGACAATCGGCGCAGACACGGCCGAGCGGTGCGAACGGTCCACCTGCATCGCCACTGCAGCCACACCTGTCGCGGGCACACTGCCAAACGCGGAACGCAGACAAGCCGGCGGGGCGCAGGGCCGCAAGGGACGCGTTCAAGCCCTCCTGCTAATGACGTATGCTTGTGTACAACCAAACACAGAGGTGCCATAACCTACAACTGCCAGTCAGACAGTCGGCCCTCGGCAAACCCCGCACGGCCCGTCCCAGCCGCCGCAGAGTGCGACTCGCGATCTGCGGACGACTGCACTGCTAGTTCGTCACAGAGAAGTGGCAAACTCTAGCAGCAGCGCTGGGTGGGACCAGGGCGGAAATTTGTGTTGGTTATGGAAGCCATCTTGATTATTACACCTGCTTAGGCCTACGGCGGCGGCCCTTACCCTTTGTTTGCCGAGCCTTTTGGGCCACTTAGAGGGACGCGGTACTGCACACGGCGATGCCGAGGGAATCCATACACTAGCCCGCACCGCGGACAACGCAATAACAGCGGCAGAACACAAAACAAAGTCACCAAAAACAACTTACAAGTGTGAGTGTGTAAAGGGGCGTCGACTCTACTCGACAGGCTCCTCACGCTTGCAGAACAACAAACCTGACAGACACGAAAACACAAACAAAATTGGAAACTTGGCGCCACACGAATAAATCTAGCTCGGGCGGAAAGACCGTTTATCCATGACAGGCAGAAGTAGTTCTAACTTCAACAGTCAAACGGCAGCATCTACTTAAAATTATTTTTAAAGTTGCGTATCTCGAAGGCGAGGCACAGGGGAGACAGCAGACGATAGCACCTCTTGAAAACGTCTACTGTGACTCCAGTATTTTTAACTATGGCAGCTTGCAGTCCATAAGGTTCAGATTGACTTATTCATCGAAGCCATTCAGTTCCAACACGACTGCGACTCAGGAAAGGCGTAGTGCATCTCAAACCGGGTAGCCGGATTTCGGTTTCTCCTCGTGACTGTGATGTCTCCCCCGAGCCCGCTCAGTTTCACGCGTCATGCGTGGCCGAGTATGAGAAATTTATTGGGGAACTATGACAAAGTGTGATGCGCGCCAAGTTCAAGTTGGATCGGCGATCAAGACAGACAGGGACTGGCGAAAGCGACGTGACGCAATCGACGAGCGCGGAGGCGGAGGGTCCCACGGGTGTCGTCACGCGATACCGACCGAGGTTCTTTCGCGTGCTGTTCCGAGAGTCGTTTTCATCGCGCTGTCTCTCTCGCACCTACATGGGACGGAGTGCGAGAGAGATAGAGCTCTCGACAGTCAAGAGGTGATTGCGGGACGGTGAATAAAGTGAACTCTTCGAGTCGACTCATTTATTGGTATTTATTGTGTACAAATATTTTTTAAAAAAAAGATACACGAAAAAATTGATAAATTTACAGGGAAATAGACGACTTGAGCTAGGCGCAAGAAGAAGAAGAAAATACCTTCCCGAACATGGCGGCCGGCCCCTCATTGGTCCTAGCAGCCGACGGCGGCCGGCCGCCATGTTCGGGAAGGTATTTTCTTCCTCCTCTTTCGCCTAGCTCAAGTCGTCTATTGAATTACAATTTGTATCAATGCGATTGTAGTCATTTATCTCTGCAACGGGATTCAGGGCAAGACTTCCTTCCACTTCTCGCACATACAGAGATAGAGGCCGTTGGGGATTTTGAGTATTCCTCGACCCATGTGTCCGCATCTTTGTCACACTGCTCATGCGAGCTGCAGTCTTTTCCTTCTTCGAAACTATGAATATCACAGCCTGGAGTGTCGAGTCCTTAAATAAGTCACAGTGGACGTCATGCCGGAAGCAGGCCATTCATTGGCAAGCGCGGATCCAAAAAATGGGGAGCCCCTTCATGGCAGCCTGAAAGGCAGGCAAAAAGCAACACCTTGCCCCTGTAAGTAGGCAAAAAGAACCGCTTGGCCGCACCGCCCCCTTAGGCCGACTCTGGATCCGGCACTGTTGATTGGAGCGCCCGATGGATGGCACATCACTTGCAGTACGAGTCCCCCACCGTGTAGTTCCACCAGTGGTCCGACTTCCTCATCTCGTCCAGCACGAACTTGCCGGGGCTCTCGGTGCTCCTGAACTGGCACACCGCGGCCAGCTTGTAGTCGGGCACCACCTTGTTGAGCTCGACGCCGTAGCCGATGAGCTTGAACACGGCGCGCATCTGCTCCATGGTGGGCTTCTGGTAGGAGAAGGTGCCCACCAGGCTGATGCCCACGGACCGGTGGTTCCAGTTGAGGGTGTGCGCGCCGGCCTTGTCCCAGCCGCGGCCCACGTACACGTAGCCGTCGCCGCCCACCAGGAAGTTGTACGCGATGTCCGACCAGTTCTTGCTCTCCATGTGGAACGTCTGGAGGTAGCGGATCTGTAACACGGCGTGGCACTTTGAACCAGGGCTCCTTCGTCGAGGACTCCGTCGAGGACTCCATCGAGGACACCGTCAAGGACTCCGTCAAGGACTCCGTCGAGGACTCCATCAAGGACTCCGTCAAGGACTCCATCAAGGACGCCATCGAGGACTCCATCAAGGACTCGGCGCGTAGCTTACCCTGAGGACGCACTCGGGGAAGCTGTAGCAAGTGTCGGTGGCGGAGTGGTGCAGGATGACGTACTGCACGGGGGAGGCGGTGACGGGGTCCACGCCGGGCTTGGCGGGCTGCGCCAGCCACTCGTGCCTCTGCACCAGGGTGAGGCCGTTCGGGAGGGCCACCGGAGCTGCAACAAGTTCAAACTGCGTTAGGAAGGGATTTGAACAAAGCGGCCTGTCCTGCCGCTGCGTCCGGGCAGTCCTGAACTCTTGGGTCCGGGCATCCCCAGACCCGCATGGGTCTTTTCTTTCCTACCGGCGCGATGCAGAAAATGGTAAAAATAGTAAAATAAATCATTGCCAAAAAAAAAAAATATAAAAAGGAAATAGAAAATAGTAAAAAAGTGTTTTCGACATCATCGTGCTCCCGGAAGCTCTATGATAGCCATGCATGGAATGGGGTTCCACGCGAGTGCCTCGATCTGCGTTCGGGCTGCGTTCGGGCTGCGTTCGGGTCGGCGAGCTAGACTAACGCGGCCTCTGCCCTCAAATGTCCTGTCATGTCCGATTGCGGAAAAATGCGGCGCACTGGCGACTCGGCGATTAGGGCAGGGATGATTTATCGGGACAGCAGACTGATTCCGATAGAGTCGTTTTCGCCGCTCTGTCTCTCTCGCACCTATACAGGACGCCGCATGAGTGCGAGAGAGACAGAGCGACGACAGCGACTCTCCGAAGGCACGTCAAACAGGGAACAGGAAAAGCGGCAAACACGCGATAACGCGCCGAAAGCCGAGCTTCTGAGAACGCGCTGCTCTTATCGAGGCGAAGGTAGTGCGTGCCGCAGTGCCGCAGTGCCGCGCCGCGCCGCGTCTGGAGGTGCGCGACCGCCACCGCCTCTGACTCAGCTATCAGATGGAAAAAGGCTCAAATCCCGATTTGCGTCACGGGCTGATCCGATGCGAGGCGTGGCGGTGGCGGGCCACTGCGAACGCGGCGGCGACCGGTTTCTGGATGGCTCGGTTACCATGACGACGGCGACCGACGGGGACCGACGGGGACCCCACCGCGTCAGGACCGTCAGGGCATAAAGCTGCAATTACAGCGCGTCATGCTGCTTGCGCTACAGTGCGCTTCCGAGTCGCTCTCATCGCTCTGTCACCCTCGCACTCGTGGAGCGCTCCGCGTGCGTGCGAGAGAGACAGAGCGACGACGCACTGTTGAGGCAGGCCGCGGCTGATAGCGCTGTATCAGCCGGAAGCAACGAGCCACTTTACGAGACGCGGGTTCAGCTCCGCCCGCGCTGCAGCCGTACCGATCTTTGGACCGCCGAGCTTGCCGGCGGGCAGCAAGACGCACAGCAGCACCACGACGACGAGGGTGGCCGACGTGGCCGCGGTCAGCGCGACGCAGCGCCGCCTGGACAGCGACAGCAGCGACAGCACTCGGCCCGGTCCTGCCAACAGAAGAACAGTTATAGTGTCGCAAAAAAAAAAACACAAATATAATCAATAAAATGAACGGTAAACCGCGGGAGGCTTCCGGAACTGGCGGCTCAGGCTCCACGGAAGCCTCGCCGATTTGGACGGCTCGTAAAAATGTGGCGCTCGTCTTGCCGCGCCGGGAAGGCTCATTGTGTCCGGGACACGGCGGCATGCCCCGAGGTGGGGCAGGCGGGGCAGGCGTGTGGCGCGCCGCCAGCACTGGCCCCGCGCGGGCCCGCCCGGGGTTTGCCCCGTCAAGTGATGGCGCGAGTGCACTGCGAGGTTATCACTGCTATCGCTGCTGGGGTCAAGCAAGGGCGCCGTCTGAGGCGGTCTGAGGCGTGATGCAACTGCGTCCCGACGCCGGCGGCAGCCAGTGCAGATTCTGCTTTCTGCGGAGCTGGCCTCGCAAGGTGATAAGGAGCAACAAGGAGAGCAGTGTGACGGCGACGGCGCAACTGTGCGACTAGACTAGTGGGTGACCAGGAAGCGCCCGGCAGGTAGACCCGGTGGACCGTGCGGCGCGCCGCTGTGGAGCGCGCTGCCTACCCTCCGCTTGGCGGGCGCTCCGGACTCGCCCGCCTTACCCTGCTAGGCGGCGCTTACCCTGCTTGGCGCTTACCCTGCTTGGCGCTTACCCTGCTTGGCGCTTACCCCGCATCATGCGGGGTACCCCCTAACGCCGCACACCCAATTAACCCACTTGCCCCACTTAACCTCGCTTCTGCTGGTTACCCCGGTTACCCTACTTACCGTCCTCACTCCGCTTACCTGGCTCACCCCGCTTCTGCTTACGCCGCTTACTCCACTTACCCCACTTTACCACGCATACCCCGCTTACCCTGCTTGGCGGCGGCCTTCGGAGGGACATCGGCGTTGGCCGTCGGCGGGGACGCGGGCTCTGGGGCCCGCTGGGCGGGCAGGGCCGCGTCCTGCATGGCGGAGGACAGGATCTCCGGGGTCGCCGGAGCGACGGAACCGTTCGTGATGCACTTGTTGGAGTTGAGCAGCACGGTGACGGGGCCGTGGTAGTGCGTGTTGTTGCCGAACTGCACCTGGGTCGAGTTCTCCACCACGATGTTGCCCTCGAAGGCCACGGTGGCGGCATTGTCGTTGGCGCGGTGCACCAGGTCCTTGGCCTCGGACACGATGCTGCAGCTCGAGTCGCTGAAGACGCTGCTGGCGCCATCGTCGTCGAAGTCGCGGTCGTTGTAGCCGCTGTCCACCGCGGACACGGACCGGCACAGCGCGGGGGAGCAGTCCGCGTACAGCTTGGAGGCGGCGGCGACGCCCGCGCCTGCCGTGCCCGTGTCCGGCACATGCATGGCGAGGGTCCCTCTAGGGGCCCCCGGCACGCCGCCCGGCACGCCGCACGCTTACATGATCACCTCGCTCACTGACGGTCATCGCAGTGACTCGCGCACACACAACGCGCTCGCGAAACACGCACACCGACGACGGCACGCTGGGAAAACGAACGTGCTTCCGTGTCGGGGCTTGGGTGTCGACTGGGAGGGAAGGCAGAGGACCACGCCGAGCCGCGCCGAGGCGGTGTGTTGTCGTTGTTGTGCTGCCGGGGAGGGGGGCGCGCGCGGCGTGCCTGCAGATGCCGTCGGTCGTCCCGTCGTCCCGTCCGCGACTCTGCCCCCCTCTCCCCTTTCCATCTCCCTCCACGCCGGGTTTGGCCGGCTGGGTATTTCCGAGCCGATCAGGTCGCGCTCAACTCCCGCAGGGGAAGGGCCGAGGCGTCGGCCCCGCCAATTTCAGGCACTTATTCTCTTTTCGTGCCGTCGAGTTTCCTCGCACCTGCACTGCAGGAGCCGGCCCGCAGCCTCGGACCCACGGCACCGCGTCGCCGACGGGGAGGCAGGGATACAGTGTGACTGCCACCCCGCCGGCACCACGACGCCGACGGGGAGGCATGGATACAGTGTGGCAGCCGCCCCGCCACCCCTTCACCAGGCCTCGACAGATGCGCCCCTTTATGGCGGGCCAACTCGCGATAGCGGTGCGCGGCGCGGGGCGCGGGCCGGTCACGGCGTCCAGGGCGACACCGGGCAGGGCTCCTCGGGGGCCCTGCTGACTCTCCACCAGTGGTCCCACGTCGCGAGCTCCTCCATGAAGCACAGCCCGGGGCTGGCCGTGTTGATGAGCTGGCACGCGCCGACCAGCCGGTAGTCCGCCGTCAGCTTGCCCTGCTCCGCGAAGAAGCCGACGGCCTTGGCCAGGGCGTCGAGCTGCGCGAAGTGCGGGCAGGCCTGCGTGTACGTGCCGACCAGCGCCATGCTCAGGGCGTCCTGGAACTCCGGCCCCAGCGAACGCAGCGACGCCGCGCGGTCCCAGCCGCAGCCCTCGTACACCCTGCCGTCGCCGCCCACCAGGAAGTTGTAGGTGATGTCGGAGAAGTTCATCCTCCTCATCTGGTCCGTCTGGATCTCGCGCACCTGCGCCAAACCGAAATGTTAATTGTGACGCCTTGGCTTCGGGTAGTGCACGGCGAGCACGCGGCGCCAGCGGCAGCCTCACCCTGATCACGCAGTCCTCCGCGTCCAGGCACTCCTGCCCCGCCGTGTGGTGCATGACGACGGTCTGCACCGGCAGGGCGAGCGGCCGCCCCTCCGCCCTCGCGGACCGCGCGCGCCACTCGGCCCTGGGCACGATCGCGAACCCTGCAGGGTGATTCAGAAGCGATCTGTCTCCCTCGCACCCTTATGGAGAGCCCCATGAGTGCGACAGAGACAGAACGACGGAACGACTCCCCTGAGCGCCCCTGAGTCGCTCGACTTCGACAGAGACTGTCGTGCGATTCGGAAAGAATCGCCTCGTCGCTCCGTCTCTCTCGCATTTCCACGGCAAGCCCCATGAGTGCGACAGAGGCAAAGCGAAGAAACCACTCTTCGGTGTGAGTCCGGTCCGCAGGATCGCTGACCTCGACTAACTTCACCTCCGGCCAGGGTGACGCACAGCACGACAGCGACCACGAGGGCGAACGCGAAGGTGCCGCCTACGGCCGCGAGGACCATTGCCTGGCGGCGCGGTCGGCACACGCCTTGGCCTGGAACAGACAACGCGACTAAAACTGGAAAACTAGAAAACTGAAAACTAGAGCGAGAGGCTTGCAACCAGCCGCAGTTAGCTCTCTGGTCGGCGAAGGTCGCTGTGCCTCAGCGAGGGTGGAGAGTCGAAGGTGGAGCTAGCGGCAATGCACCAAAAAGGTGTATCTTGAACCAATAGACACTTGACTTGCAATTAATTCAAAAGTTCAAGTAAATTCACAAGCTGCAAGTTAATTTTCTTGGTTCAAGAAACGTCTTTTTCGGTTGTTCGGCGCGACGCCGGCAGCGGCCATACCAGACGCGTCGCGTCGCCCCGGCGCCAGTGGCGGCAGCGGCAGGACGTCCTTGACGTGCAGGGTGACGGGCCCGTGGTAGTGCAGCGTGTTGCCAAAGTGGAAGTCGCGGCAGTTCTCCACGCTCACTTCGCTCTGGAAGCGCAGGCCGCCGGCCAGCTCCGCCAAGACCCGCCCCGCCGACGACGCCGCGGACGTGCCGCTGCACGTGCTGCTCCAGGTGCTGCTGCAGGTGCTGCTGGTGTCGTCCATGTCTATGTTCATGTTCACGTCCGTGCCCGAGTCCGTGTCCGAGACTTCGTGGTGCTGCCCGCGCGGCGCCGACATGATGTCGCGGCGCGCTCCGCGGTCGCACTGCCGCACTCCACCCGCAGCCAGTCGCCTTCGGCCACACCAGCCGGGAGGGGAGGGTGGGGTTGTGGGTAAGGGGCAGGAAAGGGGAGGGGGATGATAAACCCGACTGAGCTCCGAATGGCAACAGGAAAGTGTAGGCGCGTTCTACTGGTGCCGAAGTGTGTGAAGTGGGGTGCGAGAAGGGGGTGGGAGCCAACCCGAGAGCCGAGGGTAGTAAGTAAAACAGCAAGTTTCAAGTATCGCTGAGTAGTTTAATGATTTGGTACTCGAAGCATTCCTTCGCCTATTTCTTTCACACTTTTCACATTCTTTCCTCATGTTTTTACAACACCACAGCGACATCCGACCCATTCTGCCGCCGTCCCACCTTTCATAGTGTGAGAGAGACAGAGCAGTGTTCGGGATCAGGCAGTGACAAGTTGGAGTCATTACGCCAAAATTGGTGGTTAATATGTTAGCCAACATCATGGCGCTCAAGGATAACGACGATAATTTTAAACACGATGTGCATAGTACTACCACATTGTGGTACTACTAGTACTACTAGTACCACATAGTACTACCACATTGTGGTACTACTAGTACTACCAGTACCACATAGTACTACCACATTGTGGTTGAAATAAAGATAAATTACAAATCATTCGTTGATGCGGTCGTTCATAAGTTTTATTTTGCTTTCATCTGCATCCGATACGTGCGAGCCACTTGGCGCTAGGTCGGATCGCACGGCGTGCACTCCTTGGAGGAGTTGCTGCGTTTCCAGTGGCTGAGGGTCTTGATGTCCTCCATGGCGTAGGTGCCAGGGCTGATGGCGCCGTTCAACTCGCACCTGCCCTGCACCGCGTAGTCTTCCCGCAGCTTGCCCAGGCGCACGCCCAGCTCCAGCAGCCGCTCCAGTGCGTCGTGCTGGTCGGCCGACACGCGCGCCTCGCAGAAGTTGCCGATGAGGGCGACGCCCAGCGATACGGCGTTCCAGGACGCCGTGTGGGCGCCCACGACGTCCCAGCCGCGGCCCTCGTACGAGTAGCCGTCGCCGCCCACCAGGAAGTTGTAGCCGATGTCGTCCCAGGGGGGCTTCATCTTGAACATGTGCATGTTCTGAATCCCGAGCACCTGCCGGACGCCAGAAAGGGGACACTGCTATGAAAGCTTGTTCGATAGTTGCCACAGCCTGCCGAATCATTGCAGCCACGCGGTCTTACGCTGGCCTTGCAGGCCGTTTCATTGCTGCACGCTGCCATCGCCGTGTGGTGGACGATGACCATCCGGAGGGGCGTCACGAGCGGCGCGGTGCGGCGGGGCGGCAGCGCCTCCCACCCCTTCCTGCTCACCAGCCGCGAGTCGGGGGAGGTACTCGTTGCACTCGTCGAGGTGGCTGCAAGAGAGATACTAGTAGCAGTCCCGGCCATGGCGCCGACCTAGGCGCCAGCTAAGGTGCTGTAGTGCGTTCTCAATCTTCAGGACAGTCTACGAGCGTGAGAGAGACAGAGCGACGAAACCACTGTTCAAAGTCAAACGGCAGTGAGGGCGGCCTCGCTTCGCGCTTACTTTGGCCACGACCGCCGGTCACGCCGGGGGTGGAGCGGTCCTGCTGGGGAGGGGTGGTGACGGCCTCGGTGACGGCGCCAGCCGGCGCATCCTCGCCGAGCAGCAAGAACACCGAGACGAGGCAGAGGGTGAGCACGAGCAGCAGCCCGCCGACGAGCACCGAGACGCGCTGCCACCGCCGCAGAGAGCGCCACCCTGCACAAGAAGGGGCACAGGGTTCCCGTCGTCCCCGTCACATCGGTCTTCGTTGAAGTACTTCAAGACGTGTGGACGATCTCACCTTTCCTACCCTTCCACTCGGCTTTGCCGGGCACCGGCTGCTTGGCCTGCGCCGCGGGTCTCCCCGCCTCCTCCGAGACCCCCAGCGCGGAGGCCGAGAGCACCACGCCGGCGTTGCCTTGGCCGTCCGGCAGCACCACGGTCACGGGGCCGTGGTAGAAGGTGTTGCCACCGAACTGGCACGTCGAGTTGACGACGCTCACGGGCCCGTCGAAGCTCGCCCCGGGGACATGCATGGCTGGGGGTCAAAAACAGAGGGGGCTTGAGCTGCCCGAGGGTGTCGCCCCGCAGCGCGCGCCGAGACCAACCGTTCGCTTCCGCCACGAGGGCCGCGTCGCGCTGCACCGCCAGCACGGGGTTAGTCGCGGCCCCGTCGCCATCGTCGAGGCCGCCGTCCGCGAGGGGGCGTCCCGGGGGCCGCTGCTCCGTGAGTCTGTGTTCCGTGTTCATCGTGCCGCACCGCGCCAGTGCACTGCAGTGCTCACGGAGTGGAGTCTCACGGTGACTGGCGAGCACTGGTTGCTAGCGCCCCTTTGTGTCGCGCGGTGTTTGGGATGCATTCAGATAAACGGCCGATACGTCGTTTTATGGCCCTGATTTCGGCGAAAACCGAGACTCTGGGGGGAGGACGTGCAGGAGGGGGAGGGGGAGGGCGAGGAGGCTAGGGCGAGGAGGAGGACGAGGAGGAGGATGAGGAGGAGGATGAGGAGGAGGATGAGGAGGAGGACGAGGGCGAGGGGGACGGCGAGGGCAAGGGTGAGGGGCAGAGCGAGGGCGAGGGCGAGGGAGAGGGCGAGGGGGAGAGCGCGGGGGAGAGCGTGGGGGAGAGCGAGGGGGAGAGCGAGGGGGAGAGCGAGGGGGAGAGCGAGGGGGAGAGCGAGGGGGAGAGCGAGGGAGAGAGCGAGGGGGAGCCTCAATGTGTCAACGACAAAACATTTATTTACATTGCACTTCGTTCATCACGCTAACGCTTTTCACTTGAGCGTGCAGGCTTTCTCGTAGCAGAAGTGGTCCCAGCCCTTGAGGCAGCGGTTCCCAACCTTTTTCGGTTCGCGACCCCAAATTTGATACAAAAAATTTCCGCGACCCCCAGGAAAAATTTCGCGACCCCACGCGACCCCTCCTTTAGCATGCCTTTGATACAAAGTGCGATAATCCACCTTAGTTTGGGAGCAGTATTGCCGCAAAGTTGATCAAAACGGCCACAAATGTCTTTGAAAAATCGTGTTTTGGGCCGACTTTATGCAGCCACTGCGTCTGACCCGAGGCGGTATTTCGTCCTCCCTAAACGGGCATTTGGTCTTTGGACCTTCCTTAACATGCCTTTGTTACGGAGTGCGATTATCGGCCTTAGTTTGGGAGCAGTATTGTCTCAAAGTGGATCAAAATGGCATTCAAAGGCATTTTATACTGTTTTCATCAACTTTGAGACAATACTGCTCCCAAACTAAGGCCGATAATCGCACTCCGTAACAAAGGCATACTAAAGGAAGGTCCAAAGGCCAAATGCCCGCTGAGGGAGGACGAAATACCGCCTCGGATCAGACGCAGTTGCTGCTTAAAGTCGGCCTAAAACACGAGTTTTCAAAGGCATTTTCGACCGTTTTGAACAATTCTGCCAGCCGGGAAACAGCCGCGACCCCAGGCGACCCCAACCACCTCGCCGCGACCCTTCGAAATTTTTTCGCGACCCCATTTGGGGTCGCGACCCCAAGGTTGGGAACCGCTGTCTTAGGAGATTCGAGGTTGGTCGAATGCGGCTTCCACGACAGCCTCAAGGCCCTGCTTATTCGCTGCAGTGAGACAATCTCTCCCACCAACTTCACATTGGCGGCGTTTTTATTTTCAAAATAAAATACTCTAAACACTTATTGATTAAATTTGGCCCCTTGGAACGGGCTGCTGTGGTCTAGGTTGAGCTGCGCTGCCGGGTCGCAGAGGTCGCCCCAGTCGGCTCCGTTGTCCCACCAGTGGTACCAGTTCTTGAGGACGTGCATGAAGCGCAGCCCGGGGCTCGGGGTGCGCGCCAGCTGGCACGCGCCCACCAGCCGGTACTGGGTCTTGATCTTGCCCAGCTTGACGCCCAAGCGTAGGAACTTGTAGAGCTGCTGCCGCTGCTCGGCCGAGGGCAGGTCCGCCGTGAAGGTGCCGATGACGGCCACCCCCAGCGCCTCGCGGTGCCACTGGCGCACCGTCGGGTCCAGCGCGTCCCCGACGACGTCCCAGCCGCGACCCTCGTACACGCGGCCGTCGTCGCCCACCAGGAAGTTGTAGGCGATGTCGTCGAAGTGCCTGCCGTCCATGTTGTACTGCTGCATGGTGAAAACCTGCGAGGTGCGCGACAGTCTTTGAGTCAGTTCTCCCCCAAAGCTGCCGTACCCACCTTATCTGGACTCACCCGCTCACAGCACATCTTGAAATTGGTGCACGACGCCGTGCCTGAGTGGTGCACGATGACGGTGTTGACGGGCGTCTTGAGGACCTCTGGCGCCCCCCTGGGCGTGCGCGCGCCCCACGCGGCCCTGGGCACGAACCCGACACCGTCTGGCAGCAGCACAGGCGAGGCCGCGGCCGGGGGTTTGGTGCTGCACGGCACGTCGGCGTCGCCGGGCACGTCGTCCGCGAGCAGGTCGGCGTCGGCCTTGAGGGCGACCGTCAGTCCGACGCCCCACACGACCACCAGGAACACGCACGGCGGCAGCAGCAGCAGCAGCAGCGGCTTCCTGGACTTGGGGACCTCAGCACACAGAGCACCGTCAGCTGGAAGCCAAAGAGGACATCGCGGGGCTGTTCAACGCCAAGGTGACCAGGGATTCGAAAATTCACCGAGAATAAACATCCCATCCCGTCGAGTACTTTCATTTCCATTCGATAAAAGTCGCGACTGTTTCTGCTCCCAGAATAGCGATACAAACAGTGAAAGCGGATTAAAACACACCCGAATGGAACATGTGGACGAGACATGGAGATAAAACAGGTGAACAACCCGAACCAGCCGATTTGTGTTAATCGGCCGTGACATTATCATTGGCTTATCGTTCGGAAGTTTCTTTGTCCGTTCTTGTTGATTTTCTCTGCACCCATCCCGCCAATGCCACCCCCTTTCCCTCTCTTCTTGCCGTGGTTGGTACGTAGTACTCACTCTCGCAAGGATTTGCTGGTCCGGTGGCATCCGGCGTGTTGGGCAGGGTCAGGTCTCTGGCGCTCGGCACGGAGTTCTGTAGAGTCCCCCGTGCTCACATCCACTGATCGCCGATTCCGAATGCTGTTTCTTCATCGCCCCGTCTCTCTCGCACCCCGACGGGCCGCCCCACGAGTGCGAGAGAGACAGAGCGACGAAGCCACTGCTCGGCATCGGCCCGGCTGCAGGGCGCTCGCACTGTACCTCAATCTGGCTGCATTGTTTCGCAATGCCGTCCGCGCCGTCGGCCGACACGCGGAACTTTTCGCAGTGCACGTTGAGAGGGCCGTAGACGTGCAAGCTGCTGCCGATCTGGCAGGTGGAGTTCTCCACCGTGATGCTCTCGATGGCCGAGCAGGGGACGGGCATGGCGTCGGCGCCGGTGCTGGCCGTGTCGTCCGTGTCCACCGACGCGGCATCCTCGCCCGAGTCCTCGCCGCCCTGGACACGCCACGCACACTTCGGCGCCACGACGGCCGCCCCCGCGGCCTTTTCACCATCGTTCCAGTCCATTTCGTCGCCAAGGTTCCTGGTCACTACTGGTAGACTGTCATCGTGGACGCCGCGATGCGGTCGAGGCGGTCGAGGCGGCCGGCACCGGACCGGGCGGCGGCACTCAATTCACTGGCGCCTTGGCAGGATTATTAGGATGGCGCGCCGCGCGCCGCGCGCCGGACCTGACGCTGGTTCGCTACTTCTCCGCTTGGGGGCTCTGCAGACTGATTCAAAGTCGTTTTCGTCGCTCTGTCTCTCTCGCACCTATAGGGGGCGCCTATGAGTGCGAGTGAGACAGAGCGACGAAAACGACTCTCTGGAACAGTCTTCTGGGACCACTGGGAATTATGGGAAGAGTGGTTGGATGCCACGACGTCCGCAAGGGCTCCAAGCTGGCGCTCACGGCCAGGGCACTCCCAGGCCGGCCCAGGCACACCCCGGCCCCGGCCAGTTCACGTTACGACATTTGGGGCTGATTCCTTTAAATAAAACTCGATTTACTTTTGTAAGAATTCCGTTGTTTATTTACCCATACAAACAGGTACGGTTTAAGGGGACCCTGTCAGATAGATTGTCCAAGCGCCGCAACCCGCAGCACATGCTCCTTCAGGCAGCCAAGATATTCACTACCGCCCCCCTGTGGAGCCCCTTATACCGTGCCTGCATACAAACAACGGACCGCAGTCTTAGAGCAGTGCATCTGGTTACGTTATCACAGCATAATCTTACACTAGTGTCGCGTCTCGCGGTCTGTTCGCGGCGAACGGCACCTACACTCTAAATATGGGGTGCCCAAAAACTGGGCGCCTTTGTCGCCCGCCCCACTTTTTAGGGCGCCAAATGTCGCCCAGTTCCTGGGCACCTTTGTGGCCTAGTCTCGAGGTGGACAAACCATTAAGGAACCTGCCTTCACCCATGGCTCAGCAGCGACTAAGGTGACCAAACTAAGGTGCCCAGAAGCTGGGCTGGGCACCTTAGTCGCCCAGGAACTAGACACCTGAGCATGCTCTACCATGGGAGAGGGCCGGTTACTGTACGATTTGTCCACCCCGAGACTGGGCGACAAAGGCGCCCAGAAACTGGGCGACATTTGGCACCCTAAAAAGTGGGGTGGGCGACAAAGGCGCCCAGTTTCTGGGCACCCTAGAGTGTTGTCGGAGCGCGGCGAACGGCACCTAGTCGGAACACCTCTCCGCCCCGTTGTCCCACCAGCGGCTCCACGTCCGGAGGTCCTGCATGAACCGCAGCCCGGGGCTCTTGGTGCTCTGCAGCTGGCACGCGCCGACCAGGCGGTACTGCGGCTTGATCTTGCCCAGGTCCACGCCCCACTCCAGGAGGCTGGCCAGCTGGCGCCGCTGATCGGCGGGCGGCATGTCCTCCGTGAAGGAGCCGATGACGGCCACGCCCAGCGACCGCGAGTTCCAGCCGTAGAGGAACGACCCCACGGTGTCCCAGCCGCGGCCCTCGTAGACCCGGCCGTCGCCGCCCACCAGGAAGTTGTAGGCGATGTCGTCCCAGCCGTTGTCCACCATGTTGTACCCCTGGATGCCCCTCACCTGGCGGGAGAAATCAAAGTATTTAAGAGTGTCGCCAGGCGCGATGGAGTCAGCTTCGTCCGGCAGCAGACTGATTCCGAGAGTCGCTTTCGTCGCTCTGTCTCTCTCGCACTCGCGGGGCGTCCCGTACAGTGCGAGAGAGACAGAGCGACGAAAGCGGCTATCGGAATCAGTCTTAAGGCGGGGAGGCACTCACCATGGTGCTGCAGGAGGCGGCGCTGGAGCACGACGCCGTGCCCGTGTGGCACACGATGACGGTGTCCACGGGCGTGCGCAGCCTGGTGCCGGTCTTGGCGGGCCGCGCACGCCACTGGTCCTTCGGCACGTACTGGACGCCGTGAGGCAGAGGGATCGGCGTCGGTGGCGGCGAGGTGAGGGGATCCTCCGTCATGTGGCCCGGCCCTCCGCCGGGGACTTTGCCGAGCTGCATTGTGGCGAGGATGACCACCGCCACCGCCAGGCCCGTCGCCACCAGGGCCGCGCACGGACTCCGCCACCACCGGCGGGGGACTGTGCCTGCAAAAGAGGGCGTTGCATTGGTATTTCGATGGCCGCAGCGGCGCAACACAGCCCAGTCCATTGGCGGGGCGGGCGGGACGCAGCCCGGCTCGTAGAGAGCCCGTTGAACTCGCGCGTTCGGCGGGACTGCCTACCCTGGCCGCCACAGGCGCTCCCGCGTCGCCGCGGCGGCAACGCGACTGCGTTTCGGCGCGTTCACTGACCTTCTTTGTGCTGCTCGGGCGTTTCCTTGGGGGGCAACGCCGTCGCTGCTCCTTCTTTAACGGCGTCCTGGGCGTCCGCGTCCTTCAGGCCCAGGTTGGAGGCGGACAGCACGATCCCCTGTCCAGCGCCGGCGGCGACGGCCCTCTCGGACACGACGACGGTGAGGGGACCATGCACGTGCATGTTGTTCCCGATCCGGCAGGTCGAGTTCTCCACCGTGATGCTCTCGATGGTCATGGCGGGGCCCATGGAGGCGGCCGAGTCCACCGCCGCGCCCAGCACCGCCTTGACGCCGAGCGGCACCTCGCCGCCATCACTGCTGCTGCACGTGCTGATGCTGAGAGTGTCGCTGTCGTCGCGGGGATCGAGCAGCCCGTCGTAACCGCTGTCCGTTGCAGAGGCGGGCGGATCCAGCTGGCCTTCCGGGCGCTGCCGTCCTGGGCCTGTGCGGAACGTGGCCGCGTCCGTCACGACGCCGTCCTCTGGGTGCGCCGCGCGGCCGCCGTGCACGGCCGGCTCGGTCATGGCGATGATGTTGGTCCGTCACGTCACGTCCCGGTGCATGCCTCTGTGCTTCGCGCTCGGGGCCCGGGGCCCGCACGGGTTCGCGGTGTGGTGACGCATGCACTCGCGCTGGCGGAGCGCTTCGCCCCTCGTCGCCCTGCGCCGCTCGGCCGCAGACGTGGTACTGAGCAAAGACTGCCGCTGTGCCGCAGATTGATGAGATACTGCGGCACCCGACGGGAAGGGGAATGCCGGAGCGGCCGCCGACCGACCGGCCGGATCGCTGTCGGCGTCATGGCGGGGGCAGGCCGGGCAGCCCAGGATGACGAGCCGTGAGCTCGGCGGCGAGTGCGACCTTGGGGCGCGGCGTGCGAAAATTGTGCCAAAACAAAGCACACCGGGAAAAGGAGCACGTGCCCAGGACTGGCCTGCACTTGTACTGCCTTGCACGTGTACTGCCCTGCACTTGTACTACCCTGCCCTGCACTGCCCTACACCCACGCCAACTGAGGCATGAGGTGTTGGAGTCTCGGAGAAGGCATTTGGCAAAGGACATGAAATGAAGACGCGAGAAATCACTGGTTTATGTTTTTAATGGCGAGGAAAAGAGACGAAACAAAGACACACGCCCACCAACAACAACATCAAAATCATAACTGTAAAAAAAAACCTCTAAATGTGAAGCCAAGCCTCAATCATACATAAGCAAGTAAATTTTAGTTAGCTATCTTATCACCACATTTCAAACCTCTTGTCTGGATAGAAAATAATTAATGCAGTCTAAAATTTGTGACAAAAGTTTTAAGAAAATAAGGTAGGACAGAGCAGTTAGCTGTGTAAATACTGCAGTGACCATAATTTAATAAAAAAAAAAAATGATACATATCCCACAAAGTTCCTCTATGATTTAAAAGCTCTTTTTAAAGCTTACAGTCGCACAATTTTTATTGAACATTTATCAAGGCAGCACAACTTGTAAGTGCATGGGAAGATACAATTCGAACATTTTAGATTTTTAGTCTATTATTGAGTATTATTATCACAGATCCAAAACACACCTCACATCAAAAGACTGTTTCTAGAGGAACCTCAATAACTATGTACAAAACCTTCTACAAAACTAGGTAAAGTTGGCAACAAGGTAGATTCTAAAAATTTACATCAATGATTTACACTGTTACAAAGATTACTAACACCTACATCATAAATATACAGTATAGACAAAAATGAAAATGTACAGGACAGCTTTGATTCAATGCAGATGTATCTGAGAACAGTGACTAGGACTAGGATACAGAACTTTTAGGGACACAAGTTAAACAATACTTCATTTACAAATTCAAATTACTAATTGAAGGATGACTTTGATAACAAATCAGGTGTAGAATGACCATTAAATCTACAAGCATTGGTCGCAACAGTAACGGTATTAACATAAATATGTTGTAACAAAACAGAGCTGCCATAACAACAAGCTTAAAATGGATTAATTGACAACAGGCAAAGGAAGAAAGGAACTGATGAATCACATTAAGTTTCATTTGTTAGATAGCTGAAGGCTGACAAACAAAAATTGAGCATACCTACAAACACAACAGCAATTACAAAACTAAAACAAATCCTGACAACAATTTAATTTATTTTAAGGGCAACACTTCATACAAATAGCTATTAAAGATAAAGAAGGCATGCAATAAAAATAGAGCAGAAAATCACAGAAATATCAGACCAAACAGTAGGAAGACAATGTCCACACTATGAGGTAACCACTTTGAGTATTGGCTCGCTCACGCCAACTTTGACTCGAGTTGCTTGGTATGCTTCCCTCTCTTTGTCAGGGAACTTAGTAGGGAGGTTTGGAGAATGCAAGTTCACCTATAAAAAGAGCCAAATTAATACCTTGCAATGGTACCCACTAAACACCGTAATGTGGACTGCCAATGACATACCTTGGCGGGGTATCGAATACCACCAATGTCGACCTCATAGCTGCCCGACTGAACAAAGTCTGATGTCACTCTCTGAGGAATTTTGTTTGGGTCAAAATTCTGGATGAATCCAAGGCAAACCTAGCAACATTTTTCAATTAGTTTTTTTTTTTTTTTTAATCCAATCTATTCTTATGTGATGCTGAAAAAGTTCTTACCTGTTTTTTGAAGGTGTAACCATATCCTGTGGTGGTTGTTGCCCCAACATACTCTCCATCCCGATAAATTGGTTCCCCACCCCAACACCATAAATCTAAATCCGGATCATGGTCCTGAAGTATTAACTGAACGTACATTCGTTTCACACCTTCATCACGCTGTTGCAGCAGGGCCTCTCTCCCTATGAAGTCCATTCCTTTCTTCTCGAGCAGAAAAGAGACCAACAAATTTATTATTTACCATAAAAGGCAACGAAAATTTTTTAAAGGGATGATTTATAACTGTTACCTCAAACTTAACACGCCACGATCTACCACATTCCAAAGGAGTTGTTGTTGTGTCCAAGTCCTGGCCCCAGAAGGCAAAAAACTTTTCCACTCGTAATGCACGCATGGCATAATAGCCTGTGTGACGGAGGTCATACCTCTCTCCTACTTCCTTTAAACGTGTGTAAACATGAAGGGCAAACTACAACACAAAATAAAAAGAAGGTTAGAGAAATATTTTAAGGTATCATACAAAACAATATTGAAATCAAATGTTTTCACTGACCTCATTAGGTATGTATAAAACATATCCTAATTCACCTGTGTGTGTTAGATTCATGGCCCGAATGCCATTTGCTAGACCAACGTCTAATTCCTGAAACAAACAAGAAAGAAAAAACAGTGTGGAGTTGTAAGCTGCAGTAATAATAAATCCATGGAAAAGGTGGCACTCTGTTTTTACCTTGAATGTGAAAAATGGAAAAGATTGAGGACTTAGATCAGTGTCAGTAAGCTCAGAAAGGAGAGTTCGTGTTAAAGGTCCCATAACACAAATAGCTGTGTACATGGATGTTACATCAGACAATGCTACAGATCCATCAGGTGGCAAATGGCGTTGGATCCACACTTTACAGCGCGTCTGTTGTATTGTTGGTGCTATCATCATATAACTGAAAAAGAGTTAGAAGAGATTTTAAATTTCAATTAAGTAAACTTGTTTGCGGGATGCTAAAGAGTCAGAGAAGTAGTCTTACTGATTTTCTGCCAATCTGGCAAGGCTGCAGTCATTTTCATAGCCTCCCCTTGAGTTTTGCATTCCAGTATGAATTATGCTTCCAATCGGTACATCAACATCATTGGAACATAGATATTGGAGAGCTTCCACTACCTCATTGCCCTTTGACTACACATAAACAAGCAAATATATGAAAATAATTACATTGTGTTTTATACAATAATAGAGACTTATTCATTTCATTCTCTTGAAGTTTAACTTACCCAAAGATCAATTTTAGTGAAGGATGAATAATCACAAAGACCCACACTTTCTCTACAAGCTGAATATTCCTCACTCACTATATCAAACCAATCTGGTTTCCCAAATGTTCGAGTTTCCGCTATACGAAATGGTTTCTCTGCTCCTGGGTCAGCAGTTACATTTGACAATAAGCCATCTAACAAAAAAAAACAGAAGTTAAATGAAAATTGTTGAGAAGGCATTAATTGTCTAAAAAGTCTTCACACTGGAGAATTATAGCACGAAACTCAAAATGGCTGTACCTGGATCAAAGTAAACAGGTCTTTCATAACCCATCACTTGGCCAAAGACAGCACCAGCTTCTCTCAACTTTGGATAGATGGGAGACATTCGAAGGTTGCGCCCAGTGCTGAACTCAGAAAATGGGTAATTGATAGCATAGTGAAGTCCTACCAGAAGAAAGAAACACAATAAGTACAATTTCAACAAAACACATAGAATATACAGTTATGACAGACTAGAGTGAATAACTATGTACCTGGAACTTCCCTCACACGGTCTCTCAAAAATTTTCTGTTATTGTGTAAACCAAGGAATCGTGTTATATCCAATTCATACATCTCATACGAAGAAAAGCCATTAACAATCCAGTTGGCTGTGGAATGACCCACACCACCTGCTGCTGAAATGCCAACTGTCTTCATTCCAGCTGCCACAAAATAGTTTTGAATCTAAAATAGAAAAAAAAGCAGTTATTGACAAAAACTATTTAAAATACATGCTGGAAATAAACTAAACTTAAAATATTAAAGGAAAAAACTGTTTCAAAAATGTCATAAATTTTTTCATGAGTCCTTACTTCAGGGGCCTCTCCTAAGATCCATTTACAGTCAGGAGAAAATGCTTCTGGTCCATTGACAAGCCGATCCAGTGCCGTCTCTCCTAATATTGGAACTCTGTGTAACATTTGCTCCAACAAAACATGAAAATGATCCCAATCTTCAGGCAGCTTCCTTGCTGAGGATGAGGCTGTCATGTGAAAATAATGCCTAATTGTAAATAAAATAGGACACAATGTCAAAACAGAAAATCTAACAATGAAGTACCTGGTAAGAGCCCATCCTCAAAAGCTGGTTTAGCAACAGGTTCAAATCCTCCTAACATTAAACAGCCATCATTTTCGCGGAAATATATATGGTTATCCTGATCTCTAACCACTAAAATAAAGAAAAATAATCAATTCACGAACATGAGATGAACATAGATGAAGCTTAGGAAACAAAAACAAGCAGCCTACCTGGAGTCATGGGATCCAATCCAGAAACAGGACGAGTATGAAGATAGTAATGATCACAAGGATGTAAAGGCACTTTTACAAATGGCTCACTCATTTGCCCTATTTGCCGCGCCCAAAACCCACCACAGTTCACAAAGTATTGGCACTCAACAGTGCCATGAGATGTATCAACAGCCACTATGCGGCCATTACTGCTTACCACTCGTTTCACAGAACACCCTTCTAAAACATGGACTCCTGTATGTGTCAAGAGGAACAAAAAAAATACACAAAGGTACAAATGAGAGACATTTAACTAGGTAAATAACAATAAATCAAGGATTTGAACTGACCTCCCTGTTGGGCTACTTTGACTAAGGATTGGCATATCTGAAGAGGATCACCGACCCCGTCGCCAGGGATCCAGATTCCACCCTTTAAATCATCAGTGCGGACAAGAGGACATAACTTGGATATTTCCTCTGGTGTCACCAATTTGCAATCAATGCCCCAAGAGCTGAAAGTCATACAAAGAAAACATGGTTTAGCAACCTGGATCAGCAATGTACACAAGGTCTTACCGAAAACACTTACACCGAGAGAGCCTGCATACGACGAAAAACAGTCATACGATCTCGAGTTTTGGCTAAACATAAGCTTCCACATTGTTTCCAGCCAGTGGGCAGCCCTCTCTCCTCCAAAGATTTGTACAGAGAAACCGTTGATTGAACCAGGCGAACCTGAGCCAAACTTGGTTTAAAAACTCCAACAAGCCCAGCAGTGTGGCCTGTTGCGCCTCCGCCAATGCTATCAGGTAAAAGGCAAAACAAATGTCGATTATTAAGGAGTATGAGTGCTAAACTAGATTTAAGTAAAGAAATAAAACATACTGCGAACGTACTTGCCCTGATCAACCAGAACTGTATGAGAGCCCCATCCAAGCTCAGCCAGATGGTATGCAACGGATGCTCCCATAACACCTGCTCCACAAATGACAACTTTTGCCTCTCGTGGCAATGGGCGGTTGTTATCAGCCACATTGTTGATGACACTGTCACTGAGACTGCTACTGACGGTTTTCAACACAGTGCTGCTAGTAAAGTTACGCGCCAAATCTGGACATTTTTTGCCACACAGTTTTGCCACTGACTTTCGTTTCAAAGCCAGTTGTGTGGGCCTGCTAAGCATGATTATGGGAGGTTTTTAACACAACAGGCAGATTAAACTGTAAAAAGGAAAAAAATCATAAAGAAGGTAAAAATAAAGAAGATGATAGACATACGTGTAAAACAGGAATGGCAACCAGATTTTTACCCGAAACAGGATGTACAAAATATAAATGAACACATAAGAAGTGGCTGCGTTTTATGACGGAGAAGTATTTATTTACTACTCACATGGTTGTTCGTGTTGGGGTTATTCCGACAGGACTTAAGCACAAAATAAGCCAACTGTAAATTACATTTCCTGTCAAAAAATGATGATGAAAGGTTAGATACTACTGATAAGCTCCAACAACAATAAAAGCGTAAATACCCACCTTCGTAATGAGGTACTTACATTTTTCTACAACAAACATTAAATTTATTGCGATGTTACGACCTAGCAGAAGGTACTTGAAGTTGACAGAAAAACATTTATGGTATACTCGTCCCAGCGTAACCTTTCCGAAAGTAGTCCCTTGGCCGTTTTATCCCCACATTGGCACAGATTATTCGATGTTTCTCCCAAAATAAAGATTGATTCTCAAAATGAGGGCGAACGGGGCAGACAAAAATGTGTGGGCCTTTGACTGAAATAAGTTGTTATTATCGAATCTCTTCCAGTTGCTCAAACCTAATGCAGAAAGTTTGGAGCTCGGTCCAGAGGAGAAGCCGACCTCTCTCACACAGACCAAAACTTCTAAAGAATGAGACAAAATTTCAAAAAAAGAAGGTGAACGGGGCAGACAAAAATGTGTGGGCCTTTGACTGAAATAAGTTGTTATTATTGAATATCTTCCAGTTGCTCAAACCTAATGCAGAAAGTTTGGAGCACGGTCCAGAGGAGAAGCCAACCTGGTGCATTTAAACCAAAATTTTAAAAGAATAAGCCAGAATTCCACAAAATGAACGCGAGCTGGGCATACAAAATAGTGTGGGGCTTAGACCTATGCAAGCTCCTTTTATGGAATCTCTTCCAGTCACTCAATGTAAGTGCGAAAAGAGGTTCCGAGAGACCGTTGTTTTGAAGGGCTCGGACCGGCACGTCGTCTGCCCGCGGAAATGCAAAACCCGGAATGCGTAATGATTAAGTCCGAAATTGTTCGTAATTTTTCAATGTTGTTTATTTATACGATTAATTATGATGGCAACGGTCTAGGGTTGAGTATTAGTTTTAATAAACCGCATTACCTGCGGGACTATTTTCTGTTCTCTGGCTACTGGCGGAGTGATTTAGAAAGGTTATGCTGGGACGAGTATATGAGAAATTGTGTTTTTGCGAACCGCCATATTTATCGCTACTCACTTGTTCTCTAACGGGAACGGAGCTGAAAAACAAACCTGCTGCACACGGCGTTCGCACGTGTGTCTGCACAGACATTAATTTGAGCGTTTACTGTGTTGACAACGATTAGTTAAGCCGGTAAGTATGATTTTATAGTACATTTCTTCCCTCCATATCCTTTTCATGTTCTGTAACTTGCATCTTTTGTAGAATAAAGGGTGTAGAACTGTTCGATGATCGCTCTATGTCAAAGGGTTAGGTTCAGGTGATAATATGTTACCAGTCTTAAATTCACGATGCAACTTCAATTTTATTTTATTCTTGAAAACTATGAATTTTATTGGACTGTTTAAGTCTCCTTTAATTTAAGGGCATATCCCTTAAGATAGTCCTTCGGGTTCATTCCACATCCATGTCAATTGGACATCATCACATTAATGCCCAAGTTGTGGTTTACTTGCCATCCATACATAGATTTGGTTGTTTGGCTAGCCTTGAACCGCTCCAATTTTCTGTCCATTCCAGCGATGGCAGCGGACGAGTCTTCGTTTCCCCGAGGAGGGGCTGTGCCTGTATCTGCAACTGCCTCCAACAAGGCCCACGTAAGTGAAACAAAAATAACTTGTAAAAAGTTGTTTGATATTGTTGCTAATTTTACTTTAAATTAACTTGGATCATGCTTTTAGTTGTTTGATCAAACGAAGACGAAGAAAAAAGTCAGTAAAAATAAAACAAAAAAGACCAAACATCATCGTGCCGTAACTGGAGCTCAACCTAAGCTGTTAGCTCTTGAAGATTTGTCTTACAGGGTGAGTTCTAATTTTTATTTATTTGGTCTATACTTTTGATGTTTCCTGTTTGATGTTTAAACTGCATTATTGAGTAATATTTATATTTCATTTAATGTTTTCAGACCCTTAATGAGGGCATGGTTGTATTAGGTTGTATCACCGAAATTACAGACTATTCACTGCATGTGTCTCTGCCTGGCTTTATTTCTGGGCGAGTTCCTGTCACTCAAATCTCTGAACCATATTCACAACTATTGCAGTCTTCTGGCCAGGATGATACTGAGATTGATGTGAGCAAACTTTTTAATTATCTGCTGTGCTTTTGTCCTTAAATTTAATCTCGCACATGTTTTATTGATACAATTTATTTCCCTCAGGCGCTTTGCCCTTTGTCTGAGCTATTTTACAAGGGTCAGCTTGTCACTGCTAAAGTTTGGCAGATTCGTCAAGCCGAAGATATGAGACATAATGTTTCTTTGAGCCTAAATCCAAAACTTGTGCATGAAGACATGACCCATTCTGATTTGGCAAAGAAAGGTATGATAATCAATGCTGCTGTGAAAAGCAAAGAAGAACATGGTTATGTGATGGACTGTGGTGTGAATGGGCTTCGAGCCTTTCTCAAGGAAGACAAAGCTCTAAATTTCTGTAACACCTTCAATGGAGGCCGCCCCCTTGGTAAGGTTCATGTGGTTTCCCTTTTCTTTCTTTCATCTATTGCCTGAGGAAGGTCAATTAACTCTCTTTTGCACTGCCATGTGTTTTATGTTCTTCACAGCAATTGGTCAGCTTGTGCGGTGCATTGTTACCAAAGCAGGATCTTCATCAGCTGCTTCTAGTGTAGAACTTTCAGCGGACCCAGAGGATATTGCAAATGAGGAAGAAACTGGCCATCAGTCAGTTGCCATGCAAGTACTCTTGCCTGGCATGAGATTCAAGCTCACGGTTTCTGAAGTAAGCTGATCAGTTAATGTTGGAAACATTTTGAACCCTATTTGAATCAGGTTTTCTTACTAACTGTCTTTTACAGCCTATCATAGACGGAGTAGAAGTAAAGTTCCACAGTCTATCTGGCTTCATTCATCGCAATCATATCCCTCAGAATTCAAAGGCTATTGAACCTAGTCTTGAAGAGGGTTCCACTGTTTTTGGCCGTGTCCTTTACATTACACCTCTGGTGAAAAATGTATATCTTAGTGCTCTGACAAACATCAGCAGCACTGTGAAAGAAATCCCAAAACCTTCTCCTGCTGAAGTCCATTTTAAAATTGGAGACATTGTTCCATCTGGGCAGGTAAATGAGTGCTTCACATGTGTGCAACTCTACAGCTTTTTTAATTTGACAACTAACAATTTAAAACACAGGTGACTGGTGTTGGAGGTAAAGGATTATTTTTGCGCCTTGGGAAAAAGAATCTTAATGTACGAGGATTTGTCCCAGAGCGTCGCATTGGTTTTAATTATAAAGGCAAATTAGTTGATAATGATGATGAGTCCACTATGTTGCAACGCTTAAGAACCAAATTTCCTGTTGGGAGCTCAGTTCGTTGCCGTCTTCTCTATTTTGATGCAATGAGTGCCACATACATCTGCAGTATGGAAACGTATGTCATCATTTCTCTGTTCATCCTACTTTCATGGATTCTCTGAGGCAACTCTTTCCTGAAATATGTATCTTTCACTTTCCAGGGCTGTATTGGATGAGAAGTATCTGAGCTATTCTGATGTTCATGTTGGTGATGTAGTTCCATGTGTAGTAGACGGAGTCAAAAATGGTGGCATAGCAATCAAAGTTGGAATGCTAAGCGCCTTTGTACCTGCTGCTCACTCTGCCGATGTGCCTTTGATTCATCCTGCCAGAAAGTTCCAAGAAGGTGCCAAAATTACTGGAAGGGTGAGTAGGCCTATTTCATGCTACTTTTACTTGTCAATGACAATCTTAATAACGGATATTCTTTGTTCAGGTTTTAAAAATAGACACTGAAAAAAACAGACTGATTGTCACATTTAAGCAATCCTTGGTCACAAGTGATGATCCCATTATTGTGTCATATCAAAGTGCTCGTGTTGGTTTGTGCTATCAGGGCACTGTAGTGGCAATTGGTGAGAAAGGTGTGTTTGTTTCCTTCTTTGGAAATGTGAAAGGGTTCTTGCAGAAGACTCTCGAATTTGTCCCTGCTGATCACTCATTCTTCATCGGACAGCTGGTTAGTACAAGTTTTGGATTGAGGTTCTGTCAGATCCTTTCTTTTTGGAGTCTTAATGATGGAATTGAATTTTCAGATCAAATGTTATGTTGTGAAACGTAATGACTATCAGTTGAGATTGTCAATGGTGGCTCCTAATCTGTTCGTGCCTAATCAGCAAGCTTGTAAAAATGTGAAAATAGGACAGATGTATGCATTACAAGTTTACTCTGTTACTAACAAAGGACTGAGTGTTAAAGTACTTGACCAGGGTGATTCATTCAATGGTAAGATTTATAGTCAAATTAAACAATTAAATTATGGGAAAAGGATTATATATCGATTATTTTTAACCTATTTTGTTTCTCTTAACTTTTTTTTTTATAAATGCAACTGAAGCATCTGGAGTTATTCCTGTCTACCATCTAAGTGATGACATTCAAATGGCCCAATTACTTTTGAATACCTTTGAGGTCGGAACAGTTTTAACAAATACTTGGTGCTTTAGTGATGCAGGCTTGAAGCGGCCTGCTATTTTCTCTATGCGTTCCTCTGTCTCTCAATTTTTCAAGGTATTTTATAAGTTGTGTTCCCTGTGCTTACCACAATCATTTTAACTTGTAGCTTTACAGTGTAATGTGGTAATTTTCTATCTTTCAGACTGTTCGTGGCCAGATAGCTTCCAAGAAGACCATTGAAGCTGTGGCCCCTGATTTTGTGTTACCTTGCTCTATACGTAAGGTAGATTCCAACTTCTTGTTACTTGAAGTACCTTTGTCTTCAGTAAGGAGTTTGATCAGAGTAAACAGCTCAAATGTGTGTGATAAAAATGAAACTATTGCTAGTTTGGGATATGTTGAAGGGCAGGCCATCCGAGCTAAAGTACTCAAAGTGCTTGATAAGTCACTTGTCTTAGATTGCCGGAAAAAATCTGTCTTCAAGAATGACTTGGAGGTTTGGCACTTCCTTTCCTTTCTTTATTTGTGTAGCAGTTGTTACCTCCTTAACTATAAATATTTCCTGCTTTTGATTTCAGACCTGCATTATGGATTTGTCAAAGCACCTTTCTGATCAGCAGCGATTGCTTGCTCATGCCAAGAGAATCGGAGACCCTCTAGGCTCTTTCCATATTGGAAAGGGAGTCACTGGTACAGTATCTGAACGGACCGAGTGGGGCTTTGTCTTGCATTTGGACAATGGAGCTCGTGGAGAAACGACCTTCTACAATGCTCACTGCGATGATCTTGTTATTGGTTCACGGTTTCAAGGGAAAGTCCTCCATGTATGTGTTTCATTTTCAACATAACTTCTGATGTTCATCTGAAAACCTCATGATTTGAATCTTTTCTTATATTCTATTTCAGGTTGACTGTGTTCGAGGGCATGTGGAAGTCATTCTTCGTAAAGATATCGGGTCTACTTTAAAACCATACAGTGAAAAGAACAAGCCATCTTTAGATCCAAATGTTCAGCTACGAGGTCCAACTCTCCTTGCAACACCGGAATTCATACTTGTACAGCTCAAAGGAGCAGGCAAGTTAAATCTTGCCTACATTCCTACCTTTCTCTATCCTCAAAGTTTACAACTAACTGTACCTGAACCATTTTTTGGTCTTGATCGAAAAGTCATAATTAAAAGGTGAGTGGTGATCTTATCTGACTCGGAGCTTATATGAGGCAAGATTCTAACTGCTATTTTACTTCTTTCAGATCCACTGGCAGGATCATTTTGTGCTTGCCCAAGGAAGTAGTTAAATTTTATTCCAGAAAGAAACCTGTAGGAAGGAAGGGAAAGAATGCAAAGAAAGAAAATACAGTAAAGAAAGAAAAGAATCATCAAGATCGTTACTTCACGTTGGACAAAGAGATAAAGCAAGAGGAGGAGACGGAGGAGGAGGACGAGGAGGAAGAAGAAAAAGTGACTCAAAGAATTTGGAATACAGAAAATGACAGCAAAATTATTGACATAGATGAAGATGAAATCAGTGATGATGAATCTGCTCCCTTGACTGAAGAGGAGCCAGACAGTGATATGGAGTTACAAGCTTCTGAGGAGCAGACATTGCCAGGTGATGAAAAGGAAAATTTGAATGGAAGTGATGTATTGAAGGCAAGGAAGAGGAAATCATTATCTGGTTCTGTGGAAGAAATAGAACCAGTATCATCATCTAAAAAGACCAAAAAGGAGAAAGAGAAAGTAGATGCTGACTCTTCAAAGACAAAAAATAAGAGAAAAGGCAGTGATGATATGAGCAACAGTAACTCAGATGGTATCAAAAGGAAGAAAAATGATGACAAAGAGGAGGAACAAGTAGTCGATCTGGCCTCTGATAGTGAGGATGATTCCTCTCAACAAACACAGCAAACTCTAAAAAATCCTGGATTTATCTGGGATATTGATCCTGCTAAGTTTATGCAGGTTTGTTCAATTATCTTATCTCACCTTATCTGTTTTACTTCAATGAACTTCCAATTTCAATTCTGTTTTATTTGCTCATTTTATAGGTTTTGGAACCTGGTAAACAAGATTCAAGCAGTGATGAGGAGGAGAGTGATGATGAAAAGTCAAAGAAAAAGAAAAGGAAAAAATCAGCTGTTGAGCGTCGCGAGGCCGCACGTCTTGAAGAAGAAAGACTGCAGAAAATTGAAAAAGAACTATTGGACCCAAATCGCCAATTAACTTCATGTGACGATTTTGACCGAATGGTCTTAGCAAACCCTGATAGCTCTGCTGTTTGGTTACAATATATGGCATTCCATTTACAGGTTTGTATGATTTGGATTTTCCAATTGCAAGAAAATTATTATCATCATTTATGTAATTTGGTGTTTATTTAATTCATAGGCTACTGAAATTGAAAAAGCCCGGGCTGTTGCTCAAAGAGCTATCAAGTCAATATCCTACAGAGAAGAACAGGAGAAATTAAATATTTGGTTGGGCTTACTTAACTTAGAAAATCTGTATGGGACAGCCGAAAGCCTTAAAACAGTCTTAGATGAAGCATTGCAACTGAATGATGCTTATAAGGTATCATTATGTCCATTCTATATATTTTGAGGTTGTTTTCTTTCTACTGATTTTTATGTTCCTGATTCTATTTATACTTTAGATACGTCTACACATGGTAAGATTGTATGCTGAAAGCTCCAAAAATAAAGAGCTAGACAGTGAAGTTCGTCTTGTAGTAAAAAAGTTCAAAGAAAATCGAGGCATGTGGCAAGATCTTGGAGGCATTCTCATGAGTCAGGGTTATCCTGAAAAAGCCAGGTCTATTCTGCAACAGGCTCTCCAGATTCTGAAGAATAAAAAAGGTTGGTTGTTTTACGTGTCTGAACTCAGCTTGTGTTCCTGATTGATGTTCTTTGGGTTGGTTGGTTGGTTGTCTCTGAACTCGGCTTTTTAATTCTAATTGATGTGTCTTGAAATATTTCAGACTCTGTTGATCTAATTGTGCATTTTGCACTGTTAGAAGCCCGCAATAACCATCTTGAACAAGCAAAGGCACTGATGGACCCAATTTTAGCTTCCTACCCAAAAAGGACCGATGTCTGGTGCACATATTGTGACATGCTTGTCAAAGCAAATCAAATTAATGAAGCTAGGTCTGCAACTCTTTTTCTTTCATGAGCTTATTTGGCACTCCTGTGATTTGTTTACATTTCCATTATAATTTACCCTTTTCTTTTTCAGAGAGCTGCTGGGAAGGTCAGTGAGTCAGAAGTTGCCAGCAAAGAAAATGAAAACATTATTCACTAAATTTCTGCAATTTGAAACTGCCCATGGCTCTAAGGAAGGTCAAGACAAGGTCCGGCTTATGGCTACAGAGTATGTTAAAAATGCAGCTGGAGATGACTGATAACATGTAGACTCATAGTTTTAGGTATCTTGACTTTAGCTCTTATAAATGAATTTCGTTCCCAACTCTTTGTTTTCTTGACCACCAATGTACCACCAATCAGACAACATCATTTTCACCTTGTTTTATTGTTAATCATTGTAACCAGCATATTTACAGTACTATAATAAATAGTAATACACTCACAAATGTAAGGCTTACACCAACAATTCAGTCTCATTAATTAAAACAACCTATTTTGGCATACAATGAAACCCACAACAGAACTAGATTTGTGACATGGACATTAACACCACGAGACTGGAGTCAGAAACTTGCTCAGGGACAACAGAATTAACAAACTTCTAAAAAATTGCAACCAATGTTAAAGTACACAGGTATAACAGGTTCTCATAATTAACATATAAACAAACTTTTGTACATGTTACTCTGTGGGCTAAAAATGCTTGTACAATAGACAGATTTACTATTTTTAAGAAGAATTTGGGAGAGGGTCATACAGAAGATGAGGACAAGAAACTACTTCAATTCTAGAAATGCAGAAGCCCCACTCCAGATGACGGCGGTCATAAGTACTGTAATAAACAGCATTTAGTAACATACGAGAATGTTTACGTTGGACATAGGTCATTACAAATGAAGATTTTTGAAAAATGCTTGCATATTTACATAAGAGGCACTAATTCATAAGCTTCTTAGCCTTTCACCGGTTCAAAAGCCAGGTTGAAAAGGAGAGCATTTAACAATTTTGTCTTCACATACAGATAGAAGCTATGAACACCCAACTTTATCTTGGGATCTAGGTACTTAGTTGTAGGTACATAGTCAGGTTTTCATCTCAGGTAATTTTTCATGAAGGAAGCAAACTTGTGATTTACATCTAAGTGCAACTATATATTCTTCAACAAAACACGTTTTAAAAATAGTCTCTCAAGTATATGCCTTACACAATGTCAAGACGCATGCACACATATATATTGATTACAATTAACAGTTGCTGGAGGCTTTATTTTGTGATGCAACAAGAACAGATGTGAAACGTGTAAAATGACAACGACTGATCTTTCTTATCAAGTTGGTAAAAGCTTCGAAGTGACTAAAATAATACAAAATTGCAAAGATCTTAATTTATTTTTCTTGAGGAAAATTCCTTAAAAGTCACAATCTTGTACTCTAAGCTAAGGGAAGTTATTGTCAAGTTGGGGAAAAAATGAAGTGAGACTGTCAGAAAACTACGAGAGCAGGCAAATTGGACAGAATGACTGAGTAGTCTCATGTATCCTTTTGTATTCAGGCAAACTTTCAAAGGAAGTTGATTTATTTGTGGATTCACAAAATATCTCTGGAAGCAGGCAGCCAAATTTTCAATGTCTAAATGAATGAAAAACTGAAGTTCAGAGGACCCATATGAATGAGCAAGCCCAGAGTTAAGTAATAACAAAAACCGTTCAGGATAAAGATACGAAAAATTTGCTACCGTTAGAAAGATTGTTTCCTCTGTAAGGTATTTATTATGCTGTATGTGGATGTTGCCCTCTGGAAAGGGTAACACCAATAACAATACAAATGTCAAAAATAAGCTCATTAAGAAAGTCAAGAATAAAAATGTTACACTGGTTCATCCAGAAAAAAAATTGTTAATTAATCAACAGCATCATGCAATATATGAAAACATCCTGCCAGACAAAACCCCAAATACACGGTCTTAGCAAAGCTTTCAAATGTTGTATAACAAATAATGTCAACAAAACATGTTGCGGCTAAGCATTGTACTTATTTAAGTTTGAAGTTCAGTCTTTTCATGTTTATCCATACAGGATAGATATTTATCATGAACATCTTATTCAACCTGAAGATGAAATGAAAAAGCATAAAATGCTATGAAATAAGAAAATTAACAGAATTAAAAACCAAATCACACAGACACACGCTCATACACACATACAAACAATACGGAATATGGGACACCGTTTTAGATAAGACTGATAAGCAAGACTTACAACCTTGAAATTTCCCGAACAGTCAATATGAAAGGGCAATTTTGTATAAAAGATATACATACATTTGAAGACACCACCATCAAATATAAGGAAGACAACAGTCCAGAATGTCTGGATAAGAAACAAGGTCAACTATTGGTAAACTAGGTTTGTACACATTTGACAAACCATGATCCAGGTCAAGAGCTTTAAAACTTTATGCCATTTGGATGGAGAGAAAAAGTTCCAATTTCTTCCAAACAATTCAGACAAGACAAATAACAATATTTAATGAAGTAAAAAACATTACACCTCATATGAAGTCCAACACCAATGGATTGGACCCTTACATATTTCATTGTCAGTGCAGCATATTTTAAGAAGATATTTGATCCACTTCTTGGATGGAAATGTAGAAACTATGCAATAAGATTCAGAAGCCAAGAGGGCATGAAGAAACGTGAAAACGCGAAATGTGAAAAAACGTTCAGTCAATCAGTATTTATTGTGCAGTGGAATGCACACCACTATTATAAACAGTTGCGGAAGGAAATAGGTGCTAACAAAGATTTGATCAGAACGAACAGTTCAGCAGAAGCGTATTTTCAGATCAAAGTATATTATTCACAGTACAAATGTGTCATTCCATACACCAGCAGTATACAAAGCCTCTACTCACAACACTTTAGATCGATCAGATAAACCCTCACTTCAAAATATAGAATGAAGGGAAAAGAAATGCTTGAGGTGTCATAAAAACTTTTTTAAAACAATTTAATATAACAGCTGGAGATTTTTGATGTTTTATCACTCTTTAGCTGTTGGAATTGATGGCAGTGAGTAAAGGCTATTGAGCAATCTATACAAGTCCTGTAAGAACTCACATATGAAGTAAAAAATATTCAGTTAAGATTTCCTTCACCTTTAAAATTAAGTCTCCAGTGCCAACAAAATTTTCATCTTTGAAAGATGTTTTCAGAACTTTGATAGTGGGGATTAAATTTAAAAAAAAAATTAAAATGGGAAAAAAAGGAAACAGGGGACACCCATTGAAACCTTGATCCCTAAGCAAATACAATATAAAGAGGAAGATGCAGTACTTTTGTGCATCAAAGGATAAATTCTAAGCAAGTCATTTGTATTTATACAAACCCTGCCAGGCACAGGTCCCTGATTGGAAATAGAGTGAAAAATGTGTATATCTTCATTAGGTAAAGCTTTACACTACAAGCGCTTTCACATGAACTTGTAGCAAGTCACTAATTGAAATGCATGAGCTCAAATATATATCACTTCACTAATAACTGTCCATAATGATTTTTGTCTGATCAAAAAATCATGACAATTTTCACTGAAAATTTTGGTTAACAATTGGGTAAGCTCAACAATCAATACAAAATCTTGAGTTTTATATCACGACCACTCAGTCCAAATGGACAAAAATGCTGATTTATATTATTCCTTGGTAACTATCCTAAACCTTCATATACACGGAGTAACAGCTACCGCTGCACTGTCTTTGACTTGTAGGATCAGAAAAGTTACCAACGCCTCCTTCAAAGAAAGATATAATGCGTGGTCACACCGTTCTACACAGAGATCAAATAATGTAGTCCAACACATTCTTCAAGAAATGCTATTTACAAGGGCAACACACGAGGGTCAAGAGTCACTTTTCAGATCTACATCTCTATTGAAACGCACTAAAGTGCTGCAGGCTCTAATGGCCAGCAGGCCCCATCTGGAGATTAACAAAATCCCAGAAGGGACCCAAGCTTGCTCTAGAAATCCCAGGGAATGTTCCAGCGAACATTTGTAACGAACCAGGTCACGGCCATAGAGAACAAGATGCCACTGAAAATGCCAGTCACCAGGAAAGCACCACCCAGCATGCCTGCAATGGATTGGTTCTGAGGCTCAACATTCCTGAAAGACAAAATAACAATGTTGTAATACAAACAACAAGAAATGAGTAAAAAAAATTAAAACAATCAAAGTTTATTTTGAAACTTACTTAGGGCAATACATCATAGCTAGAGAGCTGAAGTGGCCTGATGAAAGGCCCATCAAAATCCCCAGAGCCCAATAGGCCCAATCATTTGTAATTATAACAGGGAACACCCTTTCTTGGCCTTGAGGCAAATAGTTGCAAATTACAAACAGAGGGATGAACAGAACACGTAGCCATACTGCAACTGTGAGAAGTCTTGGGCCAGGCTGTTAAGTATACAGGGTAAGATGTCAGTAAGTCAGAGCGCTCAATATCCAAGTTGAAAACTACAGTGGAATTAGTGCTTACCCAACGAGCCCAAGTTGACATGCAGCTGCCAATCATTGCACAAATATTGAAAGTTAGGTAGCAGAGAATAGAATCGTAGAAACGGTCCTCAACAAAGAAGTTAGGGTCAGAACGTTTTATGTCTGAAAATATAAACATCCAAAATTAAGGAGTTCAATGAATACTGAATAAGTTTTTATTGAAGGACAGTAAGGAAATCAAATGTGCCTACCAGACTGGACTGTGGGGAACAATGCCAATGTCACAAAGAAAACCATAAATACATTGATGCACTGAGGCCAACACTTTTTAAATACTGCAAAGAACGGAGTTCTAGGCGTGGCCCCTGTGTTTTCCCTCTTTTTCTGTTGGAGCTCCTTTTGGCTCATCAACTCATGATAGCGATAGAAGCGCTGAAAATAAGAGTACATAGTGAAATAAAGCTCAGGGATAGGGCGCTGCATTTTCCATGGGACTAGAAAAATCAAACTTACATTCAGTGGAAGAGCAAAGTAGGTATCAAAACAGGCCAAGAGAACTAATAGTGCTGTGATGAAATAGTAGATGGCAGCTGTTCGTATATTAGGAGCCATGAGCAGGGAAATAAAACTGATAATAGCTGTGAATGTTCCACTAATATTCTGAAAGTCACACAAAATCATACTGTTAGTAATTAAAAAAAAAAAAAAAAAAAAGACAATGTTAAGAATTTCATTTAATTAACTGTAATTTACTAACCGAGCCCAAAACGATTGCACCAGTATATTTTGCTGGCAGTTTGGCTCCCATTCCAAACACAGTATTTTGATAAATGCCACTGCCCACTAAAATAAAAGATGTGTAATCAGATTAAACCACTATACTTAAATGTGAATTCCATGAAGTTATGAAGAAGAACTTACTATTAAGAACCACTACAGAGCACATTGTGACCCAGAAAAAGGTACCTGGCCACTCAGAGGAATCTAGCATAGCCAGGACAACAGTCATAACAAATATGAAAACCATGACAAGAATACTGAAAACAACTCGAGTTGTAACACTACCTCTGCAAAAGAAATAGGATAAACATTTATAGCAAAGAAAAGAGAAATAACAATAGAAAACAAAAAAAAGAACAAGTAAATCTTACCCAACTTGGACAAAAACATTTAGCCAGTTGAAAAGAAGATTGGGAACCTGAGCAGCAAAGCTGATATAGGCTAAAAATTCACCACCATAGTTGAAATCTCCTTCTGGGGAAGTTGCATTTCCCAGCTTGTACTCACTGAAGTACTGAAATTTAAAAAAAAAGAGTTAATTTTTTTTTATACAAACAATATAAGCATGCTTTGTAAAATTTTTATTCTCATACTATGAAAACATCCATAACATCTTCCTCTTTGATTTGATTCTCAGAACTAATAATGATTGATAGGTTCAATTGAACAACTGATAAGGAAGATAGATAACATTAAGCTCACAAGGCACAGCACATACCGACTTTGGAGTAATAAACATGTTCCATGGCATGAGAGTGCCAATCCCGTGAAGCAGCAGGGTCAGGTACACTAAATTCCACCTGAAACCAAAACAAATAGGGAGGCGTTTATAGAGAGCGTCCACACATTCAAGCAAAATCCTTTGGTATTTGTTTTTCTGTCGTCATTAGTACTTTTACCGACCTGTCTTTCGGCGGGTTCATCTCCAGGTCGGCCTGCTCCATGGTGACGCCCTTGAAGTTGAGCTCGTCGTTGGGGAGGTTCGTGTCCTCCCAGGCCGGCGTCAGGCGCACGGGCTCGGTGGCGGGCAGGAACGGCTGCTTCTCGTGGACGTCCCCGGCCGCGGCTGCAACCAACCAAGACACTCGCGTTACTGACCAGTGGCCGAAAAGAAACACCAAAACCGACGCTCGTTCATTCACTTGGAGCCAGCTCACGAGCAAAGGGCGGAGTGGGGCGGAAGGGTCAACCGGTATGGAACGCAGCGATCTCGGTGTCCAGGCCGTCCAGGCCGTCCAGACGTTCCAGACGCGGGACTGGGACGCACAGCACAGCGCGCACGGCTAGGACTGCGAGCAGTGCATCGGCCGCGGCGGAATCCGCATCAGCACGGCTTGGCGATGGCGAGGGCGAGGGCAAGGGTGAGGGCGCGGCGGCGAGGCAGACTACACGCGACACCACGGCGCGCTGCAGGCCGCAGGGAACCGCAGGGCTCTAGCCGCTCTGCCCGGTGCGTCTTCGCCTTGGTCGAAACTGATCGCCACTCCGTGTCCCGCTCGCGTCCCACCCCACCACGACCGTCCCGGCCGGCCCAAGCTGATAGCGGCTGGACTGCTGACCAGCAGATGAGACACGAGACACGATCCCGGCCGCCCGGTCGAACGCTGACGCCGGTGCCGGTCCGGGCGCAAGCGGCAAGCATCCTCGACGGCGACCTGGATTAGCGCCAGTGCCCCACCGCGCGACCCCCGTCCGCGCGCCTGCAGCCGCCGGCCCGGCTGATTCCAAACACCGTCGCCCGTCTCTGTCGCACCCCTACGGCGCGCCCCGTGAGCGCGAGGGAGACAGCGCTGGTCGCCATCAGCCAGCAGCACGGCCGCTCTAATCGGCGGCATTGCCGGCGTTGCGTGCGGCGTGCCTAGAGGGCCGCGCCGGGCGCCTCCAATTAGACCGTCTCCGCGGAGCAAGGCGCGGAGCGGAGGGAGCCGCACGGCCTTTGGAGGACGCCGTCGAGCTCCGCGCCGCGCCGGCCGGGAGCTGCGGGGTCATTGGAACCGGCCAGCAGACTGATTCCGAGAGTCGTCGTCGCTCTGCCTCTCTCGCACCCATGGGGCGTCCTGTACGTGCGAGAGAGACAGAGCGACGACAACGGCTCTCGGAATCAGTCTGCAGGCCGCCGGCACTCCGCCGTCCACGCGGCGCCGCTTATCGGCGTGCACGCGCGTGCGCCTCGAGAGGCACGGCGTGGAGAGGCTTGGCTTGGAGAGGTCCGCCGTAGAGAGGCACGGCGTGGAGAGGCGTGGCGGCGACAGTGTAGCGAGACACTTACTTTACTTAATCAACCCGACGAGGTCCGGCAAGAGGCGCCGCACCTTCTGCGGGTACAGTCTAATCCCCGGGGCCCTCGCGGGGCTTTGCCTCTGGCTTTGCCTCTGGCTTTGCCGCCGGCTTTGCCCCTCGTCGATAAGCGAGGCGGGAGGCAGGCAAGAGGCGTCCCGGGGGCGACGGGCCGCGGCGGCGCGTGCCGCCGCAAAAAAAAAAAATCGATTACGCTGATGCGCTCCGCGATGATAAAGCACAGCGCCGTCGCGAGAAAAATATGTTGTCAAAGAGCGGCGCCGCAACACACGGCGCTCCTGGCAGTGCACCCAATCCCATGCCAGTGCAAGCCGCAGGCCGCAGGCCGCAGGCAGTACGTCGCGTGCTAGAACGACCCAAGCACGTGTCGCCACACTCGTCGCCCAAGTGAACGCTCGTGCCCTTCTTTTGGGCGAAAAACTGTCTTTACAGACGGTTTCTATAAGGGCGGGCTTTCCAGTGTGCCCCGGAGGTAATTCACTCTCGCTCTACCCGGCCCCGGCCCCGGCCCCAGCCATGCCCCGGCACTCGGCTGCAGAGGTTTACCCTGTCACGCGAAGGGCGGGCGGGGCGGGTGGCGCGAGGTGCCGTGACCCAAGTCGCGTCCTCCCTGACGTAGAAGGGGGCTTCGAGGGGAGGCTGCGGCTGTGGAGGAGAGCACCGGGCCGGGCAGGGAGGCGGCGAGGGAGGCGGCGGCGCGGCGAGGCGCCTGACAGGTAGGCCGTGCCGCCGGGCGTCCGCGCGCGACGGGCCTGCCTGCCGCCATCCTGGCAGGCGCTCGGCCTCGCTGCCTCGCTCTCGCAACAGACTTTGCAGACTCGATTTACTGCCGGGGACTTGAGCTATATCTCCGGCGGGCCGCCGGGGGAGGAGAGCCGTAGGCAGCAGGTGCACGCGGCCCGCCGGCTAGCAGTGTGCTCGCAGCCCAGGCCCAGCCGGCCCAGCCCGACTCGTGGCGGCTTCAGGCGGCAGCTGGCCGCTACACCGGAAGCCTGCTTTTTCAGGAGGGGGGCATGTGGCAGACGGACCGCAGCGAGTCGCGTTTAGTAAGTAAATTCGAGGAGCAAGTGTTTGTTCGACGGCGATGGTCTGGTTCCTGGGCGTTCCTGGGCCCCGCAGCACACCACACAGTGCAGTGCTCCCGGCCCGGCCGCCAGGCCCCTGCCTACAGGCCCCAGCCCAGGCCTCCGGCGGCGTGCGACCGGGCACATGTGCGCCGCGCTCCGCTCAGCTCCGCTCAGCTCCGCTCAGCTCCGCCCCGCGCAGCCCCGCCAGTGAATCCAAGCGAGGCGAGCGGCAACGCTATCCGCATGCAAGTCTCACATTGCAGTCGCGACGCGACGCGGCGTGGCTTAGCGTGGCGTGGCGCGGCGGACGCACGTGACACGCTGGCGAGCGCGCCGCGAGGTGTCTAGGATCCCAAATGCCAAATGGTGCGTGTCCCTCTTTCAACAGGGGGAGGGGGAGGGGTACAAAAAGAACTGCCCCCTCCCTTTCCTTCCCCTTTTCTTACTTCCTTCCTGCGAGCGGTCCTCTATTCGCTCCGAGCCAATGACGTCTCAGCGCAAAAAGGCATAAGCACCAGCTTAGCCCCCCTCCCCCCCCCCCGCCCCCTTTCGCTAGGCAATCAGCGACGCATCCGCCACCGCCTCCTCGGAGATGGGCGAGGACGCGCGCCGCGCCGCGGAACTCTCAAATCCGCGGAAATGAAAAACAAAACCCAGGCGGCTGCGAGCGTGAAGCGTGAGCGTGAGCCGGGGCAGCCAGCAGACTGACTCCGAGAGTCGCTTTCGTCGCTCTGCCTCTCTCGCACCTACAAGGGGCGCCCCGTGAGTGCGAGAGAGGCAGAGCGACGAAAACGACTCTCGGAATCAGTCCGCTGCACAGCCAGCCCAAAGCCAACCCGACCACCCGGGCCGGCAAAAGGCAAAGGCGCCACATCAAAGTGGGGAACGAAACAAACGCGGTGAAAGTAAATAATTCGCTGCCTCAAAATGTCGCAGATATAAAGGGTTGACAGCCAGCAGCCAGCGGCGGCGACTGACCTCAAACCACACGGCGCGGCGCGGCGTGGCGCACCGACATGGATTATGCAGCAGAGCGCCCCGCCCCGCTTTCCCACTTCGCCCGCCGCACTGCTGCTGCCACTGCTGGCGTTTCAGCCGCAGGAAAATTCGGCAAAGTACAGGGGAAGAAAACGAGAAGGCCCCCAGCGGTGATATACAGATTCTGCGCCAGTCGCGAGCCGCGTCGCACGCGACCACGTTCGCCGAAAAAATAAAAATAAAAATGAAACTCTCCGGCTGGCGTCTGCAACAAACGTCTCCAAATAAACTCGCACGCTGCATTTTGATAAACATAACGCGTGAGAGAGGCGTGGGGGCGGCCCTCCTAGGCAGCCGCGCTCTGCGGCAGCCCAGGCCTGACTTCACCCTCTGCAGCCCCCCACCCCTCCCCCTTCCACGACAGTCCACTTGGCCCACAGGTTCACCTGGGAGCGTTGACACGACACCAGAAAGGGTCAAGGGAAGTGGAGAGGACTTCTCGACTAGAGAGGGGCAGCACAAAAGGGGGGGGGGGGCTGCATGCCTTGGGGTGAGCGAGGGAGGGGGGAAAGGGAGCCTCATCCCATCCGGCCCGACTGTTCCTCCAAGTATCACTTCTCTTCATTGCTGCCCGCAGCTAGCGCGGCTCCCCCGCGGCACGGCCCGGCACGGCGCACGTGCCGCGGGAAAAGAATGAGGAACACACACACTCTCAGCTCACTCACACACACGCGGCGCTTCCTGGGAGGAAGGATGGGACCCAACCCCCGCTAGGCCAGGCTACGTCGAGGCGCTGCTGCTTGCCGCCGAAAACCCCCATTCTATTCATTTTGACGCGGGAAACAAAAATGTGAGGCAGATTGCTTTGTCTACAGAACATGTCGCGCGGTGGCGTCGAGCAGGGGTTGGGGTTGGGGTTGGGGCGGGGGCAGCGCCACCGGGCCGGGCCGGGCTGGGCTGGGCTGGGTTCGCCGAAGGGGCGCCCAAGCGTGTGACGCACGGCCACGGCCTGAAGGCTGATTCCGAACAGGGCTTTCATCGCTGTCTCTCTCGCACTCATGGGGCGTCCCGTAGGGGTGCGAGGGAGACAGCGACAAAAGCACCGTGCGGAACGAGCCCGCTGGACGGCACGGCACGGCGCGCCCCGCGCGCCTTCAGCGACAGGGTGACGGCGGGGCGTGGAGGGCGGGCAGGGCGGCGGTGACGTGGACGGTGATGAGGACCCCGGCGAGGGGACGCGACCCCCCTCCCCCTCCCTCTCCCCCCGTCACCCCCTCTCCGCGCCTCTCTCCATTCTCTCTCCGGCGCCGTGGGCCATGAGGACGCCGTGCCATGGGACGCCGTGGTCAGCCGAACGGTTCCGAGGGGTCGTTTTGTCGGTCCGCTTCCTCTCTCTCGCACCCACGCAGGACGGCCCGCGAGTAGAGCCCCACCCGACGAGGACAGGGTTCACGCTTCTCTCCCACTGTAGGACTCTACCCGCGAGTTGGACGGAGACAGTGCGACGCACGGACTCTTCGGAGCCACTCTGCCGTGCCGGTCGGGCGACAAAGACGCCCCGCGACTCTACGGCCCTTGGCGGGCACGCGTTTGTAGTTCGGGCCCGGGGCGCTAGGAGGCGCTGCCGGGCGCTGGCGCGCTGCCCGCGGCTTGTTGCATCGGGAACCACGCCGCGGCCGCGCCGGCCCAGAGGGCCACGCCGCCACGCCGGCCGGCGAACGGCGGCGGCGCATCACCTGGCCGCCGAGCGAGGGCGACGAGCGAGCCCCCCAAGGGACTCGGCGCGGTGACGTGGCGGCCCCAAAGGGACGGGGAAAATCGCGGGGAAAATTAATTTGGCGTCGTCGGCGTCATCCCGGCCGCGGCACGCGACGCGTATCGATCGGGTCGTCCCGATGACGAGGACGGGCTGCGACGGGCCGGGTCGGGACGGGGCGCCCCCCGCCGCCTCGCCGCGCCCCAAATACACGTAACGGGCGCGTAAAGCACCAAAGCACGCCGGCAACGGCCCGAGCCTCGGCCTGAGCCCGCCGCCGTCGAGAAGGTCGCGGTGCCCGCGTGGCGGCACGACGCGGCGTGGCCCGCCGGCGAGGCGAGGCGCCCTGCGTCGCCACGTGGGGGCTAAATTTAAGGGACGCCGTTGTGGTCGTTGCGAAACGCACGACGCAGTGCGACGCAGTGCGTGCGGCGGTGGCGGCGGTCCGGATGGCGCCTCGTCCGGACACGACAGGCGTAAAGCGTCGCCCGGACGGGACGGGACGGGACGCGCGAGAGGCGCTTTGCTGGGCTTGGCGCTTCGCCGCTTCGCGCTGCGCGTCGCGGAGCAAACGCCACACCGCTAGTCCAAACTTCCGCGTGCGCGGCCGGCAAGGCCGGCACGGCAAACAGCAGCGAGTGTATACACAACCATGACTCAGGCCGCCACCGCGTTTTGCGCACAAAACCAGCCCCCTCCGCTTTTCCTTAAGGAAACCGCCGCAAACCCGTCCACCAAGCACCACGTTCAAGGCACCGTCCTGGAATCATGGGAACCACCTCCAAACCCCCGACCAATACCGACACAAGTAGGCTGATTCAGGGAGTCGTTTTCGTCGCTCTGTGTCCCTCGCACCCTTAGGGAGCGCCCCCTGGGTGCGAAAGAGACAGAGCGACGAAAACGACTCTCGGAATCAGTCTGCAGAAAGCAGCACAAGGCCCCCAGCACGCAGCCCCAACCCGCCATGCACAGTCGGCTTACGGTAAGCGGGGATCGGCACAACGCGACACCGCCGACCAAACAGAACGCCCCAGTAATGCGACACTGCCAAAAAGAAACTGAAGCACAAAAAGAGATTGATGAAAGCACCGCGCTTGTTTGGTCGACGGCGGCGCCGCGGTCGCGACACCCGCAGCGGAAGCCACCCCCTCTGCAGACTGATTCCGAGCACTGCTCTCGCTCTGTCTCTCTCGCGCTCCCGGAGCGCCCCGTAAAGGGTGCGAGAGAGACAGCGGCGGAATGAGTGGTCGGCATCGAGCCACCGGCGAAGCGAGCCCAAAGCATCAAGCACGGCGAGGGACGGCAAGCAAGGCGGACTTACTCTTGCGAGGCGTGATCTGCACCACGTTGCCGTTGCGGGGCTGCAGCTCCGTCAGAAGGTACTGGTCCTCCCCGGCCACGGCCACCTTGATCCTGGGCGTGCTCATGGTGCGGCCGCGGTCTGAAAGCCGAGGACAGCCATCGTCAGCCAGAGCGTCGTCGACGTCGTCGTCACTGCGTCAGTCATGCGGGTCCGGCGGGCCACGGTCAAGTCGCCCTCGGGGTGTACATGGCCCCCAGTCCCAGTCCCACGCCACTCAAGCCCTGGAGGGCAAGGCGGACAAGGCGCCCTCGGCCCGCGGCCGTGGCGGGGGTCGCCGGCAATGAGGAAGGCGACACGGCAAGCTCATGGTAGAGGGCAGCACCGGGATACGCGCCACGATTTAGCCAGGGGAGCCCCTAGGAGTCTGCCAATTTCGCCCATAACTTCTTTGTCATGCAAGATAGACCCGTAGTGTAAGCGAGCCGATTGTAGGCAACGCTGCTAGCTTCCCAATAAGCTAGTTTTCATACATGTGCGATAATTGCAGTGAGAGCTATAAGTCAAAAACAGCATCCGTGCCGGCTGCCGCCTGGCTGCTAGTGGCGTATATCCCAGTGGCGCCCCTAGCGGCGAACGTCTGCAGTCGCCTTCCCTATGGGCGCGGGGCCGCGGGGACGCCGTGGAGGCAGCGGCCCTGCAGACTGATTCCGAGAGTCGTTTTCGTCGCTGTCTCTCTCGCACTCATGACGCGTCCCGTGTAGGCGCGAGAGAGACAGAGAGACGAAAACGACTCTCGGAATCAGTCTACTGGAGGCACACCGGCCCGGCTGTCAACCCCGCCGCGCCCAGCGGAGACGTCGTGGAAGCTGGGCCCCGCCCAGCCGGCCAGCAGCCTGATTCCGAGAGTCGTTTTCGTCACCCTGTCTCTCTCGCGCTCAAGCGGCGTCACGTAAAGGCGCGAGAGAGACAGAGCGACAAAAATGGCTCTCGGAATGAGTCCGCAGAGGTCAAAGGTCGACCCTTGACGCGACTTTGGCCGCGACATTAGCGGCCAGTTAAGATCCCGGGAGCCGCGGAGAAAAACACAATGAGTAGGAGGCAAGAGGCCTAGCCAGGCCCGTCGCGAGGTCGCCGTGTCCCCAGAGGACCCAGAGGACCAGGGCCAGGGGGAATTCCAGGCGCGGTAGGACGAGCAACCAAGAGCAACCCAGCGGCAGGACGACGAGCCGATCCTGATGAATGGGGTCCTCACCGATGTATCACAACTTATGATTCACAACCCCCTCCCCCTTTCTTTCGCGTACATGAGAAAGGAGGGCGACCGGGGAGACTGCGAGGACGGGGCGACATCGGAGGGGGAGAGAAGAAAGGGGGAGGGGGGAGGGGGGAGGGGGGAAGCTGATAAGGCGTTCCCAAACCGCCGCACTTCAAAGTTGGTCGGCATAAGCCATCGCAGATAACCCCGATAATTCTTGTTGCAGAGATCCTTACTCACATAATAACATGGAGACACATTTATAAAGAGAGGGACGACCCGACACACGGGACTGTCGCCCCTTTAACGACGCTACATTTCTGACATTTCTGAAATTTAAGTATATTAAGACCAAGTATGGTTTCAGTGCCATCGTTTTGAACAAATCATGTCAAATACGAGATCCATAAGAGGCCCAATTTAAATTGACGGCGGAAAAACAGACTCAAGCAGAGGCATTTTAAGTACTAACTGAAAATCTTAAGACGTACTTTCTTAAGACACGCTTAAGCATGAATTAAAGTCTTGCCGTTTCACCTGCCGGAGAGTGCGAGGGTCCCTCAACTGTCACAACTCGAAGCTGCGGCCAGGATTACGCTCCTCCCATTCCTGGGCGTGTAGGCCGACATCGGTTACACCGCCAAAAATGGAAGCAAGAAACGTGCGCTGCGGCAAACGCGACCTGGAGTGGAGTAGGCGTTAGTCCGGCGCGCACGTTGGCACTGTGCCTGGAGCCTGGACCTGACTGGATGGCGTCCTCAAGGATCTTGGACGAGTTGCACGTAACAGGGACGAGCCGCGAGGACGAGACAGCGCGACTGCAGTCCGCGGCAGCTGCAGCGCCCAAGTCCAAGTCGAGGAGGTGTGCCACAGTGTGCCACAGGCAGGCGCCCTAACCTTTCTGCTCCGCCGCCTCTATTTACTTCTGCTCCGACTCACCTTCTCAGCGGTCATGCGGTCGGGCCCACGCGACGGGTCGAGCTGCGGCAGACGGACTCGCGCCCCCGCACGTTGCTTGCGCCGTTTTTCCGGGAAAACCCGCTTAAAAACCGCCCCGGGAAAGCAGCAGAACGAACCCTACCCTCTCATGAACCCTCGGCCATGCCTCGACTACTAGCGCGACACGCCGCCTCAGCGGTACCGCGAGGAACTACATCGCGGCGGCCGAACGGTCGCGGGGGAGGGGGAGGGGGAGGGGAGGGGCGCCTCGGCGTGGAAAGGGGCGGGGCGGGGGACGTCGCGACGCCGCCGTGCCGCGTCGCCGCCTCTCGCCGCCACAACCCCGCGCCCCGCGCCTGTTGCAACAACTGCCACTCTGCTGCTGCCACACCTAGACCTAGTCCTCGTCCCCTCTCCCGAAAGAATGAATGGCTCATGGCCATAATTCATTCAGTCATTGGGCCTTCCCTGCCCCTCATCATTTGGGAACATGAATTACTTGGATACATGAGATTAAGCGGGTGGTTTGACCATCCATGGGCACTGGATCAGATGTGGCGTAAAAATGAGATGATACGATTGGAATGTTTCCTCATTTATTTCACAACAAATAAATAAAAGTGGTAGAAATTTGAATGGAAAATAATCACAACTTGTGCCTGTGTATCCAAAACAATGCAAGACACAATCTCTCCAAGCTGCTTTTATTAATGTACTACCTAGCTACTAACATATTCATCATAACGGCAGAAAAGGCAGAAAAAAAAATGTGAACACCACCGCTTCACACTTCCACACACAGACCAAAAACAAAACCAGAAAAAAAGAAATCAGGTGCTGAACCAGACATAAACATATATTCATGACCACATGGGTATCATCTCATGAGCTGAGCACATTTTGGCACAGTTTGCCTCCCTTACAAAGAATGAATAGAATATTATCACAACTCAAAAGGAGGGATGATAGACAGGAAATCAGTCATTCAACTATTCGTCTAAGAATAACTGATAAGGGGAAGAATGGGATTAATTTCACATTTCACACCATATAAATAGGTCAATAAAACATACAGTCATTTACACACACACACGTACTCACACTAAAATACATATTTTAAAGATGGAGAGGTCTTCTCAACCGGAGTATTTCTCTTTAATTAAAATAATAAAAGACTCTTAAGCTCTTATATTTTCACACAATACCGATATGCCAAATATTTGAAGGCTGCCTCTACCCCAAAAGGAAAACGAAATGTAATGATTTATCACTTTGACACAACCTTGCAAGCAAATAAAAATTATGAAGCATAACTTGGAAGCAGTAGAGTATTCGTACACAACATTCAAAACAATGCGCCTTAATTTATTTCCAGTGTTCCCTGGTGGAAAACCTTGAGATTTACACAGATGTTTCTTTGTCATGATCAAATAATGGTAAAATAGAAGAGAGAACAATGCACAAAATGAGCCCCACCATTTACAACTGCAAAAGGACGTGATTAGAAGTAAAGAACTGCCTTTACTGACAAACATGACAATATGCTCCCAAAACTGTGATATTTCAAAAACCATTTTCCAAGAAATCACAAATTGAAGAAACCTTTCATCAAGAGAAAACAAAAGCCCTCCACAATTGTGAGAAATGCATAAAATAAAGCAGCAGTGATAACAACAGATGAACATACTAGCAATAAAATGGCACATTGCCATTCTACCCGTTTTTACCACCTATTCAATAAAATGAAATACTGGCGCACATTTTAGATTGTCTTAATAAATGAGAAAAACTAAAACATAGAAATCACTTTAAAAGAGGGTCAAAAACAAGTGACCAGCACTTAAATTTTAGTTCATTTTAGAAACAGGAAGACTAACATCTTATCGGTCATTACTGTGATATTTCTGTGGATAGGTAAGCCACAAAAGAAACCTTTGTTCTCTATGCCCTTCAGATGATTTACTCACCTCTCCTAAAAGCCAAATTGAAAGATAAAAGCATAAGGAAAGATGAGAAAATTTTCATTGGACAGTCTAGAAATACATTATTTGCATCAACAAGTACAATTAACACCCCAAGACATACCTCAATTTCATACAACAATAAGAAACGCCATAAGTAAAAAAATACAACACATTAAATTTTTTATGTCCAGATATTGTACATGGCAAGATGACATTGTACACATCATGATTTTGAGTATTGGGTAAAGTCAGTGGACTGTAAGAACTGTCTAAAATGAATGAGAAATGAAAGTCCAGATTTTCTATTATAATATTTTTCATCCTTGAGCCAGTTTCCATTTTCATCAGAAGTCAGTTAATTTGGTCCAAGATAAATAGGTTGTCAATTACTTTGTACTTGTCATTTTTACACTCCCTCCCCTCCCCTCCCCATCCCATACTTCAGCCATATCTACTTCTCCCACTGAGAACCCCACTTAACTTCCAATCAGAAATGTTACTATTTTTTAAACATACCTTAAGGATCACAAACACTCAATGGGACTAGCTGACTAGCCCTTCTCAGTCTTGAGGAAATTTTGATGCAGTTTTTTTGACTAACACACTTTCCTCAGAGATATTTGTAAATGAGAATAAGGCAATAGCATCAGAATAAAACTTAAGAAAGAAACAAATTAATAAAATCTTTTCCTATTGTTTTCTTGATGCTTTTGATAAAACATAATGCTGAAAACAACACAGGCAATGATTGCTATCGCGCCAACCATCATCAGAAGGAACATCTTCACTCCTCCCAGAGATGATGGTTTCGGGTCATCTACATGATCTGTAAGAACAAAATTAGAAAACACAAGTTCGAAAATAAAAAATAGGGAAACTAATGGGTATAAACCCAAATGGAACATACCTCTCGGAGGTTCAAAGAATGATGCCTGGGGAATGATGTGAGACCGGTCTTCATCCTTTACCTAATGAACAAGAATTATCAGAATTTTCAAACATTTTTGTCTGAGTATGTTGAATGGTTGTTTACTCATGCAAATACTTCTCTTTACTCACATCATTTGGGGTATCAAGCTCAAACAGACGAACTGAAAGAACATCATGAGTGTCTGTTAAGTCTCCCGTGGCAGCAGTGATACCAAAATAATACCCAGTGGGAAGACGAATGCCTCTGACAGAGAAACATTCTTTCCAGGCAGCTTTGTTTTCCATATCAGTAGAAACTGCAACCAAATCAACATGCATGATATACATTAAAAACCAGGCAAAAAATGACATTTCTGACAGCCTAATAGTGGTAAGTTGTCAACAGTAGAACACAAAAGCGTACCTGATAGAATATCATTCTCATAACGGATGGCTATGTAAGTGTCATGGTCTACATTACGCATTTTGGCCTCACAGCCTGCAAGCTGGGTGTGAGTTCCGTCTCGATCATGGTCATAATGTAATGTACCATTATTAATCATTGCTGATATGTATGGATGTTGGTGCTGAGAGAAAAATGTAAAAAGGTAAGAAGAAATTACGAATGAAACAAATCCAACATGCTGGAAATTTAATATTTAGGACTTACATTGTGAGGTCCGTTATGATTGCTGTAGGTGTCAATAATAACAGCTAAACCATGATGGTAATCCATGTTTCCAAACACAGGCCCAGGAACCATACGGTCTTTTGCATACCAAATAGCCATACCGTCACCAAATAAATCTTTACCTTTTCCGTGGATTTTTAAATGCACTTGCAACTCCCAGTTCCGTACGTTACATGGCTGTAACATACGTAGATATTTAGGGTGTTGAAAACGAAGAAAACGAGTAGGATTAGAGACGCTTGACAGCAAGGAGAAGGCAACAAAAATAGCATGAATGATTTTAACACTGAGGACTTAGAGACTTAACCTCGTCGATGTACCGGTACTCACCACAGTGTTCCAGAGAGATCCTTGAGCACTCTGAAGATCGGGAGTGATTCGTACGTAGTTACTCGTGACCATCGTGCTCCCCATGAAGTCCCAGAACGGAACGGTCATTCCGGACCCTGAATTTCACAATGAATGTGTATTAAAGGACATGCAAAATCATTTCAGACCTACGAAGGCCTTGACGACGATGACACTCACCTTGGTAAGGCTTCATCAACGAATGTTCTCGCTTCATATAATCTTTGGTGTTCCATTCTCCATTAACAGCCACTAGAAGCAAAGCTATGGCGTGCAATGCGATCGCACGGAGAAACATTTCGAACAACTAATGTGGTATTTCCACTTTCCGAGCTAAGACAAACAACACGAAACGTCAACTTTGCCCTCCCTACTGCTAGCGTCACGGAGTTTGAATAAAAATGGACGACGACGACGACGGATATACCCCGCACAGGATGTGGACGGGTATAGCCTCCGTGCTGGCGCGAAATATGAAAAATACCGTCACGGACGCTGGACTCGTGGGGGTGAAAAGGATTCCTCTATTGAAGACGGAAAAAAGTATCTGGTTTTGAATCAAACACCAAAATACATCACTTGAAATTTATTAGTAGACACCCGGTCGCATAAAGATGAGGGTCAAGTAATAACAAAAATAATGGGGATGTGTTTGTCTGCAGTGACGGAACCAGGAGAGCCGTCAGCGCGGTCTTGGGATGTTGTTCCTTTCTTCTTCGCGTCCTGAAGAGTGATTCCGAGAGCCGCTGTCATCGCTCCGTCTCTCTCGCACTCATGAGGCGTTCGACGTGGGTGCGAGAGAGACAGAGCGACGAAACGAGTCTCGGAACCTGTCTGCAGGCAGCTCAGCTACTCAGAGTCGTCCGAGTAGTACGCGCCGTGCACGCGCGTGAACCGGACCACGTGGGTCGGCAAGAACGTGTCATTGTCAAACTTGACGATCACGTCCATGCGCTGAGCGTTCTTGGCCGTGGTGTCGTATCGAATCGGTGGCGAACTCCCAGGGATGATCGGCGGCTCCAGAAGCACGGGGCTGCCGCCGAAATTCTCCTGCACCTCCACGATGTTGGATATGAGTACTTTATTCAGGAGCATGTAATCGATGGGGTGGTCGTCGCAGTAGTGCGACGCGTAGCCCGACAGGGCCGAGAATGACACCCCCGCACCGAAGCGGTGGCCTGCACGGGGTGAAGCAGGAGCAGGGCGTCAGGCACGGCACGGAGAGCATCGACAAGTCTCGGGTCGGGAAGCAACAGACACTCTTCTCCAACCTGAGTCCGAGAATCGTCTCCGTCGCTCTGTCTCTCTAGCACATATAGGGAACGCCCCATGTGCGCGAGGGAGACAGAGCGACGAAAACGACTCTCGGAATCAGTCCGCTGGACTCACCCACGCCCTGTCCATGCCGGGCCACGTCGTAGTTGTTCTCTAGTATGCTCTCCACGTGCTCCTGCCGGGTGCCGTGCCACAGGTCCACGATCCTCACGTGGCCGTACCCAGTGCGGGCGGACTGCTCCCGGTATTCGCGCTCCTTGGCGCGGAACCGCTGCTCCAGGGCGTCGTTCCGCACCTTCTCCACCGAAACCAAGTTCAGCGATACACCGCGTGACCGGTTCCTCGCGTTGAACACTGGAGGGGAGCAGGAAACGACGCTGCAGCACGCGGTCCATCGCCAGCACCGGACGGACAGGGAATGCCCTGGATCAGTTGTACTTACGGCGTGAAACCTCCTGGTGTTCGTCTGTCCCCGGCTCCAGGGGCGTTCTTCTAGCCATGCCTGGATTCGGATTCGAGTCCTTGGTCTCGGTCTCTTAGCCAAAATAGGTTGTACAAACAAAACCAAACTGCCACTCGATTTGAAGAAATAAATAGAGAAACTCAGAAAGGAATGTGACACTAAGAATTTGCTTAGAGTTGCCGAAAACTGCTGTCACCGGGCGTCGCGTCGAGGGGGTTACCCTAACAATAAAGCAACCACGGCGATAGAGAGGGATGGCGGGAGTGGGCGGGAGAGGGGAGGGGGCAGGGGAGGCCTTAGGTCCGACAGTTTCGTGTTCTTACATAGCAAGTGCCTTTCCAATTTTAATTTCTCCGGTACCAGTTTTGATTTTTGAGTTACTGTGGGTTTTGGAAGAGTGCAGTGACCTCCACGGACCTCACGCAGGTGACAACTCTGCATACCCGCACGATTCGAAAGGTTGGCCACCCTGCCATAATGATTGAAAAACAGACACTGATAAAGCTCAGTCAAAGCATGTTTTATTCAAGTTAAAAAAAAAATCAAATTATAACCATGAAGAAATAGTGATGCCTCTTAAGGGCGAAGTAATACGAATAAAAAAAGGCCTGTCACAGATCTTAGTCGCAGTCCGAGTCGCAGTCGACGACCGCATGCCGAGTGAACATGACCACGTGGGTAGGCAGGCAGGCGTCACTCTCGTACTTGACGATGACGTTCTTGATCACCTTGTTCTTGGCCGTGGTGTCGTATCGCAGCGCGAAGTGGCCGGGCAGGAGGGGCGGCTCGCGCAGCACGCTGCCGCCTCTGTTCTCCTCCACCTCGATGATGTTGGAGACCAGCACGTCGTTCAAAAGCATGCAGTCGATGTCGTCGTTGTCACAATAATTGGACGCGTACCCCGACTGTCCGGAAAAGGATATCCCCGCACCGAAGCGGTGGCCTGCAGGTGCAAAACACGAATGGCACTGTTAAAAAACTAAGCTGCACAAACGACAGACCTTGCTCTCTCGAACGCAGTGTGTTGGTTGAGATTAGCTACGGGGAATTCCGTAAGTGCCATCGAAGTACGCGGCAAAGCGCTAGACATCCAAACTGTGACTCACCCACGCCCTGTCCGTGCCTCGAGACGTCGTAGTTGTTCAGGAGTATGTTGTCGACGTAGGCCCCTCTGGTGCCGTGCCACAGCTTGAGGACCTCGACCTGGCCAAAGTCCCTCTGGTACTCCTGCTTCTTGGCCTGGAAGCGCTGCTCCAGATAACTGTTGTGCACCTTCTCAATGGACAGCGCCCGGAGGCAATTGCCCCTCGACTGGTTGCTTCTATTGAACACTGGAAAGGAGAGCGGGATTTACAGGCATTCAACCAGCTGCCATGAGAGACCCTCTCCGCCCTCCTGAAGCTCCGAGCCGACCGAGCGTACTTACAGGTCTTCACTTCCTCGTACTCGGATGTCCCTGGCTGGAGAGTGGTTCTTTCAACCACGGACGCCATGACTTGAACCAGATCTATAACCCCACCTCCAGATTAGGCTTGGCGAGACTTCATCATTCAATGTTTACATGGTTTGTTCCTTTGTTTATCTCGGCACACGCAGCTATCTCAATAGTTTTAAGAAACGAACATCAAAGAAACTCATTCAAAATGAGGGAAAAATTTTATTTTAAGGATCAGAACTGCGACGAAGGACGCTACGCCTTAACATGCAACAACAAAAACCAAACAGGTGGCTGTGATTCGTTGATCGCCGTCTTTTCCGGGCACTCTTTCCAACCAAATATTGTCCGGCACGTTCTGGAATCGTGTATTGCTCACCTGAACTTGCAGAACCGTCGTGAAGGACTGTCACACAAAGGACTAATGAAAACTGCTGACAGCCGGGCGTCGCATTGAGACGAGGGGAATACCGCGGGGATACCCTTGCGGGGCGGATGAGAAATTGGTGCTGCAGCGCCGTGCGATGCGCGGAAGCGAGTGGTTTTGACAGTTTTGCAGCGGGCGCCGCCTTTTTTCCTTCTGCTGTCCGGCGTCCATCGCAGCGCTCCGGTGCTGTGTATAATCGGTTCGCTGTAACGCTAGAAGGGCGCAGCGAGTCTAGAGAGCACCACGGAATGTATAGGTGTCATGTTTGAAAACGAAATGACACTGTTCGAAACTGGAACAATTAATTTAGAATCCTGTGCTACTTTACGGATAGGTAGCTGAGTATTTACTGCGTATAGACTCAGAAACCGAGAGAGCGAGCTCAACGGCTCAACAGAGGCCCCTGCCAGGGGCGCAACCAGCCGGCTCGCTCGCGTCGAAGTGTTGCCTACGCGCTGGGCGGCCTTGCGCGGCACCCCGTGCCCCCGTGCGTGGACTTCCCTCCCCAGCCATGACCAGCCCAGAAACGCCGTGAGAGAGTTTGAGCCGCGACAGCCGACTAGCTCCATGTGGACCACCCTGCGGGGGAGTCTCGAAGCTCGGCGCTCGGAGGCTGGTCTTTGTAGAGTTTGCAACGAAAGCCTCTCCTCGCTGCGGAATGTGTGGCTGGCCTGGGTGCCGCCGTGCCGCCGCGGGGCGTCGCGTCAGTGCAAGCCATGCACGTCGGCCCGCTCGGGGCGCGGCGGGCGGGGCGGGGGTTGGCGGCGCTGCTATTCCTGTGCGCCGGTAGCGACGGCCGCGACGCGACGCCCCTCCCCGAGCTGCCCGTGCTCCCCGTGCGCCTAGCGCTGTGCAGGGCGGCCTGGCCCAGGCCTGGCCTGAGGAAGGGCAGGGCCACAGCGGCCGCAGCCAGCGAGCGGCGCGACCAGCGCGACCAGACACAGGCACTACTCGACGTCGAGGCGGCCTGGCGGCCACGGCACACCAGTCCGTGCTCCGCCACTGGCCTGCTCGTACGCCAGCTCGCGGGTGCGTCCGCGAACCACGGCACGCCACGCGTCACGGCGGCGGCCTCTCGTCACGGCAGCGCACCTACAGTGTGACGGCGGCGGCCTCTTCTCGCGGCAGCGTCCCTACATTGTGACGGCAGCGGCTTCTAGCCACGGCGGCGTCCCTACAGTGTGACGGCAGCGGCTTCTAGCCACGGCAGCGTCCCTACAGTGTGACGGCAGCGGCTTCTAGCCACGGCAGCGTCCCTACTGTGTGACGGCGGCAACCTCTCGTCACGGCAGTGTCCCTACAGTGTGACGGCCGCGGCCTCCCGTTACGGCAGCGTCTCTACAGTGTCAGGACTGCGCGAGGACCGCGTCACAGCGTGACGGCAGTGCCACGGCGCCGTAGCGCGGCGTGCGGATATGGTGCACCAGCCCCGGGCCTGGCCCAGCGCCCCAGTCACAGGTGAGCACACCGGAGAGCATGGCGCCGCCCAGGGTTCCAGCGCGGTGCATGTACAAACCCCGGGGCCCGGGGGCATGTCGCCGGGAAACCGGGAAAACCCCAGGCCAGCCCGCCTGAACAAGGTGTGTTTGGTTCCAAGCGTTGCCTTGCCCCTGCTGCCCCTGCTCGACCGTTCCCTGGCGCGGCGCCAGGGCGGCGGCGGTGCACGCCGCGAAGGCCCAGTGCGCGGTGTTCAAGTCTGTTTTGCTGCCGGACCAGGCCAGTCGTGTCCATCAGCATCTCGCTCTACTTGTGCGCGAACACCGACGAAATAGCCTCCCCCGGTCCCGCCGGAACGACGTACGATCAATTGAGGTCTAGCCTGTCGAGTCAAGTCATCTGGAGCGCGTGGTCCAGCCATTAATCGCAATCGCAATCGCCCGGCGCGCAGACAGTCCCGCCGCGCTCGCGTGGCACGGACGCTGGCCGGCTGCCTACCCGGCAGGCGTTCCCACTGCAGCGCGTGGAGCACTTCAACCGTGAAGGTGAAGGGAAACCCGGAAAACTTCAGAAATAGACTTTGAGAAAACGGTCGGGGCCGAGGCGCGGCTGCGGCTGCGGCTTCGCGTTGGCGGCACGGTGTATTTTTTGCGGTGGCCATTTGAGAGCTTCAGCCGCTTCAGCCGGCCGGGCCAGGCGGAGGCTGGGCGCGTGATAGTCGCTGGCTGTCGTTCGAGCTTCGCGCTTCGCGCGCGGGCGTTCCCGGCCCTCGCGCCGGCGGCTGCAGCGACGGCTTTCACACCCAACTTGCAGAAAATTTGGCAGCCGTGGGAACGAGTCGCTACGCCCCGCCGCCGTCCTGCCACCTGCGGGCGGAGCGTGGCGACGAGGAGCAGCAGAATGACCTGCAAATGTTTACGCCGTTCGCGTGCAGGCCCCTCTCCCCCAACCTTAGGCCCTCTTTGTGCTTGAGCGTTGACCGCAGACCAAGGCTTAGGGACTCTTTGTTTGAACACGCTGCTGTAAATTAAGCAAAACACTTTTATTTTCTGAGAGACAGAAACATGGAAAGAGATCTCGGACGACCGCCGCCGCCCACGTCAGCAAGTAAAACGAGTAAAACAAGTGAAAGAGGAGCCGCGCGTTTAGGGGTGCTGACTCAGCCAGCTAGTCGTCTTCGTCGTCCGCCGCGCCGAAGCCGTAGAAAGCGTTGTAGTCGTCGAAGTTGTCGTCGACCTGGTAGTCGCTGTCCGTGTCCGTGACGGACTTGTCGTCGTCGTCCTCCTCGTCCTCCTCCTCGTAGCTGTAGAGGATGGGCGCGGCGCAGCGCCTGAAGTTGACGACGTGGGTGGGCAGGAAGGAGTCCTTGTCGAACTTGACGAACACGTCCATGGTGTCCTTGTTCTTGGCCGTGGTGTCGTAGCGCAGCGGGTAGCGGCCGGGCAGGAAGGGCGGCTCGCGCGGCACCCTGCTGCCCGTGTTCTCGGGCACCTCCACGACGTTGGACACGAGCACGTTGGCCAGCAGCATGCAGGCCGAGTGGGTCTTGTCGCAGTAGTTGGACGCGTAGCCCGACATGCTGGAGAAGGACACGCCCGCGCCGAAGCGGTGGCCTGCAGGGGCGCGGCAAGGACACAATGGAAGCGCGCGCTGCCAGCAGACTGATTCCGAGAGTCGTGTTCGTCGCTCTGTCTCTCTCGCACCTATGCGGGACGCCCCATGAGTGCGAGAGAGACAGAGCGACGGAAACGACTCTGGGAATCGGTCTGCAGGGCTGACATTGAGCGCAGTTTCAAGACCGCCGCGGCTGACTCACCGACACTCTGCCCGTGCTTGGTGACGTCGAAGTTGTTCCGCAGGATGGGCGCCACGTTGAGCTTCTTGGTGCCGTGCCACGCCCTCACGATCCTGACCTGGCCGAACGTCTGCTTGTACTCCTGCGTCTTGTCCTTGAACCGCTGCTCCAGGGCGCCGTTGTGCACCCTCTCGATGGACACCACCTGCAGCTTCTTGCCGTGCACCACGTTTCTCGACTCGAAAACTGCAAAAGGCGAGGACACTTGTAACAAACTAGTGGCAACCACCCCACCCTTAAACACAAGGTGTACCTACACTCAGAAACGTCCTGGAACTCGGCTGTCCCCGCATGCACTTTGGTCCTCTCCACCACCGCCATGGCCGTTGACAGACTCGATCAACTCGCCGGCACTGCATAAACGAATTCCCTGGAGGGCTCGGCGCTTATTCGTTCCATGGTAGAGTGCTCTATCGCCGAACCTCGACCTTACCTTGCTCAGCTGCAGTCCTCGTCGCCCCGCAACGCCGCTGTCGTCCTCGAACCTTGAACGGGCTTCGACTTCGAACCTCCGCAGGACGCCTTCACGACGGGACGGGTGCGCTAGACTAGAGACTGGAGACACTGCCGCTGGGTCCGAACGATGAACAATACGGTGGAGTCGGCGGTGCAAGGCGGTGCCCAGTCGCACTGTTGTCGACAGCGGCGGCCATCGTCCTCACTGGTCCTCACCCGGGGGGCCGTCCGCAAGCGGCCAGCAGAGCGATTCCGAGAGTCATTTCCGTCGCTCTGTCTCCCTCGCACTTACGGGGCGCCCCGTATAGGTGTGAGATTAACAGAGCGACGAAAACGACTCTCGGAATCAGTCCTCAGGGCGGCCAGGCGGCTAAGGTGGCTCACGGACCGCCCCCCGCATGTTGGCCTCCTCCGCGAAGCAGGGTGCGCAGTGGTGCAACCCGCTCGGCGAGCACGCGGGCACCTTGCACCGGGAGGCTGGCGGTCCATTAAAGGGCCCCGCCGCCCCGCCGCCCCGCCGCCCCGCCGCCACACCGTCACACTGCATGAGGGTCGCCGTCGTCGCGGCGGCCGCGGCAGCATGCGACTGCGGCGGGCACCGCGAAATGCGCGATTACCAGCCTGGCGACGGATTTGACGTTTATTTTGAAAACACGTGTGGCGGAAGTGTTGGGCCGGGGCGCGGGGGGGCTGCTTCTGCTGCCTGGGGCGGCGCGTGCGCGGGGCGGGGCGTGTCTCGGGGCGGGGCGTGTCTCGGGGCGGGGCGTGTCTCGGGGCGGGGCGGCGCGCGCGACGACTCAAAACAGAGGGGCCACAAAGTAGCAAAAAGAAATGGAGCATCGGCTGAGGCGCCTAAAAATACCGTCGGTCCAGTGTAGTAGTTTCAGGTTGGGGCGGCGTTTGCAGTCAGGGCTGCTGCAGCGGCCGGGCCGCCGCGAACGGACCAGAGGGGCATGAGGGGGGCCCTGTGCTGGACGAGCGAGGGCTCTTCGACCGCAGCGCTCCAATCGGGGAATGACCGCATCGCCCGCCCCAAATAAGATCGAAACACACTGTTCGCTATGATTGGCCTCGGCCATTCGCAAATTTTGAAAGTGCACGTTTCCTTTCCTAGTGGACGCGTTTTGAGATCCAGAAACTCTAACCGAACTTGTGACCCCACCAATGGATTGCTCTTTAAACGAGGAATCTATTGGTGGGGTTCACACGCTCGGTTCAAGTCATATTTAGCCGCTCTGGAGCTCATAACGCATCTGGAATAATTTTGGCCGCCTCCACCAGTCTTCTGGCCCACTGTGCCACGCGGCGCCTCGGCGGCCCGTGTTTTCCGCAATCATATTCCCCGCGCCTTATTTTACTACACCTCGCCTTGTTTACGCTCGCCATGCTCGCCAGGCCGAGGGCGGACGCACGGTGGACGCGCTGTGTTTAACGGTTGAACCGGTTTACCCCGCCACCCTTAAAAACCAGAAGTAATTTGGCGTTGTTTGTTGCAGATCTCCGATGACGTCATGACGTCCAACGCGATCCGGGGCATCCGCCGCAAGAAGTCGTCCCTGTCGGAGGTGAAGGTGGCCGTGCTGGGCGCGCCGGCCGTGGGGAAGAGTGGTCAGTACCTCCACTCAGTGCGCAGCGCGACGGACGGCGTGGACGACGGGCAGGTGGCGGGGTTCGAAGCTCGGACTCGCACAGTGGGGTCCCCGAGGGCGGGGTGGGGTGGCAGGGCGGGGCGGGGCGAGGCGGGGCGCGGTGGGGCGGGGCGGGGCGGGGCGGGCTGCGTGACTGACACGCGGAGGCTGCGGAATGGGGGCAGCGAAATCCACGGCGAAAAGCGGAAACACGATGCGGTCCGTCATTAGGCAGTGGGGTGGGGTGGGGCGGGGGAGTGCGAGGCAAGAGAATGGTGTGGTGTGGTGGACGTCCCTCCCCGCCCCGCCCCGCCCGCGCCAAAAACGCCGCGGCCAAGCCGTCAGTCCCACGCTTTGCCGCGCCGCTCGCCGCCGCCGCCCCGCGCCGCCAAACACTTAGCAGCTGTCGCCTCATCGCTCATCCATATATCACTGCAGGCCGCGGCCTAACCGCGCCCCAAATCGAACAGGGCCGACTTGAGTCGCGTCTCCTAAACACGGCGTAATGGTCCTGGCGACCTTCGCCCCGTGGTGCTGGTACACTGGTGCTCACGCTCAGCCTAAACAGCCTCAGCGTCGCGTTTATTGTCCCGAGGCTTGAGGCTTGCACCCTCCTTGGCGCTGCGCGGCGCGCGCTGCACCGCCCTGCAGTCCGAGTCCGCCCGTCCGTCTGACGGCGAGGTCTGACGGCGAGGCCGAAGGGGGTCGGCGGGTCCAGGTGGGTGGGGTGGGGGGCCCCACTGGGGGAGGGCCGTGGGGGGCCGAGCACTCAAGTGACCCAGAAATGCCGAGGGAAGACAAAGTGGTTGCGTTTGGTCGGCGCGCCTCTGACTCTGCATTTGACTGATTCCCCGCGGGGAAGGGTTTTTGCGGGTTTTTGAGAGTCGCGCACTGAATGACTTGAACGTTGCTCTGACGCTGGCTTGCCTTTTCAGCGCTGACGGTGCGGTTCCTCACCAAGAGGTACATCGGCGAGTACGACCACCAGTCAGGTAACCGCAATTGCACCTTACATCCGTTTCCGGCGGCTCAGCGTGCGGCAAGCGGCCGGTGAACGAGGATCTCTGTTCTCACTTTTTTCAGAAAACCGTTACAAGTATGAAGTGCTCGTGGATGGAGAACCCATCCTGTTCGAGATACTCGACACCTGTCCGAAGGTGAGTCGCCTGTAAGCCTTGCAGACCGATTCTGAAGGGCCATTCCTTCGGCCTGTCTCTCTCGCACATATATACGCAAAACTCTTGAGATGCGTGATGTCTGTGTTATGTACTTGTGCCTAGCGCAGACTGATCCCATGCTCCCCAGTAGGGCAGCGGGCACTACGACTATGCAAAAATCCTACCGCATCTGAGGTTGCGGAGAGGCCGCGCGAGGTCGGAGTGCCTTGCTGACCCGAACCGCTAAAGGTCTGCATAGGCCTAACAGCGCTGATGATGATGATGATGATGATGATGTCTATGAGTGCGAGGGACACAGAGCAACAAAACGACCCTTCAAAGGGACTGTTCTTCCACTTCCACTCCCCGTTGCTCGTTGCAGTCGGAGGAAGACACCCCGGCGTGCGAGTCGCTGCAGTGGGCCGACGGCTTCCTGCTCGTGTACTCCATCACGGACCGGCGCTCCTTCAACTACGTGCGGCGCGTCAAGCAGCAGCTCCCCGGCGACACGCCGCTCGCCCTGGTGGGCAACAAGGGCGACATGGTGCACCTGCGGCAGGTCAGCACGGAGGAGGGTAAGCCAGAGCCAGGCCGGTCTTATAGTGTAGGGCATTCCGACGCAACCCGAACCGGGACCAAAGCAGAGGAAATCTGGATCCGGGATGAGACATTAGCGGAAATATTGGGTGTGCAGAAGCTCTAAAGTATGCAAAATCGAGGGTGCTAATTTCGTCCGCCGCACACTTGATTTCTCATACCGGATCCAGATATTTCTTCTGCTTGAGTTCCAGCCTGGATTGCGTCAGAATCACGGTCAGAAGACCCTATTGGCCAAAGTGCAGCGAATTCATTCCTTGCCCTATTCGCAGGGGAGATCCTCGCCAAGGACTACGACTGCTGGTTCTCGGAGCTGACGGCGGCCGAGCAGGTGTCCCAGGTGGCCGAGGCGTTCCACGAGCTCTGCAGGGAGGTGCTGAACGCGCGCCGCGTCCGGAACAAGCAGTCCCTGCTGGACCGCATGCTGGGCACCAAGTCGCCCAACATCCGGTCCTACGCCAGGGGCAAGAGCGACTCCGCCCTCCCCCGCGAGTAGCCCCGCCGGACCAGTGGCGGATCCAGAGCCGGCCTCGCGGGATGGGGGGGGGGGGTGGGAAAGGAGCACTTTTGGCCTTCTAACAGTGGCAAAGTGGTCCCCCCCCTCTGAATCCGCGCTTGCGCTGGCCTCCGCGATGATGGGTGTCGTCGTCGCGGTGCAGCCACCGCGGCACCGCCGCACCGCGCCCCAGAGGGCTGAACGGCCGAAGGGCTGAACGGCCGAAGGGCTGAACGGCCAAAGGGCTGAACGGCCGAAGGACTGAACGGCCGAAGGGCTGAACGGCCGAAGGGCTGAACGGCCGAAGGACTGAACGGCCGAAGGGCTGAACGGCCGAAGGGCTGAACGGCCGAAGGGCTGAACGGCCGAAGGGCTGAACGGCCGAAGGACTGAACGGCCGAAGGGCTGAACGGCTGAAGGGCTGAAGAGCTGCAGGCGGCTGCAGGGCTAAAGAGCCGGTGAGGGCCGAGGGCTCGGCCGCGCCCTATGTCCCTGTCCTCGGCCGGGCACTTGGCCGGCTCGGCACGGGTCCAGGTGAACATTACTCCGATATGTAACTCGAGGGTGTCCATGGTGCGGCGCCGCCACGCCACGCCCGCAGTGATGCCAACGAGCTGGCGCGGTGCCGCGCGGACATGACGACGGCAAGGACCGCGAAGCAGGCGAAGCGAGCCCATATGTGTGCGGCAGCGGGCAGCACGCCACTGTGTAAAGCTGCCGCCCGTGCTGCCGCCAGCATCGATGCCAAACGATCGCCGGTCATACGGCGATGATGCCTCTGTGTTATTTGTGGACGTGTATATGCGTGTGTTTTTATGTGGAATAAAATGCGAGGTTTGTGTTGTCATTTGTGTTTACTCGACGGTGTGGAGACAGTCGCGGGTGTGACGTAGGCCACTTCCTTGTCACTCCCTTCTCAGAGAACACTGGGGGAATGCCCACAGCGTTCTGATTTTGTTCTCATCCCGGCAAGGCAGTGCGAAGCGGACCCGATTTCTCATATCGTCGCGCCTGCGCTTTTGAACGACAGCGAACAGGTGCTCGCAATCGGTCAGTCGGGCCGAAAGCTTTGGCGCGCGCCTCCCAGCACTGAATCGGTCCCGCCAATCGCTTCGAAGAGAGATCAGCGTCGAAGGCAGAGGAAAGGAAAGGAACAAGTTGTGCCGTGCTTCGCAGTGCTTCGCAGCCAGACGATTGCCGCGTTTTGACAACAATGTTGGTGCGGCACGCTCTCGCGGCCGTCGCGTTCGCGGGGTGAAGGGCCGGACGGCAGCATGTCTCCGGGCCCGCACTTGCCCTGCCCTCGGCTGCCCTCAAGGAGGTCCGAATGGACAAGCGCGATGCTGTTCGCCGTATATCCAGGTCCGACTTCACAGCAGCAGCGCCCTCGGTCTAGATTTCCCAGAGTGTAGTGGCTTCACCGGACTAGCTTGGCGGCAGTGAGCTGAGCGCGTGGTGCAGAGACAACCCCTGGCGCCATCCGGGACACCCGCACCCCCACCCCCAGCCCACTGGCCTGCAGGCCGCCGCGCACGGACAACCCCCGTCGCCCTTCCACCGCGCCGCCAGGCCCGCCAGGGACGCGAGGGACGCGAGGGACGCGCCGGCAGCGGCAGCGGGACTCAGAACCGAGGCAAGCCTCTTCCAGTTTTCGTTTCAAGGGACGGATGACGTCAACTTCTGTAGACCGATTCCCAGAGTCGTTCGTCGCTCTGTCTTTCTCGCACCTACGGGACACCCCATTGGTGCGAGAGAGACAGAGCGACGAAAACGACTCTCGGAATCAGTCTGCCGGAGTGAACACCAACACACTATAACACAGGGCCACGTCAAGAGCGCCGCGACGGGCGCCGGGGCCCCTCAGGGGGTGGTCCCCGCCGGACTCAACAGGCGGGCCACGCCGCGCCTGCCGACCGCCCTACATACAGCCGACGCACCGCGGTAAGCGGCACAGCATCAACCTCACTAAGTAACAGTGAGAGGCTCATGCTTGACAGAGTCGTTTGTTGAACGTCCATCCTTAAACCTTAAACCTTAAACTTGGGGGTGGACGAGGAGCCTGCGCGCTGCTGCCTGCAGACTGATTCCGAGAGTCATCTTCGTCGCTCGGTCTCTCTCGCACTCATGGGGCGTCCCGTCTAGGTGCGAGAGATACAGAGCGACGCAAAACGACTCTCGGAATCAGTCTGCTGCCTGAATGCATGGCCCACCTCGCACAGGGTGTCTGCGGGCATGACCAGCGACGAGGCGCTCCGCCGCTACCGAGAGACCTTCAGCTACTCCAAGTGAGTCCTTCCCCCTGGCCGGCCAGAAGCCCCGTTGAAGCGCCCTTGACGCGCTGCTGGTGTTCAAGGAGTCGGCTGGCGCGGACGGACCGGCGGGAGCTGGCCAGGCAGCTGGCCGACACCAAGGTGACGGCCCCGGGTAGCGGCGAAGGGGCTGGCGGCGACGGCGACGTCGGCCGCGGAGCACGAGGGGATGCCGTCGACGTCAAGGCCCGTGCCGGCCCGACGGCCAGGCTGGCGGCGCCCGGCCCGCACGTCCAGTCCCTGATGCTGCCCCTGCATGTAACCGCCATAGCGCTGCCGCCGCCAGCCGCCCCCTTGTGCGCGCGGAGGCCGCGGCTTGGCCCACGCGCCGCCCCCCGCCTGCCGCCGCCCAAGGCCGCAGCCACCGCAGCCTGCGCCCCCGCCGGGCCAGGTACGCGGCGTGTGCCGTGAGCAGCCGTGAGGGTGTGGGCAGAGTGGGTGTGGCGAGAGGCCGCCTGGGCATTCCCAGCAACGGACGATCTAACGTGGAAAGTTGCATTCAATCTGAATAAAATCTCCGGGTTCAAAACCTCCCGACCGAGTGCGTGTGCTTTCCTCCCCGTCCACCCCTGGAGCTTCGCGGAATCCAGCAGCGTCCACATCGTCGGCGACTTCTCTCTGCGGCAGGACTCGGCCTCAGCGCTGCTGGAGGCGCTGGAGGCCCCGAAGGCCCTCAAGGCCTAGAGGGCCGTCCCCCTGGGGCGGCTGGCTGGCCGTCGGCGCGGGCGCAGCGGGGGCGCGGGGCGTACGCCTTGCCCGGCGGTGCACTGCTAAGGCGGCGGCGCTCGCGGTACTGGGTGTCGCCGCGGGAGAGGAGGCACTGCGTCTCGAGGGAGGACTCCGGCTCCGGGTCGGCGCCGGCCTCCAGGTCGCCCTCCCCGCGACGTCGCCTCGGCCGCCGAGACAGGGACGCCCTGACGCCGCTCGCCGGGCAGCCGCAGCCGCCCCGGGCCCTGGCCCTGGCCCTGGCTGCGGACGAGCCGGACTTCCCCGGGCAGCCTTGCCTCGGCGTCAGCGCCCTCGCCGCGCGCCCCGCGCCCCTGCCGCCTCTGCGCCGCCAGCCCTCCTTGCTGCAACTCGGCACCGCGACCAGCGGCCCCGTGCCTGAGCTCGAGTCCACCACTCTCAGTCTCAGGCTGCACTCGTGTGGCCTCTGAAAAGGTCGGATCGGCTGAGGTGGTGCGGCAAATAGTAGGAAAAGAAAAAAAAACAGCGGGAAAACAGTCAAAATACACTTTTAATGCTTGGATCACAAGGCGTAAGTACATTTCATACAAAAGTCTGGGAAGAATAATACTACACAGATCCAAAAAGAAGGCACTAACATTCTTTTAGAGTACTCACGCGCTATACGACGCGAGAAACTCTTGGTCTTACAATGGCAAACATTCAAGTAAAAAACAGGCGAGACACCCAAAGGCCGATCGGTTCTGACACCAAATACGTTTAACGCAATGCTTTACTATGAACGTAAGAAAACGAATAATAGGGAATCCCTAAAATAACATGTACGACCTACAGTGGAATTATGTACAAAAAAAAATGGACTCAGCCAATTCTCTCGCCCCACGATCTTCATAACAGTTATCCCCAGAGAGTATCAATGGCAAGGTAGATTTTTACTTATTTTGTTTCAAAATCATCATAGGTAATTTCATCTACACTAATACATTTTATCTGCCACTTTCAGTATTGCTAGTTAAGTTTCACTGAGGTGATTGACTATGTGAGACTGCATAGCCCCACATCACATTTAGTTCCGCACTGTAATTTAAATGGGTTTTTTTCTTTCGAAGATCAGAATTTAACTGATATGGTTAGAAGATATGCACAAGAACATATTGGTGATGTTTGTTTGGAGATGAGAACAATAAAGAGGTTAAAAATCACCAAGAATAAGAACAGATAACAGCTCAGTTGACATGTCTTGGTACAAACGTTTAAACAATTTGACCGAATAATAATTACAATAGTCAAAGGTGATATTAAGTATATCTAAAAATACTTTGAAGAAATTGTTCACCTCTGGCAAAGGAATACAATACATCAGGGTTAAATATTATTGCAGGGAAAAGTCACTACAATAGTAGTGTTTTATCATAAGAAAAGTGGCTAATTAATTAAGTCTCTTTGTATAAATAATAATAAAGTTAGGGTGTCTATGCTTTCAGATGAGAGAAAAGCAGTACAGGAGCCATGAGCTTCATTTCATTAGGAGCAAAGTTTGAGCACTATGCGAGATTCCAATGAAAGTGGAATGATGACACATCACATAACTTCAGTTGATAAAATAAGTGGTACATGACTATCCATTACTGACTAAATATTATGAATTCATTCAGGAATTCTGATTTCAAACTGACTTGGGCGCAATAATGTACAACTATATAACAGAATGAATGAAATAAAAGCTATACATTGGAATGCTAGAAAATGGTAAAGAAAACTCAGAAATAAACCAAAAAGGAGAAAAGGACAACTAAGTCTAAATAAGAAAGAAAGATAATTAAAATATACAAGCATGAAAACTATAGAATACAACATCTGGGGAATTGCAATACATCATCATCCAACTAAATTCAAAACACACAATTCCCTTGGTGACAGCACTAACACAAGCTAACACGTAATACTGATTAAAACAATGATTTGGTTGTCCAACTAAAGTTAAGTTAGAGCTCCAAATCCAAGGAAAAGATTAGGACACTAAGGTGCTCATTTAATTAGGACTGTACTAAAAGCTGCAAAATAAAAAAATAATAAGTCATATGCAGTAAAAAGTACAGTCTTACATTAATGAAAGAAAAGAAAAAAGACAAATAAAAAATGGTCAAAAGATATGCATGAGTTCATGATGCTCCTGAAAAATTTTCAGAGGGTTTCAACAAGTTATACACATATGAAAATCGTCAGAAATGTCAGACAGCAGAAAAATCTCTGGGGTTTCAGGTACAATAGACGGAAAAGTTTGCGTGAATTAAGCCATTCATAAAACCTGCAATGGTTATAATATCAAAGAATAAGCTACTTAAAAGAGTTTCAGATTTTAGAAATCCTGGCCAATAACAGCTACAGGACCTTTCACAATTAATGTTAATAAAGATACACAGCAGACAGTAGTCAGATCAACATGTACCCAAGACACCTAAGGAATTTCAACCTTTAGGGCACAGTTCAAAGGGTCATTATATTTGCCTAATGTTAATAGAAAACATTCACATAATTTTTCCTTATACTACGTCATAAAATAAATGTAGCTTTCAAAGTAAAGAGCTCGACTTATGAAGCCCAAAGCCCAAGACAAACAAAACAAATCAATGAAACGTAACAGCAAGCAAAAGAGACCTAAACAAACTGATAAGGTGATATAAAACAACTATCACAAACTTGTCTGGAATCAGTTGAAGGTTAGTTTGCCTAGTTCTTAACTACACTAAAATACAGTGAAGATTATCATAGTCTTTAATGTTACTTATCAGCTCCAGCCATGAACCAGAATCATAATTACAGAACATCCTTGCTTCACAGGACTTCATAGTGTATTCATGACCTTCATTGCTCTATAACAACTTACGTATTCCACCGCAGTTCAACTAAACTACGTAATAAAGAATGTCAAAAGTTACATTTACATTTTTTTAAAGCTCATTCCCAATTGCTCAGCGCTAAAGCTGAAGCACAAATAAAGTAAATGAAAATAGACTTAAAAACCATTGACATACATCACTATCACACAGAAATAACATGGTTAAACTTATTTACAAAATATACAACATCTAACAAACTATTTACATATATAAATTTTAAAACATTTCTGATTGAAACTGGTAGCAAAAGAACCCTTTTGACAAAAGGAACAAAAAGTGTTCTATAAATTTTTCAAAAAGTTCAGCCTAAAAAGGTGTATAAATTATTTCAAAAAATTAAATTGATTGGGACAAAGGTCCAGACAAGATACCCTCCAGCAAATTGAATTGCACTCATAAATAAGTAAAAATCCAAAACAGTCATAAAATACTTGAAGGCACTTAGATCACAAGATTTCAGGGTGGCATATATAAATCTTTATAGTGAGACGTCACCGGTCACTAACCAAGGCACTGGAAGTCTATTAAAGTCTTTAACTGGACCACTGTAATTTCATTACTAGCAATTGCTATGGCGAGAGCCCCGCATGAGGGGGACAAGAAGGGCAGGGGCGCCAGCTTGCCTCAAGAAAGGATGTTGCAGCAGTTCTGTTGCAGTAGCACGCTGGGCTGGATCACGAACCAACATGCGCTCAAGGAATCCCTGCAGACGAGGAGAAACCTGTGGGTATCCAAGTATTTATTATTAATGTGCCTTGTTAACACAGGAATGAACAATTCAATTAAGACATCAGAGGTGTAATTTAATAAAATCATACAGACCTTGTGAGTATTTTTCAACTTTGGAGGAGGCATGTCCCGTATGCGCCTCATGGCCTGGAGAGGCGGCTCATTGAAGAATGGAGGTTCCCCATCAACCATTTCTATAACCATTATACCTATCAAAGAATAAGTTGAGGTTAGATTATTGATTAAGAAAGCAGTCAATACAGTGAATAATCAATTAAAACTATTGGAGAATTTAAATACTGTGCTTACCTAGAGACCAAATATCCACTTCAGGGCCATATGGAAGTCGAGATATGAGCTCTGGAGACATCCAGTAAGGTGTTCCTACAAGTGACTTTCTCTTTGGTAACTCCTGGGAAACTTGGGCACAAAAACCAAAATCTGAAAGCTTCACCTGAGAATAAAGAAATACATTACATGAGCTCCAGAAAATCAAAGGAAATAGTTTTATCTTATTTTTTTAGTTGCACAAATGCTTTTATTTACCCTTCCATCAGATGCTAGGAGAATAGAATCACTCTTAATGTCCCTGTGAATGACACCTTGAGAATGAAGATATGCAAGAGCCTTCAGGCACTGGCGGCAAACTGTTGCGATTTGGGCCTCATCCATTCGAGCATGAGTTACAATGTCAGTTAATGCACCACCCTCTAGGAACTCCATAACCACCCACAACTCATCATTAACTAGGAAACTGTCATACATCTCCACAATATTAGGATGATGATAGTCCCTCATAATAACAACCTGAAAGACAAGGTAAAGAGTTCCATATTAGAAATCAAACAAAACAGTAAGGTTAGGACAACATAAAGGATTATATAAAAGAGATGGGTAGAAATGTACCTCATTAAATAACAATTCTCGTCTCTGTTGTTTCCTCAGGTCCATTTTCTTCACTGCAACCTGACGACCTGTGTTGCGATCTGCTGCTATGCAAACAGTGCCAGTTGAACCCTCTCCAATTTTCATGAGTTGCTCAAGGTGGTCTCGAGGATCACCAGGACTGACAACCATTTGCAATGCAGCACGGAACTGTTCGTGAGTTAGTCGCAATTGCTCATGGTGTTGTTTACTGGCTGCAGCAGCGGCAGCGGCGGCAGCAGCAGCCGCTGCAGCAGCTGTTTGCACATTGCTATTTTGAGTGTTATTGGAGCCAGTAGATAAGTTACCCATTGATAGGGCGTTGTTTACACCTGGCTTCACATTCTGATTTTGGTCCGGAGATGGGTGAGGCTGCATTCGTTGTTGCATCTCGTTGGGCATGACCATCTGAAAGAAAGGAAATCAAATAAGCAACAGAAAATATTTTGACATTTGCACAAGGGGGTATGTCATGTCCTCAAATGTTACCTTGTTAGCGTTTGCTGAAGCCTGCACATGCAATGGACCCATGTTTTGAGAAAGTGGCCTCTGTGGCTGGTTCTGAGGATGTTGGCCAGGGTGTGCTCCAGGATGCATGGCATTCATCTGGTTCGGGTGTGGATAGGAATTGGGGTGGTGGTGGGGTGGTCGTGGTGGTGCCTGCTGACTGGCATAATTGGCAGAATAGCCACCGTCTTGCATCGGGACATTATTTATGTTGCCATGAGACATATGTGCCTGCAACAAGGTACCATGAAAAAAATATTAGTATTTAAGTGAAAAGGAAGAAAGGATTCCACATACGATGTGACATTGGGAACTACAAAAGTCTGACTGTGCCGCATGTTAATAATAGAAATACATTACCCTCAAATAATTACAATTGCAAATATGCAACTGATCCATGCCAGCAGAAAATAAAAATAATTTGTAACAGAGGAAAAATTGAGCTTTTATCTTTCCCTGGAACACCAGTTTCATCATGAACTTACCTGGGGAGGAACATTTCCATTGGTTTGATGGTTCTGGAGGTAAGGAGGCATACCACGATAATCCACTTCAGATAAAGGTCTTTTATGCTCAGCAGGGCCCCATTCTGGAGTAGGACCTGGTTTGAGCTGCACAAAAAATTCAAAGATAAAGATAAATAAATGAAATAGTGACTTGTGAAGATTGATACATTAATTCCAATGATGACATACATAATTCATTGGTCGATTATCTTGCCATTGAGCAGGCAGTGGATATGGCTGTTCCATATGAGGGGGCATGCCACCTTGCGGACTTGCTCCAGTGCCAGTCATCACCTCATTTTCCGGTACAGCAGGTGGAACATTCGCATTAGTACGATAGTCTCTTCGTAGACGTGGAGGACTGGATGATCGTAAAGAGTTTGATCTTGCGACACTGGATGTTTTGGGAAGGTTTGCATTGCCATTTTCTATGCTTCCCCTAATGACACTGCCAGGGCGAGAGGTTTCTCCTCCTCTAACGATTGTCTGGACATTGATATCAGAAATGTTTCCATTAAAACAGACAAAGTAGCGTAAAAACAGATAAGACATAGTGAGGTACTCACCTTAAGATCCAGAATTTCAGTTGGAGTAATTTCTGAGGGATCAACTAGAGGTAAAGGGCGATTACTGCTCTTCAGAATCTGATTGTTTCCAACGATACTGGCCCATTGTAAAGGCAGGCCAACATAACGCCCCTCACGCTTGTCAAAACCAGTATGCACTCGGTGCTCAAAGTTGGTTGGAGGGGATATTTGAGGTCTCTTCTTTTTCTTGTTAAACATGGTTGCGATGTTGTTCTGTAAAAGCACACAAACATAGGTGAATACAGTCATGCTGAGAGGTATATTAAGCACTGGGCATGTGATTTTTGATTAGGAGGAAAGAATTTAAGTGACAAGAGTAAGTACTTTTGTGACACCTCTGTCAGGCAGTAGTTAAAATGAAGTGTCACAAAATAGGGCCACATAACCTCAATACAACGCCCACTTAAGGTATTTACTAATTTCCATGGCAACAGACCTATAAATAGGTCTTTCGCAGTAGATTACCCGAAGTATGTATTCAATATTCGAATAAAACCAGAAATATTTTACGTTCAGAGGCACGAATACAGCTCAAATAAGATATAACCTATGTTTCGAGAAATAACTAGTTCCCTAATTACTGGGGATGCACTTTGAAACGTGACAGAAGGTAGCACAGGGGGCACAAAAACCACACGAATGACGAAGTTCAGTCAAGAAATTGAGGAAATGCACAAACAGAGAAGCGCTCGGCTGCTCGGCCGTAATGTATTAGTACGTGGGCTTGGCCCGATCCGCCTTCGGCAAAGGAAAGCCTATAACCAAGTTTAACAACACAGCAAGGCGAGGGAAGCCCTTCAATGTCGCGCCGATCCGGGCCAGCACGTGCGCATACACTCGAGTTCAGCTCAAACTCACGTCAATAACGGTTGTCGGCGAAAGAAACGGCCGAAGGGGTGGGAAATGTACAATATAAAAACACCGCTACGAAAAGTGACACAAAGCTACCATGTTGACTGCGGACGACGACGAACGCGCTCTTGCGGCAAATGCTCTAAGTTGAAGAATTCCGTGACGTTGCGTTGCGTCGCGGTCGCCGCGGTGCGGTAGGTGTTGCCTCCCTCCACGACCTCCAGGCCGTGCGCCAACGCGCCACCGGGGACGCGGGGGACATCGCCTTCTGCAGGAGCGATGCGGGGAGCGGCGCCGGAGGCGAAGCAACAACAGGATCACTGGCGCCACGCTACGCCACGCGCCACCCGGTGCCAGCCCCCCCGCCCCGGGCCCCACCCCCGCACCACCCTGGCGCCGGCGCCAACCGCCAACCCCCTCGCGCCTTATCACCGGCGGAATGCGGAGAGCGGCCAGCCGCACGGGGAAGCTCCAGCAGGAATTCCGAGAGTCCTTTTCGTCGCTCTGTCTCTCTCGCACCCATGGGGCTTCCCATACTGGTGCGAGAGAGACAGAGCGACAAAACCGACTCTCGACTGCCGTGCCAAGACTTAGAAGGGGGAGTGGAGTGTGTGCTCAATCAGGGCACGAAACGGCGTGGAGAATTCTTCTCAGTCCTATTATGGTGACATTATACAGTATCAGTTTACAGGCATATTTACCGCAAGGGGGCCATGTTTCAGTGGCGGATCCAGAGCCGGCCTAAGGGGGGGAGTAGATCTTTGTGGTTTCTTACAGGAGGAAAGAGTCGCTTTTTTGCGTGCCCTTCAGGCGCGGCTTTCGAGGGGCCAAGGGGGGTCAATTGTCCCCCTCCCTCAACTGGACCCGCGCCTGCCATGCTAAAAGTCAGTGGCGGATCCAGCGCCCGCCCACGGGCGTGCACAAGGGGGGGGGGGGGGGGGGGGCGGAGGGGGCGATCGCCCCCCCCGAAGGACCCCAAAAGGTATACTTTTGAGGCAGGTTTTGGCGTCTAACTCCTGGAAGTTAGGCAAAGTTCCTCAAAAAAAAGGTTCCACCGCCCCTCCCGAGGAGGCGAGCTGTGCACGCCCCTGCGCCCGCCTGAGGAAGGTTGGGGGGGGGGCAAAGTAACACATTTTGTTTATTCACTGGAGCAAAGTGAACCTTGGTGAACCTTTTTCAGGCGGCTATCAAGAGGTCAAGGGAGGGACTATTATTTTCCTTCTGCCCCCCCCCCCTTTTTCTCTTAATCCGCACTTGCTGAAATTTCGCCTGTTTGCCGATGAGCTCAAATCCGCGTGCGATTTCTGGCATCTTCCGGAATGAATTCGTCCCCCCCCCTCCACAGCAGTGCTACGAAGGTCCACACCCCTTGCCGCCGTAACCCGTGTGCGGCCCCTATCTCCTCCGTACAGTCTAAGCTCATAGCAAATGTCGAGGGATCTGTAAGGGACTTTGTACTTTGGCGTGCCGGCCCGTGCGTTTCCCCGCATCGACAACAAAATATCAGCACAGTCACGGTGCACGGTGCGCCCAAGGCAGTCGGCTCGAGGCGGAAAAGTAACTGCGTATGTTATTGAGAGAGGTCGCTTATTGAATCTTAATGAAATTCCCCCATGTACTTGGCCGGCCTCACGGGCGAGGTTTCCGAACAGATAGAGGAAGCGCAGTTGATTGCAAGTTGTTGGAACTTTGTCCATTTTTCTGTGAACTTTTTGTCAAGGAGAGGGTGGCGCCTGAATGCCTGGAGGCGGGCAACCTTTCACGAACCCGCGCCTCCCTTCCGTTACGCCCCCGAGTGGGCGGGTGGGCTGCGGAAGTGGATTGAGAGACAGCCGCAGACCATCACTGTACCATGACGCTGCAGAAGCAGCAAGCAAGGGGACAGTAGGGGTAGTCGGACCGGTTGTTTGGGCCGCAGACCAGCAGACTCATTCCGAGAGTCGTTTTCGCCTGTCTCTCTCGCACTCATGGGACGTGCCGTGAAGGTGCGAGAGAGACAGAGCGACGAAAACGACTCTCGGAATCAGTCTGCAGGGTGGGTGGGGGACCGACTTGTGGGCAGAATTCCCTCCCCTCGTTCCGCCACATCCACCCTTCTTGCATAAGTGCATGAGATGCGGCTCCGGGGGAACTACCAGACTACCCGCCCCTCCGGCGGCCCCCTTCGCCGTGCCTTTCGCCTGGTCCCGCCCCTGCGCCCACGCCACACCCCCAACCTGACCATCACGCGTTTCCCGTAATCTAGGTGGCACCTCGAGGCTGAAAGTCAAGTGCCGTTTGCGGGACGGGTCGCGCGACGCCACGGCTAACGGTTACGTCGCGCTGCCCCGCTCTGCCCGCTCGAGCACCCGCGCAGCGCAGCGAAAGGAGACCGGTTTGTTGTTGTGGGTTGCCGGCCCTGTTGTTGTCGCCTGCCTGTCTGCCAGCTCGTCTGAGGTGCCTGCGGCTGGCTGCTGGCTGTGCGAACCAAAGTGTTTTCGTCTCGGCGATCTGTTGCTGCTTCATTCTACTGTTGATCTTCGTTGCCGGCACATCTTGTTCGTCTTTTAGCCGATTCTTTAGCAGAGATGGCATCCCTTCAGCATGTGAGTGTGGAAGCGCTAGGTTTAGGTTATTGAGATTTTAATGGTTAGCCGTGTTGTGCTTCGCTGACGTGACCTTTGCACTGGGTGCCGACTGGGTCTCTCGGTCCAAAGTGTAACTGTGATCATGAGTTATAAGTCAGTTTGAACATTCCTTGAACATTCCTGCTTTCTAACTTTGGAGTGGAACTTGTTGATCCTCAATCGCCCAGTGTTGACTACATTTATGAAAAATGAGCCTAACATGCTCTGTACGTGTTACAGATCCCTTTCATATCATTGTACTTTGTACCCAGCTGAACATGTGTTTGAACTGTTACCTTACTTGTGTATTTTATGTTCAGATTGCTCGTGCGGTTGCGCGACCTGCCCTGTGTGCCATGCGTGGCACCACAGCCAGCCGCAACTACTCCGCTGCCGCCTCCAATGGCTACCAATTCGGTTAGTGTTTTCCTCCGGCACTCGCATTCTGTAATCCATAAGTTCAGTCACTGATGTACTTTATCTGCATCCATGATTGCCATGTTTATCTAAATTTTATACATTCTTTTTCAGAGCTAACTGATACTCAGAAAGAGTACCAGGAATTAGCTCGTAAGTTCACCGCCGAAGAAATTATCCCCAAGGCAGCCGAGCTTGATATTTCCGGAGAATACCCTTGGGACATTCTCAAGAAGGCATGGGAGCTTGGTCTTTTGAACAACCACATTCCAGCTGACATTGGTAATATCGATAATTCACGTTAATTTTACAAGTTTTGCTGTATTAACTTCTGTCACCCAGTGATTGATAACCTTTGTGTATGTTATTCTTATAGGCGGCATGGAGTTGAATGTATTTGATGGCTGTCTCATTGCTGAAGAGTTTGCGTATGGGTGCACAGGTGTGAAGACTGCAATTGAAGCTAGTGGACTTGGTGTGAGTATCCCTGTGGATTATGTCTTGATAATTCACCAGCTTCTGATAAAAACTTGAAGATTGTGTATCTATATTGTTTGTTGTGCCACAGCAAACTCCCGTGCTGATTGCTGGAAACAAGGAGCAACAGAAGAAGTATCTCGGGCGTTTGCTTGAAGAGCCCCTTGTTGCTGTAAGTATGAAGGACCAGGGCCACAAAACTATCTGTATTATTTATTCTCTGAAATAGAAACTGAGTTCTAGTTCTGAACTTTCAGGCATACGGTGTAACTGAACCTGGTGCAGGCTCTGATGTGGCTGGCATTAAAACTAGAGCTGAGAAGAAGGGTGATGAATACATTATCAATGGACAAAAGATGTGGATCACCAATGGTGGTGTTGCCAACTGGTCAGTTTTTTTTGTTTATTTTTTTCCAAATCTAGTTTACACTGCCCAGAAAACTTGTTATGTAACACCCTCCCTTGACTTTCAGGTACTTTGTTCTTGCACGCACCAACCCTGACCCCAAGGCACCAGCAGGCAAAGCTTTCACTGGTTTCATTGTTGATGCTAACACTCCTGGAGTTACTCCAGGCCGCAAGGTTAGACTGTGACTTATGATGGATCCTTCTTATTCAATTCTTGACAGTAAAATCAAATTCTGTTTTTTTTTTTTTTTATCCTTTTTCATTTATTTTTTTCAAATAGGAGAAAAATATGGGTCAGAGGTGTTCAGACACTCGTGGTATCACCTTTGAGGATGTCAGAGTGCCTAAGGAAAACGTTCTGCTCGGAGAAGGTGCTGGTTTCAAAATCGCTATGGCAACATTCGACAAGACTCGTCCTCCAGTAAGTCTTTGTCACTGTCTGTTTTTGTGTTATTATTTGAAGATGCTTTCTCTTGACTGAGCTTTTCATTTTTAAGGTTGCTGCTGGAGCAGTTGGTTTGGCACAGCGATGCCTTGATGAGGCCATGAAGTATTCTTTGGAACGCAAAGCCTTTGGTGTTCCAATTTTCAACCATCAGGCTGTGGCATTTATGCTTGCTGATATGGCTATCGGCATTGAGACTTCTCGTTTGGCTTGGATGCGTGCTGCCTGGGCATCCGACAAAGGCCTTCCTGTAGCCTACTACGCTTCCATTGCTAAGGCACTAGCTGCTGATGTTGCCAACAAATGTGCAACTGACGCTGTCCAGGTTTGTATTTGTCATGCGTCTACCCTGACTTGTTTATCTTGAGTTGTTGAGTAATGCAAGTTCTTTTTAGATCTTTGGAGGAAACGGATTCAACAGTGACTACCCAGTTGAGAAGTTAATGCGTGATGCCAAGATTTTCCAGATCTACGAAGGCACTGCTCAGATTCAGCGACTGATCGTCTCAAGAAACCTCTTGGCCAAGGCAACTGGCAAGGCGTAAATCCATGGTGCATTAAACTCTGGCCTCCTTGCCACAGTGTTTTTATGTTTTTCTAAAGACCTGATATCATTTTAATCGAGCCGTTCAGCTAAATGTAGCAACAAGTCATGAATTTTATGTGATAGTAGAGATTTGTTGAATTTTGTGAATGCAGTGAGAAGTGCTTTGTTGTCATGGTTATGGAGCCTCAGTATTATTGTACTATTCATTAGAATCTCTGCTGTGAGACTAATGAATCAAGTGTTTTGAAAATTGGTTACACCTCGAAGCAAAATGTGAAATTTCTGTTCATTGTTGATAGTGCTCCCGTTTAACTATATATTTTTATACGTCACATTTTTTTTTCTACCTCTGATTTGTGTTTTAGATTTTCGTTTATGATGAACTAAACTTGTGATCTTGTCAACTTTTGCTTTTGTAAATAAATTTTAATATATTAGTAGACCTTGTTTTGCTTTGCCAATCCACATCATGCCACTATAGCCAAGAAGTGGGAACAACAAATCAGTAGTGATGAAATATTTTATCCACACTTCCACCTATTAACGTCACACTAGTGCTACAGAGACAAGGACCGTGCCAGAGTCCAAATGTGTAGGCCTCTGTTGGGAATGGAAAGCTTCTCTGGGAGAACAGCTGGACACAGCAACTTTACGCTAGAAGCGTCTGCCAGCAAAATGACCTGGACTGCATTTCAACAACATTCACGACCAACACCGTAGAAGAAAATCCTTGAACGGCTCCACCTCGTAACGCACCAATGGATCCGGCCGCCTGCCGCTCTGCCGCACTGGCACCCCAGCAGGCACGGCGGTACGAAGGGTGGCCTACCCAGGCTTAGCCGGGCGCTCCGTGCCGCGAGCCGCGAGCTGCGCACCGCGCGAGGAGGAGGAACTTGGACGCGGAGAAGACTGAGAGCGTGTTCGTTCGGCCCCGCTTGCCACCACGTCGTCGACCTGCCGCAGAGCCTCTTTGACCACCACGGCGGTCGCGCGGCGCGGCGCTCTGCGACATCCACACGGCACACGCCCTCCCAAAAAGGCGAGCACGAGCAGCCCGGGGGCGGGGCGCGGTGGCGGTGTGCGGGATGGGCCTGCAGGCTGATTCTGAGGGTCGCTTTCGCCGCTCCATCTCTCTCGCACCAACTCGGGACGCCCCATGAGTGCGAGAGAGACGGGGCGACGAAAACGACTCTCGGAACCAGCCTGCAGGGGGCGGCCAAGCGGCTAGAGCCAGCGAGACAGTGAGAGTGAGACGCCGCGCGACAGTGACGAGGGTGAGGGGCGCGGCCAGGCGCTGTCCTGTATTGGACCGCGGCCACCAAAGGCAGGGGCGGCGCGTGGCGCACGGCCACCGACGGGACGGGCCGCGACGGGACGGAGCCCTTCGAATCGGGATTGGACCGAGTCCAGCAGCGCGGCGCGCCGGCGCGGACCGCGCAGGACTCGAGGACGACCAGTTTGTACACATGTGTCACATTGTGGATCGGTTTCGCGTTCGCGCCGCAGTGGTGTTTGCAACGCCCGCGAAGACGTACCCGTGCGCCTTCGCCCTTTGCGCCCGGCCGAGACCTTGCTCCGCACCTCGCCGCGAGTCCGACTCGTTAGAAAAGGTAAGGCCCGGCGGCCATGGCCGGATGGCTGGCTGGCAGTGTGGGCACCCTCAACCCGCCCCCGCGAGTGTTTCGTTTCCCAGTGAAAGTGAAGTTCTTGCGGTCGTTGGAGTGCCTGGGACTGAGGGCCACTGAATTATGACAGACGTCTTCCTTCGGCCGCCGAATGCCGAATAGATCGAAGCTGGTAAACAGACACCAGCAGGCCGATTTCCTACAGTGGCTTCGTCGCTCTGTCCCCCTCGCGCCCAAGGGGCTTCCCGTAGGGGTGCGAGGGGGACCGAGCGCTGCCGACTGCCTTCGGGTTCCTTAAATTTCGTCGTCCATTGATCGCCTGCTCGCTCGCCAGACGAAGAGGAGACTCTCATTAGCAGCGGGTTCTACTTCTCACCAACTTGTGGTGGCGGCGTGGCGGTGGCGCTGTAGCGCCGTCGACCCTGCAGACTGATTCCGAGAGTCGTTTTCGTCGTTCTGTCTCTCTCGCACTCATGGGGCGTGCCGTGCGGGTGCGAGGGAGACAGGGCGACGAAAACGACTCTCGGAATCAGTCTGCTGCAGCGTCCTAACCTCGGGAGGGCTCGTCCCGAGTGCTGGGCGTGCTGGGGTTCTCCCGAAAGGGTGGCGGCGCGGCCGGCGTCGGTGGCCTTCACGCTTCGCGAGCTTCGCGACGAGGAGGCGAGGCAGGTGGGAGTTGCTGAGAGATTCAAAACTGGCGCGCCAAAGAATGTCGTCGTCGTCGTCCGCGTCCTGTCTCGAGGCCTGTCTAGTGCGACGTTAGCTGGACCGGCCTCGCGGCCTCGCGGCCTCGGCGAACGCTAGGCCGACAGCGACGTCGCGGCCTTGGCCTCGGCCTTGTACACACGACGACGGCCGCCGCCGCTACATCAGCACCTTCTCCATGGTGGCGGCTGGCGAGGCCTCCTGTCGGGCCGTGCCTGTCGGGCCGTGCCTGTCGGGCCGTGCCGAACCGCGTCGCGCTATCGCAACGCGCGCAACGCGATGGCGGACTCAATTAGCACGCCGCGATTCAGAGGAGTCGTTTCGTCGCTCTGTCTCTCTCGCACTCATGGGGCTCGCGGCAAGGGTGCGAGAGAGACAGAGCGACAAACCGATCCTCTGAATCGTTCGGGGGCCGCCGCCGCCACCGCCGCCAGGGGGATCTGCCCAATATGTAACGCGCACCGCGCAGGTATCGGATTTCGGGCGAAGCGCGGCCGCGCAGAATGGGACTTCCCTGGGCTGGCGGGGCTGGCCTGGGCCAGGGAGAGGCCGTCGACCTCCTGGGCCGGCGTGCAGCGCGCAAGCAAGGCCGGCAAGAGGTGCGCGTGGTACATCGCAGGGCGCGGACGCGAACGAAGGTACTAGGACGGGGACGGAGGCGACGGACGGACACGGACACGGACTCGACTATCTAAATCGGTCAGCGTGTCCCAACGCGGCGCTCGGCTGCGCCCGGCGCGCTCGATGCGTGCCACTGCCACCGCCTCGACACTCCACTGCACGCCGATGCACTAACGAGCGGAAGCTCGCCGTCGACGGCCCGGACCAGGCGACCAGGCGCAGCGCAGTGCGGCCGAGTACGGCGCGGCGGGTGCAGTCAGTCGGCCAGCAGACTGATTCCGGGAGTCGTTTTCGTCGCTCCGCCTCTCTCGCACCTATACGGGACGCCCCATGAGTGCGAGAGGGACAGAGCGACGGAAACGACTCTCGGAATCAGTCTGCGGGTCGGTGAGGAAGTGTGACGTTCCAGTGTCACGTCGTCACTTCACGTCACGTCCCCCGAGTGGGCATAACGCGGCGCCACGGCCAAGGCCCCCGCTTTGCCTCCTTGTGTCGCGTTTGGCACCGGCTGGCACTGCACTTGCCCGCCGCGTCGTCGGCCGCGTCGTCCGGCCGGCCGGTGCAGCGAGGTCGCGTGACTTGGACGCAGGGCGAACGCGGACTCCGCGCCGAGCAGGCCGATGCCGCTGCCGATGCAGCCGTGCACGCTTGTTGCTGGTGGTCGCCATGCGACATGCAACATGTGGCCGCCGGACCCCGACCACGGCCAAATCATGACCTACGGCTACACCGGGCTGTCGACGGCCTTGGGGGACAGGCTCATCGTCATCATCAGCGCCGTAAAGCCTCATCGCGATAGCGTTCGAGTAAGCAAGTAGGACTCAGATTGTAAACCTTTAAAGGCAGGTAGGGTCTTGCTTGCAGCAGTCACCCTCTTCTTGGAGGGACGGGTCAACTTCAACGAATACGCCATGTGGACCCGACAAACCGAATGGAAGCGCACATAGTCCTGAGTGTGGCCCGCTTGCTCCACGGCCGCGGCCCCTGGCAGGCCGGCAGTCCCGGTCGCATGCGCCCTGTCGGCGGGACTGACTCGCACTGCCATGCGTGCACTGCGTGCCAGCGCGCGCTTGTCGCATGGCGCCTGGGAGTCCGCTGCACCAAAAAGCCACTTTAGGGCCTTGTTTGGAATGTCACGCCGGGGCGAGGGAGAGTCGTCGCCAAATGTTTTCGACTCGAGTTTGAGGAGGCTCATTCGCGGATTACCGCTGCTGTACACAGTGCCTCGTTATCCCGGATTAGTTGGCAGGAGTACCATGTGTGCCGAAGGGTTCAGATAAACCAATTGGAGGCACAGACCCGCAAGATCGACCTTCCCTCGCCTCCCTCGCCGCGTGACCTCCGTGCAGAATCCCGACGGGGCGAGGCCGTCGCCGTGCCCTCCCAGAAGGCGGGCTGTCGCACGTCGATCGCCGATGTCCTGTCAGTCAACATCGAGGCGGTCCTGGGGGTCCCGGGGGCGTGGCGGGGAGCGCCGCGGGACCTCCGCGACGGCGCGGCGCGGTGCGCGCCTGGTCACTGCGGGGGCCGGCGGGGCCCTCCGCTCCGCGGCCACTGTCTGCCAGTCGGCTACCACTCGCGCTCGGCATCGCTTCGGCCCCCTCCGGCTCCTCGTTCGCACGGTTCGCGCCACTCTCGGCCCGCGCGCCCCTCAAGGCCCTCATCGCCAGGACACCCCGGCGGACGTCGCCGGCGACCCCCAGCACTCCAGCCAACGTGAGTCGCCGGCGGCAGTGCGGCATGCGGCAGGCCGACGGTGTGGGTTGTTTCCAACCCGCCCCCAACGGGCCCAACCCCCACCGCCAGCAACGCGAGTGCCGGCGGGCACCCCCGGCAGTACCGGCGCGGGTCTTCGACCTCAACGGCCTTCCCGATTTCCGTGTCGTCGTACCTCGCGGACTCTCACCCAAAGTGCCGAAATTCAAAGAGACGAACCGAAGCGCCAACCCTTTTAAGAAGCAAACTTGCGCAAAGCTTGTCACTTTCCCACCGCTGCCGCCGCGGGATGCAGACAGTCCGCCGGAGACACCGCGAGCGCCAAGTGACTGACCCTGTTGTTGTTGTGCCGCGGGCTGGCGGGGCTGGCGGGGTGGCGGGGAGGCTGGCTCTCCGATTTCCGATTCGAAACGTCCCGCCATAGTTTTTCTGGCCATTATGTCACGCCCGCGGCGTCAGGCGGCCAGGTCGGCGTCACGGCCTCCTCGCGGACAAGCCGGCCACCATCGTGGCGGCGGGGGTGGCGGTGGCCGCTTGCACTACTGCCGCGCCGCGCACTGCCGGCGAGGTGGCCGGCGTGGTGGGCAGCATGGCGGGCAGCGTGGTTCACGTGTCGTCGCTCTGAATAAACGCATTCGGGCCGCGGGAAACCTACAGTGCGTCGTGTGTCTGGGCGGATAGCGCTCGCGCGCCGCGGGTCAGCAGGCTGGTTTCGAACGGTGCGTTCGTCGCTCTGTCTCTCTCACACTCATGGGGCGTCCCGCATGGGCGCGAGGGAGAGTGACGAAAAATCTACTTGGCGCGGTCGGCTGCGGAGCGGACTTCACTCGGCCTCGCTGGGGATACGCAGTTCACGCCGCCTGTTTACAATGTCTCAGATCGAAGTCCCGCCACCCTCCAACCTCCTCCAGCCCGCGGGCTTTCCCTGCTGATTCCGATCAAAAGTGGCGCGGTGTGACAACAAATTTGGTTGCGTGTTTTCCTTCCCTTTGGCCGTTTTCGGTCTGGCGGCGGTGTGCAAGTCGTCCTCGAGTGGCCGAACGCCGGACGGGCAGTAAGCGCGTTTACTAAGTTGTTGGCCGACAAGGAGAGGTGGGGGAAATGGGTCGCCAATCGGCCGTCATCGGCAGCGGCAGCGGCACGCGCTCCCGGTGACTAGATTGTGCAGTGCACCACAGGTGGAAGTGACGCCAGGGGCGTCGCCACAAATTCCAAGTGCCGCAATCTATGCTATCCTATAGATCACTCGCTCGCTTTGATTGACTTCTTATTCCTTATTTTTCCCACGACCTCGGCGCGGATGCGTGCGGGGACGCGTGTCGCCGGGTTGTCGAGGTTGCATATTCATGGTCTGCAGGCTGGTTCCGAGAGTCGTTTTCGTCGCTCCGTCTCCCTCGCATTCTGCGGGACGCCCCGTGAGTGCGAGAGAGACAGAGCGACGGAAACGCCTCACGGAATCAGTGTGCTGGCTGTGCCGGCCACCGCCCTGCACTGGGCGAGGGAGGACTAGGGGCGGCGGGCGGCAGGGATTGCTGCAGGCTGATGCCGAGCACTGCTTTCGTCGCTCTGTCTCTCTCGCACTCGCACAGAACGACCCATGAGTGCGAGAGAGACAGCCATGGATCTTTGCCCTTCGCCCTCCGACGCCTTTGCGGATTCTCTGAAGTCGCGGAACTCTCCCTCGCGTTGATGAACGCGCGACACTCTTCCACACTTGGCCGCGGCACTCGACGGCCAAGGACTCGGGGAGCGGGCTTGCTTCGCTTGCTTCGCTTGCTCATGCTCTGATCGGGCGCGGAACTTTTTGTCCAATTCGTTGGAGAGGCTTCAGCCGGCCGGCCGGGCCAGGTCGCCGAGTGGCGGTGGCACAACGATACCACGTGCCACCGCGCCGCGCCGTGCCGCGCCGTGGAGTAGGTGGAGGGCTCGCCGCGGTTGCCGTGCTTGCATGGCTTGCAGAGCGCGCCCGGCGATGAACGAACGGCGACACAAAACGGTGCATGCTTTCAAAGTAATTACCCTGCTTCCCAGTAACAACACACTCACACGGGCGCGCACACATACACACACATACACGCATACACACACACACACATACATACACACACACACACAGACATACACACTCATACACACACATACACACACACATACACACACACATACACACATATATACACACACACACACACATACATACATACATACACACATACACACACACTCACTCACACAGCGCGTCGAGCCCGCCCCGTGTCAACTCGCGCAAAGTCCTCAATAAACCGAGCCGTCTGCACGAAGGCAACGAAGGCTGTGTCGGCGGGCGCGCGACGTCGCGACGTCACAGCGAAAAAACAACAAACGAGATCCCTGCCCGCCGCGTCCCGTGTCGTGTGCACTCTCTTGCATGCGAATCGCATCATCCCTGCCTTTTTCCTTTTCGTGCGAATTCTGCGTCGGCGGGCAGGACGCGCGTCGCGGAGGAGAGCTGTAGGGCCGCCGGAGAGTAGGGCAGGGAGGCAGAGGGTAAACAAGGAAATGTGCGAATGCAGCAGATAAGCGCGTGTCGATGCCGCGGACGCCGCGTGACGAGGACGCGGACTGTCCCCACCCCACCCCACCCCCGCAGCAGCCCGGCGTGGCCCGGACGCCCCGCCCGGCGCCCCCGTTCCCTTGGACCATTTCCCTCATTAACCTGGCGTCGCTTCGGCGCTGCGCACTACCACTGTGAGAGCTGCCCGCACTCGGCCATCCCGCCATGACCGTCATCAAGTCCTTGGCGACCGCCGCCGCCCCCAGCAGAGGTAACCGTCATCCCCCGAGGGGGCGGCCGATGCAGGCTTGCGGCATGTATCGCTTTTCAGCGCGGTCATCACGCTCGATTCGAGTCCGAGCGACTGGCCCCCTCGAGGGCGGCCCGGCCGGCAGGCTGATGCCGTCGCTCTATCTCTCTCGCACTCACGCGCCGCAAGGGTGCGAGAGAGACGGAGTGACACCGAGTGCCACTCGACGACTCTAAGTGATAAATCAAGGATGCGGTCGGCAAGGAGGTTTTTTGGCTGGGCGAAGTGAAGGCGCGGCGAAGGGGCTCGCCTCGGACCGAGCCTCGGACCGGCCGGCGGCACGGGGCGGCACGGCAGCATACGCCAGCCGACGGCACGGGGACGGCCGGGACCGTTTGAGCTGGTTTCGGTCGGCCCGCCCCGCACCAAACGGGCAAGCCTGTATTTGCGTACGGCGTGATGATGGCGCGAGGCCGCGGCCACGGCCCTGCGGACTGCTTCCAAGGGTTGTTTTCGTCGCTCTGTCTCTCTCGCACCTGTAAGGGACGCCCCATGAGTGGGAGAGAGACAGAGCGACGAAAGCGACTCTCGGAATCAGTCTGCAGGGCCCAGGCCGGCGCGCTGCTTCAGGTGAAGCTCGGCGCGTTGGCCGCGTCAGTGCGTCACACGCACCGGGGGGTTCGAACGGCGGTGTCTTGGAGATCGGCGCGCTGACGTCACGCTGCAGCCTGCCAGCCAGCCTGCCAGCATGCTGCCAGCGGTCCTGCGGGATTACCCACCGGCCGGCCGTGGTGGGTGCGGGTACCGCTGCGCCCGAAGATAAACAAACGTCTCTTTTTATTGTTACAGGTTTTAAAATGGAACCTCAAAAGGGATATTCCCTGGAAATGAGACCCCCTCCCTCACCACCTCCCCACTTTGGGCTTAAAAGGTAAGTTCTCGGACCGCCGCACCGCGGTGGCTTACTCGTTTCGTTTTTACTTTTAACCTTGGCAACCTTTAACGCCTGCCTCCCCACCTGTTTGCACTCTAGGGGGGTTCAGGTCGAGCCCGTGTCAGTGTACACGGTCAGCAACTCGGCCCTGATCCCCGTGGAGGCGGTGGAGACACCGTCGGAGGAGGCGTACGATCCGTACGACAACCGCAAGGTTGAATACCCGACCACGTGAGTACTCGTCTGGAGAACAAGAGCAGGGGAAACACATGCGCAGCGCGACAGGGACGCCTGCGAACCTCGGGGTAGGCCATCCCGCGTCGCTCCGGCGCGCAACGGGCGGGTTCGCCCGGCAGGCGCTGGACGGGATATCCCGCCGTTGACAAGCGGTGGACACTGGCGGGGCAGCGCGCTCTCGAGGGCCGCCAGGGCCGCCAGGGCCGCGCGCCGGGCAGCGCTGTCGCGGCGGACAGGCGTCCCTGTTGACGGAGCACTTGACCAAGAGCGGGCCGTAACTGGACGGCCCGGGCAATCCGGGCATGGCAACGCGTTCGCGACGCGTTGCACGGCGGGCGGGAAGGTCGAGCGATACGCGAGAGCGAGAGAGAGCGCTGTCCGAGAGCGCAGCGCGGCAGCGGCTTTCCAGGCGATAAAGTCAAGTCGGCGTTCCGCATTCCTCGCTTCCTGGTGTCCCGGTCGGTCCTGGTCGCGGAGGCAACTATGCCGAACGGCTCTCGTTTCGTCTACGACTCGCCGATGACGTTGGCGCTGTACGGATCTGGAGCTTGTTTGTCGGGCTGAACGCGGCACGCGACCACGCCCCGTTGTCACTCCTTTTTTTCGCGCATCTTTAACTGCCGCCATGAGTTTGCTTGATAATCGTCCTGGCGTGTCAGATCGCGGCAGGTACACTGTCATGCCCTCCTCCATACTGTCCGATCGTGTTTGACGAGCGGCCCGGGCGGCACGCACCGGGCGGGAAAACCGTGGGGAAAACAACACTGTAAAACGGCGTGAAGCTTTGGCGGTGGCGGACCCAGAGGCGGCCTTTTCGGGGGGCAAAGTAGCACTTTTTGCCTACTTACAGGGCCAAAGCACGGCTTTTTGACCACTTACAGGGACAAAGCATGGCTTTTTGACCACCTTTCAGGCGGCTATTTGGGTGTCATGGGAAAGCAAAACCCCCTTGCCTCCTCCCCTTGTGTCCGCGCCTTAGCTTAGGAAGTGGTAATTAATTCGCCGCGATTGAAATGCGGCTGTCTCCAGGTGGCCGCGGGGCAATCTTTCGGAAGAGTTGAGATAAGGACATCATTGTTTATGATAGTCGCGCTATCTCTGAGAGTAATTGGAGTGACCCAAAGAAAAATGGGTAAATCTTCCGCTAATGGAGATCGCCGCACCGGCTTCTCGATCTCTAATCGGTTTAGAAACGGTTTCACTTGGCCGCGGGAGTTGCGGGGTTCAGAAGTTTGGCCGGGAACACGCGACTCGATAAAAAAGGGAAGAGGCTCGTGCGGGTTATTCGGTGAGTCATCGGCCGACGGATGCACCTAGTGCGGAGGGCCCTCAGGCATGCAGACACGTGCTGCACGTGCCCGTGCAGCCCAGTGTCGGAGCTAGAGGCGGCCTGAGGGGACCGACAACGTAGCACTTTTTACCCACTTACTGGGTGAAGTGTTTTTGAACGATTTACGCGGCTGTCTAGGGGTGGGGGCAATTGTTCCCGCGCCCCCTCTGGATCCACGCTTGGTGCGGCGTGCTGCGAGGGTGCGAGAGAGACAGAGCGACGAAGCACTGCGTAGTGGGTCTGCCGCCGTCCTCGCCGGCCCCTTGGAGGTTAAGTTGCTCCAGATCAATGCGACCAGTCATGGGCGGCGGGCACGGCGTGCGCATCGACGCCGCGAACCTCCTCCCCTTGACGCGTCTTGGCGGCTTGGCGCGGCGCGAGGCTGCCGACTCCGGAGAGTCCTTTTCGACGCTCTGTCTCTCTCGCGCACGTGTGGCATTCCCTGAGGTGCGAGAGAGACAGAGCGTCGGAAAGGACTCTCGGAATCAAACTGTTGGCGGCGTGGACATGTCGCGGCCTTGAGCGGCCTGCTCGGCCTGCTCACCTTCCGGCTTACTGCTGGACGCCGCTGCAACGGATTCGTCGCTCCGTCTCTCTCGCACCGCCGCGACACGCCAACGAGTGCGAGAGAGACGGAGCGACGACAGCATTGTCATTGGAATGATTCTGCTGGACGCCCTCGTCGGCGACGCGGTGCGGCCTGGCGGCACTTTTCCGCCCAAAACGCCAAACGGCGCCTTTGTTCTCCGCCTTCCGGTTCTCGTTTCCCTGTTCCCCGAGGCGCGCGTTCACTGCGTGCGCTAAGCGGCGCCCGTAAAAATGAGAACGAAAAGGAAAATAAAAATGTCGCTCAGAACTAATAGTCCGGCGCGGAGTGACTGCGAGTGACGGGCTGTAAATTCGCGGCCCTCGCTCTGCGCCGTCGTGGTTAGGCCGCGCAAACGCGCGGAACGGCCTGCCGGGGACCTTCCGCCTCGCCTGGGGGCGGCCCCACCCCACAGTGGGCCAGAAGACCAGTGGAGGCGGCTGAAACTCGGGACGCGTTTCGAGCTCCAGAGTAGCCAAACAGGACTCGAACTAATCGTGACCCCACCAATGGATTCCTCGTTTGGAGAGCAACCTATTGGTGGGGTCAAACGTTCGGGTTCGAGTCCCATTTAGCGACTCCAGAGCTCAAAACGCGCCTAGAATTTTGGCCGCCTGCACTGGCCTTCTGGTCCACCATGCGGCACGCGGACGGTCTGGCGGTGGCTTTGGGCTCTTGTCCTCCCGCTGACAGCGTCCGTTCCGTGTTGCAGCAACTTCGAGACGTGGGTGCACATGCTCAAGGGCAGCCTCGGCACGGGGGTGCTGGCGATGCCCAACGCCTTCAACAACGCCGGCCTCCTGGTCGGCACGCTCGGCACCATCATCATCGGCTCCGTGTGCACCTACTGCCTCCACGTGCTGGTGAGTCCGACGCGCCGGTGTGGAAGCGCGCCTCGTGCGACTGGTTGTTTCTAAAGGGCTCTCTTGATCCTTGCTTGCCGTCCAGCTGCGCTGCCAGTACATCCTGTGCCGGCGCGCGCGCGTGCCCATCCTCAACTACCCCGACACGCTGCGCATGGCCCTGGAGTCCGGCCCCGTGCCCCTGCGCCGTTTCTCTCCCTACGCCACGTAAGTCTTGGAACCTCACTGGAAAATCATGAAGTAAACCGAGACGAGGGCCTTCCAACCTGATGCTTTGTTCTCCGGCAGGGCCCTGGTGGACACGTTCCTCGTGGTGTACCAACTGGGCATATGCTGCGTGTACATCGTGTTCGTGGCGTCCAACGTGAAGCAGGTCATGGACTACTGGGTGCAGCCCGTGCTCCTGGAGTACTACATGCTGGCTCTGCTCTTGCCGCTCGTCCTGCTTAACTACATTCGCAACCTCAAGTACCTGGCGCCGCTCTCTACGCTGGCCAACGGCGTCACCTTCGTCGGCTTCGGCATCATCCTCTACTACATCTTCTCCGCGCTGCCCAGCCCCTCGGTGCGGCCGCTCACGCAGCCCGTGTCCTCCTTCCCGCTCTTCATCGGCACCGTGCTGTTCGCGCTCGAGGCCGTCGGCGTGGTGAGTAGCCCTCGTCCTACAGAAGACCGGCGGAGGCTGTCAAAACCCCTGATGGGTTTTGGGCTCCCAGAGCCGCTAAATGGGACCCGAATCGACCGTGTGACCCCACCAATGGATTGCTCTCCAAACGAGGATTTCATTGGTGGGGTCACACGCTCGGTTCGAGTCCTGTTTAGCGACTCTGGAGCTCAAAACGCCTCTGGAGTTTTGGCCGCCGGCGCCGGTCTTCTGGCCCACTGTGCGACTCGCGAAGTGACGCGCCGTGTCGGTTATCGTCCGGAGCTTAATCGAGCCTTGACTGCGCCGTGCCGCGCCGTGAGCAGGTCATCGCCCTGGAGAACAACATGAAGACCCCGCGCTCGTTCCCCGGCCCCACCGGCGTGCTCAACAGGGCCATGGTCGTCATCGTCGCCCTGTACACCATCATGGGCTTCTTCGGCTACGTCCGCTACGGCGACAAGGCCATGGGCTCCATCACGCTCAACCTGCCGCCCGCAGACATGTGAGTCGAGACTGAGAACGCGCTGCTATTCGACGAACGTGACGTCATATTCGCCAAAATGTGAATTTTGTCATGTTCGTTTGAGCGCGATGCCACACTTGAAATGTTGAGCCACGTTCCAGGGAATGCGACATCATATTCAAACGAACGTGACAAAATTCACATTGCAACGAACATGACGTCACATTCTGACGAATGAAAGAGTGTGCTTTTGGGTTTGTAAATCGACCAATGGCGTGCAGCTAATCCTTTGTTCGGCGCTTCCAGACTGGCCCAGATATGCAAGCTCATCTTCTCGCTGGCCATCTTCATCACCTACGCGCTGCAGTGCTACGTGCCCCTGGACATCCTCTGGGAGCAGCGCCTCAAGCGCCGCCTGGAGAAGAGCAACCACCTGCTGCTGTGGGAGTACGTCTTCCGGACGGCCATCGTCATCGGCACCTGTAAGTCCTGACCCGCACAGTGGGCCAGAAGACCGGTGGAGGCGGTGAAAATCCCAGACTCGTTTTGAGCTCCAGAGTCGAACCGAACGTGTGACCAATGGATTGCTCTCCGAACGAGGAATCCATTCGTGGGGTCACACGCTCAGTTCGAGTCCTGCTTAGCGACTCTGGAGCTCAAAGCGCGTCTAGTGTTTTGGCCGCCGGCGCCGGCCTTGCGGCCCACTCCCTGCCGTTGTGTGCGGCAGCCTTGTTGTCGTTGGCTGACGCCATGCTGACGCCATGCTGACGCCGCCCCCTGCTCTGTGCCGCAGTCGTGCTGGCCGTGGCCGTGCCGCGCCTGGAGCTCTTCATCTCGCTGTTCGGCGCGCTGTGCCTGGCCGCCCTCGGCCTGGTCTTCCCCGCCATCATCGACATCTGCGTCCACTGGCCGCACATGGGCCGCCACAACTGGCGGCTCGTCCGCGACCTCGTCATCTTCGTGTTCGGCCTGGGCGCCCTCGTCGTCGGCAGCTACGTGGCGCTCAGGGACATCATCCTGTCCCTGCTGTAGGTGTAGTCGCGCCCCTGTTAGTATACTCCAAACTGTGTAAAACACGTCGTGCATGAGAAAAGACGACTCCACTCGTAGCTGTGTACACAGGCGCCTTTACGAAATTTAGTGTGTAAAGTCTTGTAGAGAGATGCAGCCGATGCAGCCGTTTGCTTAGGACGGTTTTTTTTCACCAGGCAATAAGTGGTGCACGTTCGCTGGTCGAAGTGCTGGTTTGTTACTCTGAGTAGTGGAAATTCTGATCGATACGGCGGTTGGCTTTCATTGCATTAGTCTCTAAATGTTATTTGAAATTCCATGTAATCTAGTTTATCGTTCTTTCTTAGTGCTAATACGTTTAGAGAAAAGTGTTGTCGTTTGATTGGTTACACCGCCGTACAAAGTATGTGATTGTAGCATAGTATTATTGTCCCACATTTCATCCCCGGGAAGGCACCGCTGTCTCCCCTTAGCGCTGTGGCTGTTGTGGGACAACAAGCGTGCCATGGTCGCGCTGATGAAAATAGCAAGTATTCCTCATCGTGCACTTTTCAGCACTTTTCAGGCACGCTCTTGGCCGCCTAGTTGTAAATCCATTAAATATACATACTGACTGATGCGGGTTTTTGTTCTTAGGTCCTGTAGTAGTGTTGTCATAATAATGTCTAGATACGTTTAGATTGTTTTAAAAGCGAATAAATGCAGTTAGATTGCATGACATTGTGATATAATGCTAATGACATATTTTCTGTTGTGATTGTGACTGGAAATACATTTCTACAAAAAATAATAATAAGAGAGCTGGAAGGGAGCTGAAAGTTTCGAGTTTGTCCTCCACCCGATCTGCCGGCAACAAAAGCACCGTATCTACGAAACGAACCCTCCGGCTGCCGCGCGGGAAAATTCAAAAACCTTTCCCGCGCATTTCCCGGCGCTTTTGGAGCCGTCGCTGTCCCACGCCGACGGACCACACCATGGCCGATGAGTACGATCCGTACTCGGCGCGCTCGGGCCACGCCATGACCAAGTAGGATACCCCGACACACTCGCCCTGTCCTGCAGGCTGATTCCGAGAGTCGTTTTCGTCGCTCTGTCTCTCTCGCGCCTACAGGGGACGCCCCATGAGTGCGAAAGAGACAGAGCGACGGGAACTACTCTCGGAATCAGTGTGCAGTCCGAGTTCCGTCTGGCCGCCGTCTGGATTTCGAGTGTCTCTGTACTCAGAGGGCGCTATTGGCCGCAGCAATCTGGAGACGCTGATCCACTTGGTCAAGTCCTCCCTGGGGACGGGCATCCTCGCCATGCCCAAGGCGTACAGCCACGTGGGCCTGGCCGAGGGTATGGTCCTGGTGTACGTCATGGGGGCCTTCTGCGTGTACGGGCTGCACATCCTGGTAGGACACTGGTAGGACTCTTGGAGCGCTGCAGGCTCATTCCGAGAGTCGTGTCCCTCTCGTACTTGTAAGGGACGCCCCATGAGTGCGAGAGAGACAGAGCGACGAGGACGACTCTCGGAATCAGTCGGCTGCTTCCGCGGCCTCCTTTGCGAGCTACTACCCCGCACGGGCGTGGCGGTGCCTGGCGGTGCCTGGCGGTGCCCCCAGGTGGACAACCTCCACGAGGTGTGCAGGAACCAGAAGGTGCCCGTGCTGCAGTACGGCGACGGTTTCCAGGGCGCCGTGGCCATGGGCCCCAGTTGGCTGCAGCCCCTCCGAGCGCCCAGTGTGTGAGTGCGGCGAATGGGGCACCCGGTGCACCGACCCAAAGTCCGCCGGCCTCGAGCGGCCAGAACACTCATTCCCGTCCCCGTTCCAGGTACGTTGTCGAGTTCTTCCTGTTGACGTACCAACTCGGCATCGGCTGCATATACGTGGCGTTCGCGGCGAAGAACCTGGCCTCGGTAAGGACCGGGCAAGTCAGTTGAGTCGAGGGATGCTTTGCAGGTTTCTCAAGGTGAATTTGCAGACCGTCTTGAAGGATGGTAAGCCGAGAGATAACCCTCATCACTTTGAGAACGGTGTCGGGCTCGCAGAGGGTCCCAAGTATTAGGGGCTGCCTTCGCCGCCTTGCCCAAGCCCGCCGGGCATTGAGCACACACTGGACCTCCCTCCTGGACACCGCCCGTCGTTGCCGCGTAGGTGGTGGTCGGGGACGACCGCGGCGACGGCAAGCTGGACGTGGCGTTCATGGCGGGCGTCACCGCGGTGCTGCTGCTGCTCACGCAGATCCGCAGCCTCAAGGTGCTGGCGCCCGTGTCGCTGGCCGCCAACCTCAGCATGCTGTTCGGCCAGGTGCTCATCGCCACCTACCTGCTGCGTGACCTGCCCCCCGTCGCGTCCAGGCCCCTCTACGGCCCCGCCAGGGGGCTGCCGCCTTTTGCGGGGATCGTACTGTTCGCCATGGAGTCCCTGGGCGTCATCATCTCTCTGGAGAACAACATGGCGGACCCCGCGGCCTTCACGGGCCTCTGCGGCATCCTGAACGCCGGCATGGCCGTGGTCATCACGCTGTACGCCGTCGTGGGCTTCTTGGGCTTCTACCGGTACGGCGCGGAGGTGGCCGACGTCATCACCCTCAACATGCCGGATGACTGGTGCGTCGCACTAGACTCTCGCTCCGCCCGAAAGAAAAGCTAGACTTTGAAAGTTGACCCCGGTTTTAGGGGCGGTCGGGCTGTGAAGGTTGTGTACGCCGCGGCCATCGTGCTGACGTACCCGCTGCAGGTGTGGCCCGTGCTGGAGATCACCTGGGAGAAGTACGCCGCGCGCTGGCTGAGTGACTCCCAGGGCGACGGCGAAGGCCGCGGCCGGTGGAACTGGCTGTGGGAGACCATGTACAGGTCCCTGCTCGTCCTGCTCACCTGTGAGTGCCATGTCGGTGCCCAGGCCTAGGCCGGGCCTATAGCACTGGTGTTGCCAGCGAAGTGGCCACGCTTGGGGCACGATGCGCACGACGTGTCCTTCCTGAGAAAAGTTTTCTGCCGCAGTCCTGATCGCCATCACCCTGCCGAACCTCGATTTCATCATCTCCCTCTTGGGGGTATTCTGCTTGTCCATGCTAGGCATCACCTTCCCCGCGCTCATGGAGGTAGGAACCAAGTTAGCAGAAGAAAATGAAATAATAAACTTTCTTAAAGAAAAGTTTATATATTTTAAAAAAACGCCGATTTGACTAGCCAAGCTGTTGCCCTACACATTCCTATTGCAGATGTGTACATACTACGAGAAAGGTTATGGCAAGCTGAAATGGACGCTGTTCAAAGATATAATAATCGCAAGTATAGGTATCTTCGTTCTGATTGTTGGCCTTTGGACCAGCGTTGTGGACTTGCTCGCCGCGGATGGACAATAAAGGATGCGATTCTTGAGTGACCTCAAGATAATGCCGCTTCGCATGTTTGGCGCACAACTTCGAATATGGCAGGCTTACCCGCCGCTCCCGAAAAACGCGAAAAACGGTTTGGCGGGAGCAGAGCCGCCAACATTCATTAACATGGCTTGCGACGAAAGTTTCAAGTGAGGTGTCGTCACTGGTGAAAACTGCCATGAATTTAAAAGAAGATTTAGAGAAATCGGTAAATTAAGCTCCTGAAAAATAAAGGCGAACTACGATTTCATCGTTGTAATTTGAATTTAAACCGAATCACACGTCAACTTCAAGTTGGCAGTGGAATCGAACCATTTATTTTCGATTGGTGATGTTTACTTGCCTTGTCGACTTGTTTTCTTGGGAAAGAGGATTTGTTTTGCTAATCAGAGCCAAACATAAGATTTTTACGGATATTTGTCTTCGCACGAGGTATGTTGAGCCAGACGATCAAGTTGCTTTTTGAGTTTAAATGTTTGTTTACATGCGTTTGAGATAACATAACCTCTTCTCTTGTTGTACCTTTTCTGTGGGTTTGCCTGCTTAATTTATAAACTGTCTCCTTGTGTTGACGTTTGCCTATTTTTTGTGAATACAAACACTTCTTCATCGACTTCTCACTTACTAAGTCTGTCCTCTCATCTTAATCGTGACAATCGATGATGTTATGATATTTTTAGGGGACCACTATCTACATTCTATTATTCATGTTTTTGCCCTTGCCTTCAGGAAATGGAAAGCGGCACGACGGGCAACTCAGAACAAAACTCCAGTTTGCAACTCTCCTTTCCTACTCCTCAGAGTGTTATACAAACATGTGAGTTGAAATCATTTCGCATAACCATGTTGATTTTATTAATTGTAGTGCTGAGAGCGTTGTTGTGTGGTTTTTAGGTAGACAGAAAATGTCCACAGCTCCGATGCTTCTGAACTTCTCAAACTTTCCGACCATTTCTTCTGCACAATTAAAATCGATGCTGTCTCAGCAGTGCGTTATTCAGCCAAATCCATCAGCTTCTAATCAGCAGGTACATTGTCCACACAATTTCCCTTATCACTTTCAGAACCTTCTGAAAATCTTTTGCTAAATGAAATAACATTATCTGTTCTTAAATATGTGTCTATGTGCTTATATCTTCTTTTCAATTTTTGCCAAACAAAATATTTAACAGGTGTTGCAAACTTCACAGCTAACAGATTCCAAAAATCCTAGTGTAGGAAATGCCAAACAAATTTGTGACACTGTTAAAGACTCAGCTGATGTTAGTCTAGAGTCAACTCAAGAACAATATGAATGGAGTGATGACAAGAGCATGAAGTGGATTGAGGTGAATGCCAAATCATTGGAAGCTGAGACTTCAATTATCAACGACGATAGTGAAGTAAGGAATAGTCTTAAGGACTTTTAGACCTGTATGTTCTGCTCAATATTGCTTTTCTCCGCTCATTGTAATTTTTTAACTTTTTTACTTATAGGTTGAAATCCTTCTAATGGATGATACTTTAGGGACGACATCCTCCACTGCCATGCACACTTACAGTACGTATTTTAACTTGGCTTGTTGTATCAGTTTTGCCTGTCTTGTGGAACTCTCATTATTCCATATAATGTTTTCAATTCTTTTCAAATTGTATCTCATATTTTTCATTTTACTCAGGCAAAGTCCCTGTAATCGAGCATGGCAGAAACCAACAAAAATCTCCAAAGAAAAGAACAAAGAAATCTAGCAGGTCTGTTGTTGATTAGTAGTTGAACTGAACATTTCATGAATGCTACCATATTTGGACATTTTCATTTATGAATATTGCTATTTGCAGCTCTGAAAAGAATTCTGCGAATCTTATTGAGCAGGTTGAGTGCTACAAATGCAGATTTTGTATGTTCTTAAGTCTAAGTGAAGAGGCTGTGGCAGCTCATGTTGAACAAGAGCACTCATCTCAGATTCCAACAGAGGTAAGATAATTGAGCTTTCATTTTTACCAGCCTAATCAAAATAAAGTTTGGGTGGTAAAAAACATAAAATTTATCTTTCAGAGTAATGGTAGTATGCAGTGTCCTGGCTGCAGTAATATATTTTTCTCACAAAAGTCATTGAGGGTTCATTTATCTGAAGATCACAATGTTGCTCAAGAAGAGTTGGAGCATATTTTGAGTACTTTCCAAACAAATGATGGCGGAGTTTTGAAAAATCAGAGTAATCTGGAAAGTGATTTAAGGCATGATGAAGAACAAATATCTCTCAATGCGTGTAATGAAGTTATTGCCGACGAAATGAATAATCACTGCTACAGTGGTGATAAATCTTCTGACATTCAGCCACTTAAGTCAACTTGTCTGAAAAAGGGCTCTCCTGTGCCACCTCAGAGAAGTACAGGTAAATAGAGAACTGTTTCCTTACCTCTATTGAAATCTTTATTTTGCATTAAACTTGTGCTCAGTATTTGCTCTTTGTACTTTATAGCTTTGCGAAGAAGTGTAATGCAAACAAATGCAGCTCTTCCTGATGAAACAGGGAAAATTCGTGTACGTAAGATGTCAACACTGGAAAAATCCCTTAAAAAAAACACAAAAGTTGAGGTTGTGATTAATAGCTCCCCACCAGCCCAAATTAATTTAGCAGAAAGTCATGAAGATGCTAGTGGGGATGACCACATCCCTATGGATATGCAGTACGATATTGAATCCATGCAAATATTGGATATCCCTCTAGGCCATGATTCTAATGAGTCTCAAGATCCAGGCGACCAACAATTAAATCCATCACACTCAGAGAATGACAATTCATTACTGCCATTAGGCCAAGACGACCGAGAGCAATATTGTAATGCGTCACCTCCATCTTGTGATGCTATAATAGATGAAATTTGCCAAGAAGAAGTTTTGGATAGCGTTCTATATGTTCAGGGTGGTGATCTGCTTGATGATCGGGATTCCCCCATTGTTGTATGTTTTGCGGCTTCGCCAAACAATATTTCAGGCAAGTGCACTTCTGTTTAATGAGTAAAATCTCTCTTTAATACAAAAAATTATTGGTGAGGTGCATACTAACAGTTGTTCTTTCTCACCTTCTCTCCATGAAAACCATTTGTGAACCCTCAGAAGATAGTAATGGGTATGATATTCAAACAGAGGACAACGCCTCTACAACCTCAGAAGGGCCAAGTCTGGATAATAGCTCAGAGCGAATAGTTTTGAGTAGTTCCTCATTTTTCGATGGAACAGATATAGTCGGACCTGCTGGTAAAAAACTTGTTAAACGAGGCTTTGTAAAGAAAACTTCACCTACAAAATCCCGTGTGAAAAAGCCTAAGGTTTTAAAGAATGACCCCAAAATAGAAGAGGGACGAACAATAGTGGGCTATAAGTTTGTATCTTCCATGATATTGACTATTGGAGTTTTTTGAAATTTTTGTGCTTTTTAATAACCAGCTGTTATTGTCTGCAGATGCGGTGCTTATGGGTGTACAGTTCGCATGCGCTCATATGAAAATGTGAAATATCACCAGCGCTGTCATGTAGAAGGTCATATTTCTGAAATTACCTTGAAAGATGCAGCAGATGAAAATATTCCTGAATCAAAAAGAAGACGAACTGTTAACAGCAAACATACTTTTGACTGTCCTGAGTGCTCTTTGGGAATGCATTCGTGGAAGCTTATGAAAAGTCACCTTTGGAAGTCGCATTCTATTGACATGGAACTTTATACCTGTGATCAATGTGGTTACAAAACCCCAAGGTGCTGGATCCTAATTTTTTTATTTAATCTTATCTCATCAAATACTGTTTTTGGGTTCACCTTTAAATTAATGTTTTGATTTTCTTCTATATTTTGTGCAGTCTGAGTAACATGAATAACATCCATGTTAAAATCCATGGATCTGAGAAACCTTACTTGTGTGATACCTGTGGCAAGGGCTTCAAGACGACCAAGCAACTTGGAAACCATAAGGTTTGTTTTACGTTAGTCTCAGAAAACAGCACAATTTCAAGAAACTTGTCAACATAGTATTTATATTTCTTTGATATTTTCAGGTTATTCATTCACGAAAGGAATCAGGATTGCAGACATGTGACACATGTGGACGCACATTCCATACCAATCGAATGCTCAGGAATCACATCAACACAGTTCACAATAAAGTTCGACCTTATATGTGCAGTGAGTGTGGACACACTGCAGCTAATCGAAGCTCCCTCAAAATGCATTTGAGACAACATACAGGTAATTGAAGTACTGCATTGTTGTTCTTGAAAATGTTTTTTGAATTTGACTTATGATTTATATCTTTTAACTTGACATCTAGGTGATCGACCATATGAATGTGATCAATGTGAATACACAACTGCAGATCACAACTCTCTAAGGAGACACAAAAAACGCCACACTGGAGACAAGCCATACAAGTGCCCATTTTGTACATATGCTTGCATTCAATCTAGCACATACAAAGTGCACTTACGGTCAAAACATCCTGGTGAGCATTCAGGGAGACCAGTGGCTGTATTAAAATATTAATAACTTGATTAATTTAATTATCTTGTCTGTTTGCATATATTTTCAGGCCAAAATCTTGGGTTGATGTTTAGTTGTAAAAAATGTTCTTTTCATTCGGTGAATCATGATATTTATTTAGCACATACTGCAGAACATGATATAGCAGAATCGAGTGGCATTCCGTTTAAAACAGCCCCTCGACCAACTCATAGAAGGGTAAGTTATACTTGATCTGTTCTATCCTAATCCTCATAGATTTATGTAATTATTAACAAAAACTTGTCCTGAAAAAAAACCCGATGTCGTTCAGACGGCCAAACATGTAAAAATATCTGATGACTCTCCCAGTGAAGAAATGCCCATATTTGTGAGTATTGCCACAGATGAAGCAGCTATTGACACTGATCAGCCAAATTTTGAGGCAAGTTGTTTTTGCTTATCTTCACTGAAATAAAAGTTTTTGAATCGTAGCTTATTCCAACTCAGATATATATATATTTTTTTTTGACTTGCAGAATATTGTGCAGCATGTATCAGAGGAAATTTTACCTGGAAGTAATTTGCATGTATTGTACAATTCGATTTCTCTCTCAGATCCTAATGTCAAAGTAAGCTACCTCACTTTTAATACCTGACAATACATTAATTATGTCGTTTGTAACTTACTTATCATTTCATGTGGTTACAGCAGACTCTTAGAGACTCGTCTACTTCGAAACCTGCTGTCTTAGAGGACCCAGTAGTTCACATTGTTCAAGATGAGTCTGAATTAGGGCTTGTTGAAGAGGTAAGTTGTGTCCGTTTACTATAGACCAGAGAGACAGCTTGGGAAATTTGAATGACACCAATTTATCTCCCCTTTTACAGAATGATGATCCAGATGCAATAATTGAGATACCCACTGAAGAATATGAATTTAAAGTTAAAGACACTGAAGCCCAGCTTGGTTAATTTTCACTTATTTGTGACTAATCTTGATAAGAAATGGCTGTGATATGGAACAGTATGTGATGTGCATTTGCACATGCTTTGTTTCTTCCTCATTTTACTAGAAATATAACTTATGGAACTAATGCATTACTTAGTGATCATGATTTTCAATGACACACAAGACGTTCCATAAACTTTCCACATCAAGTGTGCCCTTCAAATTGTTGTCTAGTCTGAAAAATCATTCAAGCGGGACTTCAATTGCAGTTTCTTTTCATTTCACCAGCTAAATTTAGTATTAGTTATAATATTTTAGCACATTACCATGTAATGTGATGATGGTTTTTTTGTACCTTGTAGAAATTGTGTATTTTTTCTAGGAAGCGCAATCAATCTTTGTTCGATGGTTGAATAAAGAAATATTCTTCAATATTACGCAACATGTTCCTGGTTATTGTTTTTATTTTGTCAGAACCCTCTGAGTCAGACAACCTTGATTTTTGGGGTACAACCATGGTACAACGAGCGACGAGGGCAGCGGCCTTTTCCCCTCCTCCAACATACTTCCCCCTCCCTACTTTATGCGTCAACAGTGGAACTTTCCAGTCAGCACTGTCTCCGGATTAGCATCAGGAGTGTCTTTGTCCAGTGCAGAGGTCAGAGTGAGAAGAAGCACTTTTGATGTTTTCGGGCGCAGCCCTCCGGTGTGGCGGTGGGAGGCGGTTGCCTAGCAACACAGTGCCCCCTCCACCGTGGTAGTTTCTAGAACGTGACGATCATCACGGCGTAACGGAGGTTATATATAGAGCCACGTCTCCCGCTTCAGCCTCATTTGGCGACTTCCCTTCAGCAGACGAGCACCCTCCGTGGTTTGGATTCGGGATTCGGCGTTCTTTTTTTAGAAGTCCTTCTCTAGGTCTGGCTCAACTCCCTCGAATAGCTGGCCGGGTAAAGGAGATCCGTTGTTTTAGAAGTGGCGCAAGTGGCGAGGAAGTTCTCAAGGTCTTTGGAGAGGTATTGTATAGTCATCATGGAGTTCGGTAGGTGGTTCTTCGATTCAGTATATATAGGTAATAATGAATATAATAGGCCGTCGCTTCATTTCATAATGGTCCCTTGCATACCATGACGTTTTTGTGCGTTACGAAGTACAGTAATGGGTACTTTTATATTGACCTTGACTTGACTGGTTATTGCGCAACATTATTTTGTCCCTTTCATATATTAACGTTTTATGGAAAGTCCCTCTTCTTCCTGAAAAAATGAGCTGCGCAAATTTGCTTTGGTTTCTGTACCTGGCAAAACCCCTTCTTGGCGAGCTTCTTATCGCCCATTGTAGTTAGGTGGGGTGGGGTATGAGCAGTCATGGCTCTATAAGCTCGGTTGACTCAGCTAAGCACTGCAGATGGTTTCAGGGATTGAAATGTTCGAAACTGGTGACGACCAAAGTATCTGACATTTTCTTTGTCTGATGTTCTGTCTCTGTGCTCAAATGCATTTCAACCATGACTGCTTAAATTTTTTAAAATTTACCAATATTTTTACATTTATTATTTGGATTTCGTGCCAAGGCTTGCCACAATGTGGCAGCCTTTGTTGTCAACTATTTCTTTTGTTTTACCCTAAGCGTAGCGTTGCGAGATGAGGATGTGCGATGCCAGAGCAGAAATGCCCGTCCCATCTGTCCGTGCACTGACATTTGGTTCCCACTCTTGGGCTGCGAGCCCCAGAGTTTGTCACTGCTGTTGCGAGTAACAGCCTCACCGTTCAACTCTGCTGTGCTTTTGTGGACTCTGAAAACCGGTTCATAGCAGCATTTCAAAGAGTCACTGGGAGCTGTTTAGAGAAGCCTTCAACCAGTTATCTTGGATGGGACCCACGTTTCTTCCGCAAGACAAGCACTTGTTGCAGTCTTCTGAAGTTTGGTGATTATTGAAAAGACTTCTATATCGTGCAACATTTATATGATCAGTTATTCAGTGTGTTGGTTAAAATTGTTGACTTTCTTACATTTTGATGTGAGGTGTCTTTTTTTAAAGTTATTTTTTTACTTTGCAATTGATTTTTAATCTATATGTATACTTCAGTTTAGACCATACATTTAGAATCTGTGTATGTGGGCTTGAAGTTTCTTTATCATTTTTATTGAATGGTGGTATATATTATTTCTGGGCTTTGTTTTGGTTACTGGCTAAAAGTATGAGGTTTTCCATCGTTTGTGTGTTCTAAATGAGCTGAATCGTTTTTTCTGGGCTTAACTTTGAAAACTGTTTTCATTAGGAAGGTGTTGTTTCATTTTCGTTAGCAATGGTAGTTGTATCTTGCATCATTGTTGTTCCCTTATAGTTGTGATGACTGAGGGTACCTCCTGTCCATGTATTTTATTAGTCGCTGAAAATAGAGTTTTTCACCAAACTTCATCTTCATATCTCTTTACTCTGGCCCTTTGGGTCAACTTTCCATAAATTCCCCTTCTGATAAAAAGGAGTAAAAGGAAGAAATAGGGTTAATATGAACTTGATCTGGAAAAGTTGTTTAAAAGAAAAGTGGTAGAAAGAAAAGTGGTTTAAAAGAAAAGTGGTAGAAATGAAGTTTTTGTTTTTGATTGATTGATGTGACATCTGTTCACACAAGTTGATGGTTTATATTGGAGACTGTTTGAGGCAAACTTTTCCAGGCAAGTTCACTATTTTCTCTAAAACAATGCATATATATATATATATATAAAAAAGGCAAAAACAAAATACATGGCCTTCATTAAAAAGATTTTTAAAAAATGAAAAAGAACTGGCCAAAAAAAAAGAGCAAAAAAAGAAATGAAAAAAAAAAAAAAAAAAGAGCCATGGCAAGTAACTTCACTCACATAATTGAACACGTTCCTGAAGCAAGAATACTTTACACACCCAAGAGCAGTATCATCTGCCTCACATTGTTGCTGCTGGCTGAAGTACCCACTCATGGGAGAGACTTTCAATTACTTGATGATGACCAACTTCCATGGGCTTCACAAGGTAGGTTATTGTACTGGTTTTAAACATTCTCTTCATCATTCTGTTAGGGTGATATTTTGAGTATCTTGCATGGTCTACAGCATAATAGCCACTATTCAAATTTATGCAGGTGAAGGTTCTCCAAAACCTGGAGCATATGAGGATGACATGGGTCTTCCATGAAAGGCCCCAAGTTTTCCAGTTGCCCAACAAAGTTATAGGAGACGTTTGAGTTGTATTTGGGGCTGGCAAGAGTTAAATTATACTATTTTCTTTTCATTTGGCATTAAAATTTATCATGACTCTTCATTCCAGCATCCATCTTGTCCCTTCCTTTTTCACTTCAAACAGCCCCTTGTTCAGTATTAGACATAGTGATGAAACTTATTCTATATTGGTGCGAATCATGTCACCTTTTCTCATAGTTTGCACATCTTAGTACATAGTGTGGTGTACAAATATAGGGAGTGCCAATTTAGAGTTAGTTAGCACTTTGCTTTGATCTCCAGAATTATTGAATTGTCAGATCTTTTCTATAGGAATTTTAAGTCATGGTGGAAATGAGATCCTAGAGGCTGTCCGGTATTTGTGCGTTAGTCGCTTGGTATTTAAGTTTTGAATTATAAACCCCAAGGCTTTAACAGGCTTTGTGAGTTTTGAAGACATTAGAAGCGATGATGTTTAATGGCGTACTGCCCCAACTATTGAAAGTCTTTTCAAGGCTCAGTAAAAATATTGGTTAAGGTACCACAAATGGTTTACCCGAATTTGAGGCGTTAAATGATGATCTGTACAAAAAGCTGGGTAGTACTTGAAAATATTGATTTGATTGATGGTAGATGGTTCATTGTGGTCTTAGAACCAGTGGGGAAGCATAGCAAGTGGAATGTCGTTCAGCACCATCCACTACTAGAATTCACCAGTAGAAGTAAATTTGAAAGGTTTGTAAATATTAAGTACTTTCAAAAATTGATTCTGATTTTTCTTGGCTATTAGAAATAAGCCAGTGAGTAGAAAAAAAATCTTGTGGGTGTTCATGTATTGAAAAGAGGAATGAGGAGTGATGATTTGACTAAGTGGCTCTGAAGCTGGTGATGAAAGGTCTATCAAACAATGTGTCATTGAGGCAGCAAATTGAGAAGTAATGTGTACTCTCAGTTTTGTGAGTTGAGTGGAACCTGCTGGATAACTGTGGTTATTGTTTTTAGGAATCAGATTGATGGTAGAAGGAGTTCAAAAATTGAGCCCGGTTTGTAGGAAAAGCTGAGCTACTACTTTTGCGTAGATGTACCAGTTTGGGCAAATCAAATTTATGTGTTGAGAGAAATTTCGCCTAGTTGATGCTTGTTTATCCCAATTGAGAGGCGCTTGTCGGATGTGGTTCATTGCACGGATATTGTAAAATATGCTCATGTGGGAGTTTTGAAATATGACTCTGAACAGAAGAATATAACCTTGTGAGGCTTCGTAAGATAAGTATGAGTTTGCTGTTTCTTTTCTGTACTGTCAATGTGGTTATAGACACGTTCTGTAAAATGGGCGCCCTAAGCATAGTGTACCCACAGGGTGAACATAACTGAGTAAAGGCATTGGCTTGTTTGATGTTTGGGAAAGAAATCAAAAGACCAATGATTGTGCATTGGCATAGAAAAACTTAGGTAAAGTTGATTGAAATTTTTGGCAACAGGAGTTAAAACTGGTAATCAGGTGAACTATGCGTTAAAGTACAAACATAATAAAAAAATAATTAAAAATTGGTCATGAGGTAATTAGTAAATGTTACCAGAATTGTACTTTTCTTGTTAATAATTTATCAGAAACTCTTAAACGGTATTTTTTTTACTGTGGTCTAACATCATTTACCTTTTTTTAAAATTTTCTTTTTTTAAAAGCAAATTATAGTTGAATGGTGGTATATGCTATCGCATGCTGCGGTCACAAATTTGTAAGTTTTATATTTTTTTAAAATCGTATGTATGGTCAATGAGTATGAGCTACATCATTTGATAAACTTCATAATACTTTATCTAGGTGTTACTAACACAGTTTCTGGAGAAAACTCTCTCTTGTTTGGGGTTCTTATCAACACTTCTGGCCTGAGCCAGGCTGTGGCTTGCTAATCACCATGCATTAGTTGTAGATAATGCTACTGCCCAGAGTGGAGATAGCTTTGTCCGTTTTGCACTATATATCTATATATCTTGAGCATGATACAGTGTGTTCGGTATTATGTAGTGAATGGACTTTTAGGGTTTGGGGTGTGACTTGCTGCCCTATTGTTTTAATGGCTTGCCTGATAACAAGTGGCTGGTTGAATACACATTGTAGCCAATGGTTCATCTACTTCCTTTTTTTCCCTTCGGTAATAACACTTTATTGAAGTTTTGCACTCTATCATTTTTCTCACTGTGCAAAGTATGGCAATGTGATGTAAGATGTTTTATG